GGGCGGTTATGACAGACATTTGACATTTGTTCCAATTCTTTTCCAATTTAAAGGTAAAATTTTCTAACTTAACTTTTTGTACACTTATAAATTTTAGGATTCAGTGTCCAAAATGAATTATGGATTGTAGCATTATGATTGGCCTGTCTGTCATAGATTGTAACATTATGAATAGTTTTTCTATTATAGATTGTAACATTATGCATTGACCCATCTATCATAGATTGTAAGATAAGATAAGATAAGATAAGATAAGATAAGATAAGATAAGATAAGATAAGGTTCTTTTATTGATCCAAACAAATGGAAATGTTTCTTAATTGCATTGTACATTTTCAGCACATAAATAAAATTTGAACACAAGACATTCATAATAAATTATTTCACTAGTAAAAAAAAAAAAGCAGCCATTCAGTGAATTCTCTTAGCCATATCAGGGACTTATTAGTTCTCATAAAAATTTTTGACTTCGGGGGAGCACGCTGGTAAATTCGTACAGATTGGGCAACAAACGAATTTTTATATCTTTCAGTCCTCGCCCTGACAGAAAAATTCGTCCCGAACGGGCCGATCCTAAGTAAATGTGATGCAGAGGGTGCGATGTGTCCTCCAAAATGTGTTTGGTTTTAGAAAAACATCTCTCTTCAAATAGTTCTTCAAGTGAAGTATGTTTAGTTTGTGTTATGTTCCTAGCTTTCTTGATTAGTTGGTTTATACGGTGTTTAACATCAGACGTAGAATTCCCACACCAGCAGGTAATTCTGATATTAAGTAGGCTTCCAATTGTTGCACTGTAGAATTGAATTGAATATTTATATAACAGTTGTATCCATGCCACTATAGCATGCTCACAGCGATCTGGTTTTCTTAAATCTATTTAAATAAAAAAAAAATTATTTAAATGTTTCTTAAATTATTTTTGTTCATTGTCAATTTCCCTCAAAGATTGGGGCAAGCTGTTCCATAATTTTGGCGCTATTGCTTCAAAAGAGCGCCCTCCATATGAATTTTTTCGGTGTCCATCCACACTGGGAACTCTCAGTAAGGACTGTGTTGGAGACCGCACTGTGTCTATCCACACTGGGAACTCTCAGTAAGGACTGTGTTGGAGACCGCACTGTGTCCATCCACACTGGGAACTCTCAATAAGGACTCTGTTGAAGACCGCACTGTGTCCATCCACACTGGGAACTCTCAATAAGGACTGTGTTGAAGACCGCACTGTGTCCATCCACACTGGGAACTATCAGTAAGGACTGTGTTGAAGACCGCACTGTGTCCATCCTCACTGGGAACTCTTAGTAAGGACTGTGTTGGAGACAACGTGTTCTTTAAGGATACGTGTTTAGAAATCAGTTCTTTAAGATATTCCGGTGCAGAGCCTTCAATACAGCTCTGCGCCAGGGACAGAATTTTGTAGTCAATGCGCTCCAGGAAGCCAATGGAGATCTCTAAGAATTGGTGTGATGTTGTCAGATTTCTTTATCCGCGATACAATGCGTGCTGCCGTATTCTGTACCTTCTGGAGTTACTGAATTTGGTTCTGAGGTAAACGCCAAAAACAACAGTTACAGTAATCCAATCTTGACTGGATTAGAGTTACCGCTACAGCATCGGCTGTTCTCATAGTGAGTTGTGGACGCAGCTTACCCAGGGCGTGCAGATGATAGAAGCATGTCCTGACCACAGAATAAGTTAACAACTTGTTTGTTTACGCCGAAATTGTAGTTTTTTTAGGTAGAACAGTCTTTGGTTGAATTTCTTATACAGCATTTGGCCTTGCTCATATCATGTTAGCTTATTATTAATGGTGACACCTAAGTACCGGTACTTATATGCTTCTACTTTCTCTACACTTTAGTTTTTTATGTTAAGATCTGTAATCTGGTGTGATTATTACAAGTTTAACTAAAAGGGCTCAAGATTTTAAATAGGTCAATAAATACTGGACATTTTTAGCACTGTTATTTGCGCACAGAAGCCGTTCGTAAGAAGTGATAATGATGAATTTAAGGGACAGGGGACACTGAAAGTAGCGACTGTGGAGTTATGATTGGAGATAAGAGGCGAAGTCACTGATTTAATGGATGTAATCGTCTGCTGGGTCTCAGGAGGAAATAAAGATCTCATTATCGCGGCAATAAAATAGTAACAAGAAAAGGAATCAAACATTATGTCATTTGGTTGTCAAGAAAGATAGATTAGCACAGTACAACTGGGTCAGGAAAGATAGATTAGCACAGCACAACTGGGTCAGGAAAGATAGATTAGCATAGCACTCCTGGGTAAAGAAAGATAGATTAGCATAGCACAGTACTCCTGGGTCAGGAAAGATAGGTTAGCACATCACTCCTGGGTAAAGAAAGATAGATTAGCACAGTACTCCTGGGTCAGGAAAGATAGATTAGCACAGCACTCCTGGGTAAAGAAAGATAGATTAGCACAGTACTCCTGGGTCAGGAAAGCTAGATTAGCACAGTACTCTTGGGTAAAGAAATATAGATTAGCACAGTACTCTTGGGTAAAGAAATATAGATTAGCACAGTACTCTTGGGTAAAGAAAAATAGATTAGCACAGTACTCCTGGGTCAGGAAAGATAGATTAGCACAGTACTCTTGGGTAAAGAAAGATAGATTAGCACAGTACTCTTGGGAAAAGAAAAATAGATTAGCAAAGTACTCTTGGGTAAAGAAAGATAGATTAGCACAGTACTCTTGGGTAAAGAAAAATAGATTAGCACAGTACTCCTGGGTCAGGAAAGATAGATTAGCACAGTACTCTTGGGTAAAGAAAGATAGATTAGCACAGCACTCTTGGGTCAGGAAAGATAGATTAACCCAGTACTCCTGGGTAATGAAAGATAGATTAGCACAGTACTCTTGGGTAAAGAAAAATAGATTAGCACAGTACTCCTGGGTCAGGAAAGATAGATTAGCACAGTACTCTTGGGTAAAGAAAAATAGATTAGCACAGCACTCCTGGGTCAGGAAAGATAGATTAACCCAGTACTCTTGGGTAATGAAAGATAGATTAGCACAGTACTCCAGGTCAGGAAAGACAGATTAACCCAGTACTCCTGGGTAATGAAAGATAGATTAGCACAGTACTCCTAGGTCAGGAAAGACAGATTAACCCAGTACTCCTGGGTAATGAAAGATAGATTAGCACAGTACTCCTGGGTCAGGAAAGACTATGGTAACATGGAATCACTTCTACATCTCTAAGACTGTGGTAAAATAGAATCACCTCTACATCACTAAGACTGTGGTAACATGGAATCACCTCTACATCTCTAAGACTTTGGTAACATGGAATCACCTCTACATCTCTAAGACTGTGGTAACATGGAATCACCTCTACATCTCTAAGAATGTGGTAACATAGCATCACCTCTACATCTCTAAGACTGTGGTAACATAGAATCACCTCTACATCTCTAAGACTTTGGTAACATGGAATCACCTCTACATCTCTAAGACTGTGGTAACATAGAATCACCTCTACATCTCTAAGAATGTGGTAACATAGCATCACCTCTACATCTCTAAGACTGTGGTAACATAGAATCACCTCTACATCTCTAAGACTGTGGTAACATGGAATCACCTCTACATCTCTAAGACTGTGGTAACATAGAATCACCTCTGCATCTCTAAGACTGTGTTAACATGGAATCACCTCTACTTATCTAAGACTGTGGTAACATGGAATCACCTCTACATCTCTAAGACTGTGGTAACAATGAATCACCTTTACATCTCTAAGACTGTGGTAACATAGAATCACCTCTACATCTCTAAGACTGTGGTAACATGGAATCACCACTACATCTCTAAGACTGTGGTTACAGCTCTAAGACTGTGGTAACATGGAATCACCTCTACATCTCTAAGACTGTGGTAACATGGAATCACCTCTACATCTCTAAGACTGTGGTACATGGAATTACTTCTACTTCTCTAAGACTGTGGTGACATGGAATCACCACTACATCTCTAAGACTGTGGTTACAGCTCTAAGACTGTGGTAACATAGAATCACCTCTACATCTCTAAGACTGTGGTAACATGGAATCACCTCTACATCTCTAAGACTGTGGTTACATCTCTAAGACTGTGGTAACATAGAATCACCTCTACATCTCTAAGACTATGGTAACATAGAATCACCCCTACATCTCTAAGACTGTGGTACATGGAATTACTTCTACTTCTCTAAGACTGTGGTGACATGGAATCACCTCTACATCTCTAAGACTGTGGTAACATGGAATCACCTCTACATCTCTAAGACTGTGGTTACATCTCTAAGACTGTGGTAACATAGAATCACCTCTACATCTCTAAGACTATGGTAACATAGAATCACCCCTACATCTCTAAGACTGTGGTACATGGAATTACTTCTACTTCTCTAAGACTGTGGTGACATGGAATCACCTCTACATCTCTAAGACTGTGGTGACATGGAATCACATCTACATCTCTAAGACTGTGGTAACACGGAATCATGTAGATTCCCCAACATATAAATGTCCCGACATGTAGATGGCCCAAAATGTAGAATGCCCAACTTGTAAATGTCCCAACATGTAAATATCCCAACATGTAGATGGCCCAACATGTAGATAGCCCAACATGTATATGGCCCAAAATGTAGATGGCCCAACATGTAGATGGCCCAACATGTAGATTCCCCAAGATGTAGATGGCCCAAAATGTAGATTCCTCAACATTAGGATGGCCCAACATGTAGATTCCCCAACATGTAGATGGCCCAACATATAGATGGCCCAACATGTAGATGGCCCAACATGTAGATTCCCTAACATGTAGATGGCCCAATGTGTAGATGGCCCAACATGTAGAAGGACCAAAAATGCTAATTCTTTATAAAACAAGTGTTTACAAAATCTCAATGAAATAAAACTTCCAACAAATGATTATATAACAAAAATAATGTTTTATTTATATAATTTTGATATTACTGTTACTTACATGCCTACAATTACATAGATACATTATATACATAACCTAAAATTATTTACATGTAGTATATACATAAGTTACAATGCTGGACATTGGTCATTTTTTATTCTTTCAAATCATCTGTTGCGTTATTTATGTTTTTCTAAGGTTGTAAATGACATCAATTATGCTCAAAGTTTTGTTTTATATATTGTCTAATCTTCAGGATTATAATCTTGAGTCACGTTAATTTTTTTAAGTAAAATTTTTGCGCATGTCATGTTTTAAATTAACAGGACCCTAAATGATTTAATAACAAGTTTGAGCTCATTATTGTCAAATTATTGTCACAAAACTTTATTGTCACATTATTATTGTATTATTATGGTCGAAGTTTTGCAGCAGAAACCTTGTGCTTTTGCACTTTTTTGTGTTATATAATTCATAAATAGCCATGTGAATATGAACCTGCAGTCAATGATAATTATGTGTGATTTACCCCTGAGAGTAATGATGTGTGATTTTCCAAAAGTGTAATGATTTGCCATTTACCCTGTGTGTAATGCTGAAATCTGCTATTCCAGTGAAAATTGTATTTAAATTAAAATTTTAAATAAAAAACTTCAAGTTTCATTAACTTATGACATTCAAGCACCTTTCCGCTCATCATGAAATATCTATCAATTTTAAGAACATTTTTTTTTTTTCTATTCATATAATTTGGAAATCAAATAAATTCTAGAGATTCTTTTAATGTATCAAATTTTAAATGAACAATTCTTCAATTATTTACATTTCATTAACATTAAGCCCGATTTACTTTTAAAAATACACAAACAATTTTAAACAAAATATCACATACTTTCCTTGCGTCACTATTTTGAGATTTGTAGAGAATTTATCTCCTAAAACAGAAGATCAATTTTTTCACTCATTTATTTAAAACTTCTCTAAAGCCCTGAAGTCGTATTCTACCTACTACAGTTCACTACAATACAAATGTGTCATTTAATGTATCTTGTAAGGATACATATTATGTCGCCCCCATTTGTTCCAATTCTCTCATTCCATACATGAGTAGTCCTCCTTGCATTATGCTATTCCAAACCCAATAAATTAAATAATAACATACTACGAAAATGTATGTGGTTTATGTTATGTGCTGACATAGAAAGCATGTAACACATTTCTACATTCACAGGAAAGCGGTTTTATTCATGTGAGCGTAACTATTAAATAACATCAGAGCATGCCTGTTCATAGAATAAAAATGGGTCAAATTAACTCCCCTGATTTTTATCAAATTATTTCATAATATAATGCATCAAATATGAAAAATGACAAGCACCTTATTATGTTTGGAGAAAGAGAGAGTGGGGGGGAAGGTATCTACATTTTAAGTCTTGTGTGTATTTCTTGTAGCCAGTAATATTTAAACTGTTCAAAGTCTGTAACTGATTAAGAACCAAACTTTATTCATTTCTCCATTTTTAACAAAAAACTTTGACACTATCTGTTACTGAAGAATATCACGGAAATTTTCAATTTCAGCATTATGTATTAATATATATTCCAGTTCTGTGGCCAGATGGAGACTCTGGATTTCAATAATGTCATTTCATCAATGTGTTGATCAGGCAGTTGAGCTATGGCTTCCTGGAGTCCTCCACTTAGTAGTGGGTGGATACAGACGGATATAGCTGGACGAGTTTTCTTGTATCTGAGAGTGTCACAAGATTGGTAAGGAGACTTGTTTATTATGATGAATTTAAAACTAAAAGTTCCAATTTGAATGGCAAATTTATTATTTTTTTCTCTTTTATCAGCTTGTCTAAAATGAAGTTTAATCATACATCACATTTAATACGAGGAATGACATACGCACAGGAGACATAACATATGCACAGGAGGCATGACAGAAGCATGGTAGGCATGACATACAAACAGAAGGCATTACAGATGCATGAGATGCATGACATACACACAGGAGGCATGACATATGCACAGGAGGCATGACGTATGCACATACTAAAACATAGGCTGTAAAGGTGTTTACAAAAATGTACATACCTGCTGATTAAATATGCCTGCAATCCTCGACAAACACTCAAAGATCGTCCAGTATAAAGTTGGAAGTTAATCAAGCCCGGCACCTTCAGGTAAATTAAAAACACAGAGGTTATTACATTATAAAAACTAACTTTTCTTTAAAACAATCCAAATTATTCACATTACTGTCATAGAATGTTAATGTCATAGAATGTTAATGTCATAGAATGTTAATGTCATAGAATGTTAATGTCATAGAATGTTAATGTCATAGAATGTTAATGTCATAGAATGTTAATGTCATAGAATGTTAATGACATGAAGATTATAATTCCCCCCCCCCCCCAAGGCTCACATCAGCGTATTATTTTCAAACCCTTGAACTATATTAATATTCTAATGACCATTCCGCTTTTACACTTCAGATTTATTTCATCAACTATTTCAGAAAAACAAAAGAAAATATTAAAGGAGTGCGATATTTATATTTTTTTAAGAATGTCATTTAATGCAGTTGTCTGGTACTTTCCTTCACGTTCCCCTTAAAAAGCAGAAACAAATTATATTTTGGGATGCAAATTTCAAAGAATGTGTTGTCATTGGCAATGAGTCTATGTGCCAAGTTTCTGCTTGATAGGTTGACGGGATGTGGGTCAATTAGCCATCCGAAGATTTTGCCAGCCAGTCCGCCACCCAGCCAGCCACACACGAACAAAAGTGAAGCTAACACAAAGTATGAAAAAACCTATGCAGTGGTGAGAGTGCACTGCCTCCATCGATCCTTTGTGTCAGGGTGCCCGGGACCCGTCGTAAAGGAAAACGCACCTGGTCAAGCCCTGGTGTTAAGTACTGACCTTTTCAAAGAAATCTTTGACTCCTTCCGTGTCCATGGTGCCATTTTTAGCAATGACACAAACCCTCTCTAAGGTCTTGCACTTGGCCATGGCACTGAGCATCATCTCATCGATCTTCATGTAGGGGTGTTCTAGTCTGTAGGGACAGATTGTACACACACACACACAATTTAAACCTTTTTAACACTAGAAATTCAATAGAATCTATATACGTTCTTAGATATATCTATTACAAGCGTTAATTTCACCCATACATATGAAATCTCCTTCACATCACAGCGTGCTATGTACAGTGTCTGCCCAGCACTCTCCGTCTGCTCACAACACAGAGTGCTATGTGCAGTGTCTACATAGCACTCTCCATCTGCTCACAACAAAGAGTGCTATGTGCAGTGTCTACATAGCAAATAATCAGTCACATTTTTAATATGGTGAAATAGAGTGTGATGTTATGCTTCTTCTATATTTGAGAGCACACGGTCACGTAATGGATCATTAAGGCTCCTGGTTTGAATTCAAAGTTTGCCTTCTCTTAGATGAGTTTCCGTCCAAGGCTGATGAGTACTATACCCCCCCCCCCCCAAGATGCTTGGGATGTTTTTGCTTTTCTTGGCGTTGGAATGAGTCAGTTTAGACCACTTCACCACCCACTCTGTCTAATTATTGAACTTAACTTGTAATTCAAAGTTTGCCTTCTCTTTGATGGGTTTCCGTCCAAGGCTGATGAGTACTATCCCCCCCCCCCCCCCAAGATGCTTGGGATGTTTTTGCTTATCTTGGCGTTGGAATGAGTCAGTTTAGACCACTTCACCACCCACTCTGTCTAATTATTGAACTTAACTTGTTCATCTTTCAGAGTTATTTTAACCAGTCATTGCTACAATAACCAGACACAAATTTCATTCTTTACATCAAAATGAAAAAATATGACAATAATTGAATATTTTTGGTGTTTTTCTTTTATTTATGTTGCATGGGGGTGGTATTGATGTGTGAGGGTGGTATTGATGTGTGAGGGTGGTATTGATGTGTGAGGGTGGTATTGATGTGTGAGGTGGTATTGATGTGTGAGGGTGGTATTGATGTGTGAGGGTGGTATTGATGTGTGAGCCTAGTAATATGTGTGAGGGTGGTATTGATGTGTGAGGGTGGTATTGATGTGTGAGGGTGGTATTGATGTGTGAGGGTGGTATTGATGTGTGAGATGTGTGAGGGTGGTATTGATGTGTGAGGGTGGTATTGATGTGTGAGGGTGGTATTGATGTGTGAGGGTGGTATTGATGTGTGAGGGTGCATAACTACACACTCCCACCATAACTACACACTCTCTAGTAATATGTGTGAGGGGGGTATTGATGTGTGAGGGGGGTATTGATGTGTGAGGGGGGTATTGATGTGTGAGGGTGGGATTGATGTGTGAGGGTGGTATTGATGTGTGAGGGTGGTATTGATGTGTGAGGGTGGTATTGATGTGTGAGGGTCGTATTGATGTGTGAGTCTAGTAATATGTGTGAGGGTGGTATTGATGTGTGAGGGCGGTATTGATGTGTGATGGTGGTATTGATGTGTGAGGGTGGTATTGATGTGTGAGGGTGGTATTGAAGTGTGAGGGTGGTATTGATGTGTGAGGGTGGTATTGATGTGTGAGGGTGGTATTGATGTGTGAGGGTGTTATTGATGTGTGAGGGTGGTATTGATGTGTGAGGGTGGTATTGAAGTGTAGGGGTGGTATTGATGTGTGAGGGTGGTATTGATGTGTGAGGGTGGTATTGATGTGTGAGGGTGGTATTGATGTGTGAGGGTGGTATTAATGTGTCACAGTGGTAATGATGTGTAGGGGTAGTATTGATGTACAGGGGTAGTACTGATGTACAGGGGTAGTATTGATGTACAGGGGTAGTACTGATGTACAGGGGTAGTAGTGATGTACAGGGGTAGTATTGATGTAGTGGTAATGATGTGTAGGGGTAGTATTGATGTACAGGGGTAGTACTGATGTACAGGGGTAGTATTGATGTACAGGGGTAGTACTGATGTACAGGGGTAGTAGTGATGTACAGGGGTAGTATTGATGTACAGGGGTAGTACTGATGTACAGGGGTAGTATTGATGTACAGGGGTAGTATTGATGTACAGGGGTAGTATTGATGTACAGGGGTAGTATTGATGTACAGGGGTAGTATTGATGTACAGGGGTAGTACTGATGTACAGGGGTAGTACTGATGTACAGGGGTAGTATTGATGTACAGGGGTAGTACTGATGTACAGGGGTAGTATTGATGTACAGGGGTAGTACTGATGTACAGGGGTAGTACTGATGTACAGGGGTAGTACTGATGTACAGGTGTAGTACTGATGTACAGGGGTAGTACTGATGTACAGGGGTAGTATTGATGTACAGGGGTAGTACTGATGTACAGGGGTAGTACTGATGTACAGGGGTAGTATTGATGTACAGGGGTAGTATTGATGTACAGGGGTAGTACTGATGTACAGGGGTAGTATTGATGTACAGGGGTAGTACTGATGTACAGGGGTAGTACTGATGTACAGGGGTAGTACTGATGTACAGGGGTAGTATTGATGTACAGGGGTAGTACTGATGTACAGGGGTAGTACTGATGTACAGGGGTAGTACTGATGTACAGGGGTAGTACTGATGTACAGGGGTAGCATTGATGTACAGGGGTAGTACTGATGTATGGGGGGAGTAATGAAATGACATTTTCTGTTCACCTGAAATCTTTGAGCTGTGAGAAGAAAGGAAATGCTGCCAGCAGCCCTCCCCTGTAAAGACAGTGAGCTATCTGGCCAAGACTTGCAATAGAAAGCTGCTCTAGGGAGACACAACCTTTGGCTATGGCTAGCAAACAGTGGCCTTGGTTCACTCCTGGACTCAAAGTCAATAATAATGTCTATTGTTATTATATTCATATGGTTATAATATTCATTATGTAATATAATAATACATATAATCAAAATATTTTTCATAATGTAATATCATAGTATCTTTTTTTTTAAAGTGTAATAGTAACTTTGTATCAGACAATGACATTGGTATGTCAGAACTTGATTATTTTTGCATGGTGGTTATGGTTATGTCAATAACGTCCTGATTATTTTTAGCTAACATTTTTTTGGGGAAGCGCAGTGAGCCCAGCCCTAGGCTGGGCTACCGCGCTATATAAGACCACTGTAACAATAATAATAAATAAATAGAGATAATTTGTGAAATGAACCTGGAATAGAAGTAAGTTGAAGAGATTTCAGGAACCTCCATCGTCCAATACACATCAGCTCCTGATCCCCCACAGTCAAGGAAAACATACTAGAAAATTAAAATAGAATAACTGGGTTTTTTTATCATCCAAACAAATAATCAGTGTCAATTCAATTTCAGATTCAAAAGAAAAAGTTCCAGAACATTTGCGACATCTGTGTGTTGCAAGAATAACATTTAGAAATCTATATTTTCTGTTCAGAATAAGTTTGTATATCATAAAAAAGACCATTTAGATCATAAAAAGTCATAGAAAGTCTCATCTTAATATTCCAAAGGTGTTGAGTTGGTTTAAAAATATGAACTTAATTTTAAAACAAACTTCCTTTCAACAATGATGGAACAAAAACTTTTTTGATAAGATAATTTAGAAATTGAATGAATAGACAGCAAGTTAATCTGTCCAAAATGTCTGGTTCCAACATGTACCAATAGCCAGACTCTACTACATTGCTTGGATGTCTTCATGCAGAGGACTGATTGGGCAGAAACCAGAGACAGGGCATACACTTACCATGGGCTGGACGTACACTTACCATGGGCTGGACATACACTTACCATGGGCTGGACGTACACTTACCATGGGCTGGACATACACTACCCATGGGCTGGACATACACTTACCATGGACTGGACATACACTACCCATGGGCTGGACATACACTTACCATGGGCTGGACATACACTTACCATGGGCTGGACATACACTTACCATGGACTGGACGTACAGGTGTTCGGATTAACACCAAAATATTTGTTGAAAGCAGATCTGAAGCCCGAACAATTCAGCTCAAAATTTTCCATAGTAGGACAGCTGCGAACCAGCTTCTCCAACTCAGACACAAAAACTGGCTCTTCTAAAGTTGTGGAGGGGGAGGATGATGAAGGTGACGACGAGGGAGGTGATGATGAAGATGTTGATGGGTCCTCTTGTGATGTAGAAGGAGAATTCGCATCTGGGAACTGGACAAAATGATAACCAAATGTTTATTTTAATTTTTTTTGTAAATTCTGTAAAATATTTTTGGCCAAAAATGCACAAAGTCATCTCCTACACAAAGTCATCTCTACACAAAGTCATATCCTACACAAAGTCATGTCCTACACAAAGTCAGGTCCTACACAAAGTCAGGTCCTACAAAAGGTCAGATCATACAAAACGTCACTTCCTTCACAAACCCAGGTCCTAAATAAAGTCAGGTCCTAACATAGAAAAGCACGAAATGGTGCTGGGAAATATACAAACTATGCTTCAAATACATTAAGTAGGGTTGCCATCCGTCCTAATATATCGGGACCATCACCGTTATGCACCTTCTTGTCCCGTCAAGACTCAATTTTGTCTCGATTTTGCAAACTACTGTTACGAGCTGGGCTCAAGTACTGAAGTAATACCATCTGTTAGCGCAATATGGAAATGCAGCCTCAGTTAATTTCATTTATGTCAAAAAGTTTATGTTGACAAGGTCTTTTCACAGATCTTACAGTGTCAGTTTAACTACAAGCTGACTTGCATGGAGTTTTATAGATACGTAAAAGGGAAAAAGACTTGCTGAAAAAGGTGAAATCTTCCGAAAAATATGGGGTACCAACTACTTTTGCCGCAACAAGTTCCATGTAATTGTGTTCTAAATATTAAGTAATTATATTAAATACATTTTTTACTTCATTTCTACACCCCCATCTCAGAGTGTCCCGACGAGGTCCCAGCTAGATATGGCAACCCTACACCCCCATCTCAGAGTGTCCCGACGAGGTCCATGCTAGATATGGCAACCCTACACCCCCATCTCAGAGTGTCCCGACGAGGTCCCAGCTAGATATGGCAACCCTACACCCCCATCTCAGAGTGTCCCGACGAGGTCCCAGCTAGATATGGCAACCCTAAAACTAAGGGAAATTTTAAACAGGGGTTGAGCTTGGTGGTGATGGTTATGTCAATAAGTGTAGATCAAGACTTCAGCTGTTGGGCACCTAAATCTCAATACAGCTAAACAAAATTATTAACAATGAATTATCCCTACTCCAGTCATTCACCCTCCCCCCCACCCCACCAACACCAACAAAAAAAAAAACAGATAGGACTCACCATCACCTAAAAAAATGCAATTATACATCATTGATAAATATGAAAAATTTTCTGATATTATTGATCAAATACATAAAATCAAAGACATAGTCTAATAGCTGTTAATTGCGTTTAGCCAACAGTGCGAAATTGTTCTATGATTTCTTACCAAAGCAAAACTCTGATTGCATGCAGCACCTGCGCCAATTCTCCTCCGCTTCACCAGGTATCCCTCCGGTACTATGGAAAATGTCCTTTTGTTGCTTTTGGAGCTTCTCTCCACACTTAAACAGCAGGGGGACATGGATAAACTGCGCCAACCTATCAATGGGCAACAGCAGTTTGATACTTGAAAATAAGACGTAACGATGACAGTACAACACAGTACAACACAGGCATTATCAACTTGTTTTCTATGAAATCCTAGGCTGTCACATAAGTTCACAAAGAAGTTTGTCACACAACAAGAAGAGAAAAAAATTATCATTGTTCTGATTCTGATAGGGTACGTTGCTGCATCCATGTACTGGCTGTTAATACTACATGTTTGCAGTATGCCTCTGATACCAAAATTTTGTAAGGGGTTCTCAGGTGAAAGGTTGTCTGAACATAAATTTAAAGTAATGTATGTTAACATAATTCAAATTTTAATATGAGTAACCGAAAAACAATTTTAGAAATTGAAGCATTCCAGTAATAAAGTAAAGAGTGGTAATTACTTTCCTTTGATTTCACAACTCCAATAAAGTAAACTCCAATAAAGTAAACTCCAATAAAGTAAACTCCAATATACTTACTGTGGTTGAGTGCAAGAAGGGCTGCCAGGCTGCTGTACGGCGTCGTAGTCAAGTCTTGCGTGTGCACATGTATGCCACTTATGTTTAAGCTCTGAAGTTCAACGCATGCTAAAAGTAAAGCTTGCAGTCCACTGATATCATTGTATGTTCTTTTCTGTTCAGAGTTTTGCTACAAAAATAGTAAAAAGGGGCACAACTGACTAAATGACTTAAACAAGAATAAGGCTGGAAGTTATCACCAACTATTCATAAGTCAACTGTACCTGTATTGTTCGTACAATATTTTCAAATGAAGTCATTCTTTATGCTCATTGCACAGCAGGCAATTTTCAATTTAGCTTAAGGATTAATCAAATAATAAACCTTTTAATATCTTCTTCACAGTTATAATTTTGATTACTTTGGTAATTTCCGATTATTTTATTACTTTTTATTCTCGATGTGTATGAAAATAATTATATTTAATATTATAGCTTTGATTACACACTTAGATACAAATGAAAAATTCACTAAAAATTAAATTTGCAAGTAACACATTCATAAGCAGACTACCCTGGTTTTGGATGGGAAAAGCCTGAAAAGTGTATAAAGTACTAAAAGCCAAACCCATAAAATATAAATACGCTAGTGTAAGCAATACGGTATGAAAGATAATATTTGTTTTTAATCCAGACTTTTAAAAATAATAATTGTATAACTAAAAGACTCAAAACCTAATAAACAGTGTAATTTATAAAACAGATACTCGCTTTGCTCGTCTAACCATATTGAAACTTTTCAGAAAATAGATGTCCACCACTTAGAAAGAAATATGCATTCGCCTTGTCCACCTATGTATATATTATGCTATAAATATCAATTAACTAGTTTGCGTAAGTGAAAACTGCAAATATAGTTCAGTTGCCTGTATCATTCTAGATACTAGATTTCAATTGCTACAACAATGTTTTAAAATATGACAATTCGACACTTTTTTAGTCATGTGCCTGGACAACTCTGAAGTTTGGTGGACATTTATTTGATACTTTTGCATATATTTTTGGAAAAAATTGTTTCTTTAAATCCTTAATATTCATTTTGATTTTGTTTGTGAGTTTCTGGCTGGCAAAATCTTCAGGCAGCTAATTGACCCACTTCCTGTTTCAAGCTGAAACTTTCCAAATAGACTCATTGCCAATGACACCACATCCTTTCAGATTTTCAGAGCCCTCCCCGCCCCCCCCCCACCCCCCGCCCCCAATTATAAACCCTAAAATCAGTTTTTCCTGTTTTTTCATTGTTTTTGAGTTTCTGGCTGGCAATATCTTCAGGCAGCTAATTGACCCACCTCCTGTTTCAAGCTGAAACTTTCCAAATAGACTCATTGCCAATGACAACACCTCCTTTCAGATTTTCAGAGCCCTCCCCGCCCCCCCCCCACCCCCCGCCCCCAATTATAAACCCTAAAATCAGTTTTTCCTGTTTTTTCAAAGGGAAGATGCAGGAAATATTATGCCACTGATTTCACAAAATAAAATTACTGATAGCTCCACTAAATGAGATTCTTTTTTAAAAAATATGGCAAGTGTGTTTGATGAGAAATATTTTCTTTTCTTTTACTGAAATAGTTGGTGAAATAAATCTACTGTGTACAAGAGGGTGGGACATTAGAGTATAAATATAAAATAAATTGATTAAAGAAGCGTATAAAGGATTTATACACAAACTTAGTTTTTAGGGGTTGTTGCATTTATAAAAGTAATTTTTTATTTTTTTTTTATTTTTTACTTTTTAGTCTTGCAAGATATAATAGGAGATCAGAAAGTGTTTTTTGTTATAGCCAGTGTGTTGACATAGATTTTGTTCCCGCTGCATGATTCGGAGCCATGGATGTCATGCATCCCTTTACCTCCCCCAATGTTTTGTTACTGATGTCACCAATTAATGGGGTGACATGTGCTGCCACGCCCTTCCCCACCACCCTTGATTGGGAAAGTTTGTTTACAATTTCCAGGTGCTCGTCTTAGGGGAAGTCAATGCTCTCTGACGATTGAATTTCTAGACTTTCTGTTTCAGAGGAGTCTGACTCCCCACTATAAATATGCCCAAATGAATGTGACCGATAGACTGACGAGACTTACGAAAAACCTAATGGACCTACAAGTCTTAAAAGATCTTTCACTGTGTGAGTGTGTGAAATAACAGTTGTACCCTTCTAGTCTTAAATTTGTTCACTTATACTTTCATATCTATATATATATATATTTGATTTTGTATTTTTATATCAACTTAATAGTATAAATAAATTGAATAATGTTAATATCACTAGCTTTGGTTATTGTTTTTCTTTGTATACTGGGTTTTAGGCCTTTGTTATGTACTGTGCATCTAACAATCCAAATCTTAAAACAGATTAAATTTGTAAAACAATACAATAGTACGTAACAGGGTTGAAACATATGACAAAAAAAAGTGGGGCCCCCATGACATACAATGACATGAAAGGTCAATGATGATCTTTCTTGGGTAAAAATGTTGTCATTGTTGATAGATATCAAGAACGAGTAAACTATGCATAAGGGAACACTGTAGTGAAAACCACATGTCCCTAAAACTTTCTGTTCCCGAGATATCCACAGAATTCACTCAAGTGTCATTGGAGGTCACCAAGTTGTATTATTGTGGCTAAATTCTCACTGGATGACAGGAAAAGCATAATTAACAAGTGTGTGAACATAAGGCGTGAGATAGAAAGTTCATGTTAGAGGTAGTCAATGTTAGTGTGATCCACGCTGAGATAGAGATCAAGTTTGATAGTCTGAAAGAGATTTTTTAGATAAGCTATAGAAGTAATTGGCTTTAGAAGTTATATGTTAGTGTTAAAGTTGTAACCGTTGAATTTACCTTCAGTGGACCAAGCAGGATATAATTGCAATTTTGAAGATTTAAGCTAGTCAATTTTGGACAAGTATCTGCCAGTAAATGCAGAGTTTCAGATGTGACGGCAGCATTATCAGACAGGTTGAGGTACTGAAATTTCAAAGGGGATAAAAGTTAATTTTTTAAATGTTTTATAAAAAAAAAATGTTTGAAAGTTAACTATAAAAATGAATGGAGCATAAGAGGCGATGTAATTCTAATTTTAAAATGTACATAATTACAAAATACCTGTAAATTATGAGCAGTTTCAAAATGCAGGACTTCACTTGGAATTCGAAAAGTTGTTCTTGAAGGATCAAAGTGAACAAGTTCTTCCATATTTTGAAGACAAGTTGCATAGCCATCCATGGACCACAGCTGATCCACATTACCCACGGGTTGTAGAAGAGTTCTGAACTTGACAGACAATTTGCAAACAGCAAGCAAAGTTCCAAAGAAGAACATCCGTGCAGCTGGATCCATGGCGTCGTTTAATGTCATTACTTTCACATTTTTAAGATTTTCTGCTTTTAAAATCTGTGGTTGAAAAATGTATTTTGGAATTCCCCTCGCATTACTAGGGAAACCATACACGTGAAATTCTTCTAGGTTTCTACAGTATTCAAACAAAGTTGGTCCCGAACAAAAATTTATTACTGGTCGATTTGAATAAACTGATTGATGGCGAAAATGTAAGCTCAATGATACAAGTCGAGCCAAACATTCTTGAGCACCTGTTGAAGATGAGAGTTCTAGATGTAAGTCTCTAATGTCTCCGATTGAGAAGGATAAGTTGGTGAGATTCGGTAAACAAGACATAATGCTGCACAAGTTTTTAACAGAAACTCGTACTTGCATAAGATGCAATGCTGAGACATTTATGCATTTTGAGATGAGATCTACACCAGCAGATTTGAGCCAGTAACAGGAGTTCAAATTCAATGTTTCAATTTTATCCACTATTGGCTTTATATAATAATGGAATTTTTCTGTTGTAAGCCAATAATTTCTTGCAAATTGGAGATGCCTGTGGAAAATAATTATGGCAAATATTTAATTCATGTAAATATTTTCCCTAAAAAAACATACTGAAAATTGACATTGAGATTTGCTAATAAAAAATTATCTAAATTTTGTGATTATGTCAACCTACCTAATTAAATAATTCAGTCTAATATTTATAAAACGTTTTAAACTTTCCTATTTATTTTATACACCAAAATAATTCAAGAAAAATTGTTTAGTCTAAAACTTATTTCTGATCTTAAACAAAAGTTCCTGTTAGGGAGCTTCCTTATATTGTTCTATTGACACAATTTGTTCGTGTCTTCTTAATCTATTTTAAAGCTTTATTGCAGTCCAACACTTTTTATAATTAGGGAGGAAAACATGTGTATGTTGTGAAATGTTATCAAATGGAGAAGCAGTACCAAGGAGGTCACATAGACATTTAAATTATGAATATAAAGATCTTGCTGGGGGAAATGCTACCTAAACAGATCAACAGTGCCTGGGTCAAATGAATTGATCTTGCCAAGACAATCTGAGAGGGAGCAAGCAACCTGCTGCACATGTTGGCTCATTTCAGGAACTCTGTGTTGGGTACTTTGTCTTGCCACTGAAAGCACAAAATGCACCAAAGGCATGTCAGGTGGAGACTGTTGCATTTCCATTTGTTTCTCCCATAGTATGTCCATGATTCATTGCTGTACAGATGTTTTTCACTCTCTTGTTTATTCAGGTCATAGCTGCTGCTTTAGAGAACTTGTCTTTATGCTCTCATTCATGGACAGCGAGCTGTGGATGGCTGATCCAAGCTATTAAAGTTCTAAACTTCCAACAGGGATACCATATGTGCGGCATTTAGACTTTTGTGACGAGTAACGCATTTAATTTTCTACATCGGTATGTATGTTAATTGTTATTATTTTAAAAGTTAAAATTCAAACACATAGTGGTTTAGCTCAATTCTGCTTCATTCATTCACAAAGGTTAATAATTTTACTTTATTAATAATAACAAACAAAAGTGTAAGAAGGTGTAAGAAAATAAAAATTGTTAGTAGTCACCGAGTCACACCCGCCTCACAAAAAAAGTGGGTTGTCGGAAATAGTTCTGGTTACCAATTTAAATAAAATATATTTTCATTGATTCATTATAGTTCATCTTTGATAATCCGTGGAAGACTAATCAGTTAATAAAGGTGAAACCATTTTACAATATTATTAGAAATTAATACAACCTAATAAATTAAATAATTGTAGTTCATGTAGTCTGGTGAATTTCGGACTTGTTTTGTCCCTTGATTTACATAATTATATTTTTAGGGCTAGTTATTAGTGGTATTTATAAATTATAATTAATGGAATAATAACATAATAAAAAGCAGTTGCTACTACAATTATGAATTATAATTCCAATAAAATATGGTTATACATTCTGGTAAACATCTAAGTCTAAAATTAAAATTTTTTCTTACATATTTTTGTGAAAATTGCGTCACTGTGACTTCTTTAAAATTAGATAAAATATGAATTAGTCTATAACAAGTTTATTAAAATAAATAAATAAGACTCAACATTATCATAGAATTTATATTTTTACTAGGACATAAAAATAAGGCAGAAATGTGTAAAGTTGGTCACAAGTTGTTTTTTTTTAAATACAAAGATAAATAAGGGGGGTTTTAAAATTCACCAAAAAAATCATAACTTCATTTCTATAAAAGATAGAAAGATGAAATTTATGTTTTTACAAAGCTTATAGCTAGCCCTTTAAAATGATGTATCATTCTATAGCAATTGGACAATATTTCAATTTTTTGTCAAAGTATTTATTTTCTGCAGAAACAAGAAAGTTAGAAAGAAATTAAGAATTGTAATCTTTTAGAAAGAAATTAAGAATTTTAATCTTATGAAAAAGTTAAGACATTTATCCAGGTTTATTTAAGAGATGAAGCCATATAGTATATAGCCATATAGAGTTGCAGTTTACACTTCTACTTTGCAGGATGCCTTCATGAGAAAGGTTTGAAAACCACTAAAAATCTTAAGTATAAAATGCAATATTTGTGTAGTCCTGGGTCTACTAATAAAATACTGATAATTGAATTTGAAATAGTTTGAAAAAAAAAAGAAACTTAAAATTAAATAGTGGAGAACAGTAAGTCAGCAATAAATCAGGCAGGTGAAATGCGTCAGTCAAGGAATTCTCAACAACATATTTTTGCATTTCATTTAGACTTCAGCATTGACTTATTCCCAATTCACGATAGGTTCATTTTATTTTAGTATTTCTAGAGATCCTGCTACTGATGGCTACTGCATCTCTGCGTCTGCAGATTTAATAGGGCTTTAAAAACTTACCGGAAAAATGATTTGTCCTTGCAAATAGCTGCAAAACGTTTGTTTACTTGACGTAGATTGAATAAGTCTCTAAGACTGAGATTCTTTAATATGAATAATATAACATCATCTGATAAAAGGTCGAATCCTGAGTCTTCTTTAGCATCTTTATCAGTGTCAACAGTCGCCATTTTATCAACAAAGTAAATAATGCTTACATCCCTTGACACTAATATGAATTATATTTTTTAAGAGTGACCTCTCTTAGCAGCATAGATACCATAGACGCTTATGACTTACGATTACGGCTTCACATGTCGCCTGATTAACCTGTTTCAACTCTTTGCGTTTTAGCTATTTTTTTGCTCTTATTTCATTTATTTATTTTTTATATTTCTTAAACAACAATGCCTGTAGGAAATTTCAACACTTCGGCGATGAAGTCGAAAAAGAAAGAAGATACTTTCCAGAAGGTCTAAGTCAAGTCTAATAACTTCAAAGTCTAGTCATTTCATACTACTATTCATAGTCATAGTCATCATATCATCATAGTAATAGTCAAAGTGTTTAAACAGTAGACTATAAATTATAATGTATGCTTAATTATTTCTAATTTCTATTTTGAATTATTATTTTTGGCCAATTCAAGCCATGGCCATGATATATTTTAAGTTCACATCATCATCAAGCAATGTCAATATGCTTTTAAATGTAGTATAATATTTCTTGCTTCCATCATCCTATCAGTACTTTCACACAGTAGTATGTATTTATTTTATGATTTGATTGAATAAAGCAGTGTTTCTTGTGTCTTACTCTGCTCTATACTTTATACATTTGGTATTGTCATTGTAGAAGTTGCCAGAAATTTAATTGAGTCAATTACAAAATATAGGCACCTTAGTCCTTAGACCTAAAGTAGACCTACTCCTTCTCTGGGTTTAACTTTATAGTTTGCCTTGTAGGGTTGTTTTAGATGGGTTACCATGCAAGTGCAAGGCTAACAAGTCCCATCCACTTCAGGTGATGATGTTGTTTTTGCTTGTCTGGGTTTTGCTGGTGATTAGAATCCAATCCAAAAGTTTAGAATGACTCATTTTGAATTCAAATCTTAACAGTCACAGAATCCTGGTCTTGCCATTTGACTTTGATCAAATATGAATGGACGAGAAAGTAAAGCTGATGAATTACGCTCCTCTCTGTCAATTTAAACAAGATACAGCGCAAATCAATGCAACTACTCACACTCACATTCTAGCCTTGATCTTCTTCACAAGCAAAGAATGAATATAAATAAATATCACACACCATAGATGCCAACTAAAAGAAATAGAATTTAGAAGTTAACTTAGGTCAAATTTACATGGACTGTCTGTATATTTACAGATGAATGGCAACCCTTGCAGACACCTCTCTTCATTACTTAAAAATCACACATTTTTTAGTACAAACTCCCTTTTTTTTTTTCACTCTTCTTTCACCCCTCTCCACTTTTCTTTTTCAACCTGGTCCTGTGCATTCCTTACTATTTTTAATTCAATATTACAGAATTTTACATCTATGTAAGTTAATAAAAAAAACTGGATAAAATATAAAGGGTAAAATCTTATTCTTTTAGGACTCTGGTAAAAAAAAAATGGTGTGAGGGTTGGGGCGTAATATTGATAAGCAAATCTTTAATTGACAACTTTTGATAGAATTTTCAAATGAACAGTTGTGCGTTTGGTGTAATTATGGGTCAGCAGAGCAAAATTATGAACAATGAATTCATGTTTTATATATTTAAAGGTTTTGGAGATAAAACAGCGCCAACAGAACTGGTTAAGACAAAGAGATCAAAGCCAGAAGGATGATTCAAGTGAGGAAACAGTTAACCTTTAACTTTAAAAATAATTGATTATGTAGGGGCCTATATCAGTTTTTTTTTAAATCTTGCATTTGTTTTAGTCAACAGTCTTATCTTGTTATAGACACTATTGACTATTCAGAATAGAGTTTCAACGCCATACCAAAGATCATAATAATTTTATAAAGTGTCAAAATTAGGCTAACATATTACTGAGTAATATCCAGGCTCACCATGTGGTACAAGATCAAAAATGGGCTGGTGTACTGCTCAGGCATCAAACAGAAACTCGTTCATCTTCCCCCTAGACAGCGACAAGGCCACGACAGACAGTTCCGACTGGTAAAAACAAGAACAAAGTACAGGAGCTCCTCATTCCTGCCGAAGACAATAGGGGACTGGAATAAGCTTCCAAAAGCAACAGTTGAAAAAGCCTTGCAGTATCTGCTGCAGGGTGATTGAAATCATCTGGTTATCTGCAATAATCGTCTCTGGCCCGTTCTTTAATCTCCTGGCTCTTTGTCATTAGTCAGCATTTGTTTGCTCCCTTTAGTTAATCAGATTATTAACCACTCTCACTAATTCTAGCAATCAAAACAATATTTCATTGGGGTTTTCTTTAAAGAATTAAATATATATTATTTTTTTAAAACTTTTTTTCCAAATGATATTGACCATCGCCCGAAGATAATTCCAGCACCTCCACAAACCTACACAGCTTTTTAGTGCTTGCCTTTAAAAGCATTGTTAATTTAAACTATTCCAAATAAATAAATTATTTCACAGAGCCTAAATCACAGCAGCCTGTTTCAAGCAAGACAACACACTCTAATATTAAACCAAGTGAAATACAAGCTTCAAAGACTAAAGCATCTGGACCAGTTGATCTAAAGTCCAAAGCTAATGTGAATATTTTAACTTAAATTAATTTAAAAAGCTTTCATTGTTAAAGTCTTTTTTTTTTTACTTAAGGACTGCATATTATTTTGTATTATGCTCAAACATTTCTAATTGTCTCTTTCTAAATAGATGATTATTCAATTACAGGTGAGAGACAAATTTAATCACTGGATAAATGTTAGAAATAATTTTGTAAAGGATGAAGAATCTGATTTAAATGACAATAACAGCATCTGTAGTGGGGCTGAGAGTGAATTAGAACGACTCGTTTCCCCTGAACTTGATCCATTTCGTCTACCTACCGAAGAGCAAGATTTTACTCTACTGGCTGACCAGATTGCAAAAAGAGTAAAAGATGATCTGGGTTTTTCTCATTTGACAAAAGACTTATCTGAATCAGTATCTTCTGGAGCGTCAACATCCATTCCTCTAAATGAGAGTAGAAGGGAATCATTACGTTGTCTGACTTTTACACAAGACAGCCCAACTTTTGGTCTGACAAGTCACAGTTGTTCTGTGTGTAAGAATTTGATGGTATGTTTATTGTATTATTTGTCCTGGCATGTTTTCTAATAAGATCTATTGCATTTTCAACTTTTTAAAGGAATTTTTATGTTTAATTCATGCAAAAATAAATAGTTCAAAACATGTCTATTTTTTACCACCTTTATTTGATTTTAAATCTACAAAACTTTGTGCATATTATATGACAGACTCATAGCTGAAACAGTGCTGACATTACCTAGTCAATTAGTAGTATTATTATTTAAATGGTTTTAACAAAAATATAAATTAAAGATTTATAGCTTCATAATTATTATTTTATGTCATATGTTAGAAATTTATATAGGCCACTAAAGAAAGTAGATATACCAGGGATTTAGTATAAGACTGCAACTTTTCATTATGCATCTTAGTAGTTCAGTAAACTAAGAAGAACTGCTATTAACTGATCCAGAGTAACTTTTTCCATTTTTAGCTTTCATCTAAAAATATACCAATGATGGTGATCCCTTGCGGCCACACACTGTGCAAAGCCTGTTCACAGGGGAGACAAACCTGCACTTCCTGCGACTGTCCTGTTGTATCTCTAACAGTGAACATAATGTTGCAACAAGTGATTCAGGAATATCATGCTAAGACACACCTTTCTACTAGTAATGGCTATCCAACCCAGACCAATTCTATGGATGGAACTAAAAGTTATTCTTCCTCTAAATATGTTGATGGTGAGAATTCTATTCTTAAATTAACATATTTTACCATACTCTGATCAAATATATAATTGCTGGAGATAAGCTTAACACTAATTATTACTCTTTACACCTATTTTAAGATATACCACTCTTTGCAGATAACAAGCCATATCATATGCAGCTGTCAAATCTTCAAACAAGACATGATATTTTGTCAACTGAACACACATCATTGCTTACTAAGCAAAGGCAAGTGTTACATCGCCTAAGGCAGGAATGTACACAGGTGCAGAACATAAAAAGACAAGAAGATGAACTTGAAAAGACAGTAGCAGAGTTACAAGACAGGTTAAAATCACTGAAGTCACACAGGTTTGTATTGATCTCCTAACAAACATTACCGTAAACATCCCAAAATGTAAATAAAGTTGCCTTGATTGACGAGTCAAAAATTAAAGTTATTAAATAAATACACAAATTCAGATATATTAACAGATGTAATAAACTGCATTGGACTTAAAAGCTCCTTTATCATAATTTACACACATAACTGTTTAATGAATTGAAGTTTATTTTAACCAAAATCAATTGTTTTTTTTTTGTCTAAATGAGATCTCATTGTTTTAAATCAAACTTGTGGCACAGAAAAATTTATTTTTTTATCATTAAACTCAAATCCACACTAAAATAGTCTCCACCATAAAATAGGTTTTGCACATTTGTTCTGGTGTTCACTATTATAAATATGTCAAACCTAGAGCTACTTATGTATAGAATAGTCTTTGAGTTACAACAATTTTACATACTAGATATCAATATGACAGTAAAGTTTTGGAGCTACAGAATGAAAAATCTGAACTGGAATCTCAAATAGCTTTACTTGATACCACCATTTCATCTTTGGTCAAAGAAATTGAAAAGGTGAATCTTCAACTGAGCATTTTTTCTTAAGTGTTTTAATTTTCAGTTTTTTTAATTTAAATCAAGCCTTTGATAATCCGGTTCACTATTAATATTCATATCAAGATCTCCCCTGTGAAGATATCAGTAGTCAACGTTTTCTTTAAATATTTGCCTTAGGATACAAGGCATTCCTTTCAACAATAATCTGACTAGACTATTTATTGAAACTATTTATTTAGACTATTTATTTAGACTATTCATTTAGACTATTTATTTAGACTATGTATTTAAACTATTTATTTAGACTATTTATTTATATTTAGACTATTTATATAGACTATTCATTTAGACTATTTATTACTCCTAATAGAGCAGCTTAAACAAAATCTTATTCCTATTTATTATATTTCAGGTAAAGTTGTTGGCAGAAGGTCAAAACGATACAAGAGCGATATAAAGAGTTGGATCGAAATTTCATTTTAACACTTTGCTTCGTCCAATATTTAAAATACTTTAAGGCAAACTCTGTTTTAATTTTTTTTTCACCTCACCGATCCTTGTGTCATTCATTGCTAACATTTTGTTGCAAGAAAACTCAGTGATCCAATGATTAGGCGTATTCATTATTGGGGTGAATTAAATTTTAACATAAGCTCTCAATAACTGATTACTCTTTAAAACAAAGATTTCCAGCATTATCTCAATGCTTGGCTGTTTAATGAAGTTTGATGACAAGGAAGCTAATAGACAGTATTGTGGACATGTTGGAAGACAAACATGCTTTTTGCTTATTTGTAAGAAATATTTTCTCATTGCAATAAAAATGGAATTGGTATCATAATAAATTCTTTTGAAGCATTATATGAGGTGAGAAGCTAGAACTAGGAGAGAAAGGGGAGAATTTAGAACTAGGCAAGAAAGGGGAGAAGTTAGAACTAGGAGAGAAAGGGGAGATGTTAGAACTAGGAGAGAAAGAGGAGAAGTTAGAACTAGGAGAGAAGGGTGACATATTATAACTAGGAGAGAAAGGTGGGATGTTGGAACTAGGAGGGAAAGGTGGGATGTTGGAACTAGGAGGGAAAGGTGGGATGTTAGAACTGCAGATCAGAGGGAAATTTAAATTCCTTACCTTCAAAGAAGAAGGTATTTTCCAAGCTCTTTATTACATTCTAACATGTTTTGTGGTAATTATTTTAGTGTGCCTGTCCAACTCTGCTCAAAGCAAGTAAATAGCATAAAAATTTGGACATAGTGAATTAAGTTTCTATTCCGAGAAGTGACAAATAGGGCAATGACAAACTGCTATCACTTTACCAAGCCAAAGATCTTTAGAAGAGGATTGTGCAAACTATTATTCTGAGAATGTTTCAAACACCGTAATAGGGGGATGCTTGGGATTAGTTTATGGCCCAAAGGGGGCGGTGGACGTAAAAAGATTGGGAACCAATGAATTGGATCATAGCCATAGCTTCTGTCTGTACACATATCAGTCAATCTGTTGGTGACACAAAATCACAAACTAAAATAAAAGTGTACAAGAACATTTGAGTGACCTTTCTATAGACTCAAATATAAAAAACAAGTTTAAAAAAATGAATAAACAAAGTTAATATTTTTAACAAAATTAACATTGGAACTGACTCTTGTGTAATAAGAGTGTTTTTTAACTTTCACATTTGTTCATACAGGCACCATGTCTTGAGATTTCAGAAGATCATTTATTTAAAGCACTCTTTTTTGATAGATTGTACCCATCTTTCCACTCCATATATGTTCATTAGATTGTACCCATCTTTCCACTCCTTGTTCATTAGATTGTACCCATCTTTCCACTCCATGTATGTTCAATAGATTGTACCCATCTTTCCACTCCATGTATGTTCATTAGATTGTACCCATCTTTCCACTCCATGTATGTTCATTAGATTGTACCCATCTTTCCACTCCATGTATGTTCATTAGATTGTACCCATCTTTCCACTCCATGTATGTTCATTAGATTGTACCCATCTTTCCACTCCATATATGTTCATTAGATTGTACCCATCTTTCCACTCCATATATGTTCATTACATTGTACCCATCTTTCCACTCCATGTATGTTCATTAGATTGTACCCATCTTTCCACTCCATGTATGTTCATTAGATTGTACCCATCTTTCCACTCATTCCAAGTATGTTCATTAGATTGTACCCATCTTTCCACTCCATGTATGTTCATTAGATTGTACCCATCTTTCCACTCATTCTAAGTATGTTCATTAGATTGTACCCATCTTTCCACTCCATATATGTTCATTAGATTGTACTTGTACCCATCTTTCCACTCTATGTATGTTCATTAGATTGTACTCATCTTTCCACTTCATGTATGTTCATTAGATTGTACCCATCTTTCCACTCCATGTATGTTCATTAGATTGTACCCATCTTTCCACTCCATATATGTTCATTAGGTTGTACCCATCTTTCCACTCCACGTATGTTCATTAGATTGTACCCATCTTTCCACTCCATGTATGTTCATTAGATTGTACTCATCTTTCCACTTCATGTATGTTCATTAGATTGTACTCATCTTTCCACTCCATGTATGTTCATTAGATTGTACTCATCTTTCCACTCCATGTATGTTCATTAGATTGTACTCATCTTTCCACTCCATGTATGTTCATTAGATTGTACTCATCTTTCCACTCCATGTATGTTCATTAGATTGTACTCATCTTTCCACTCCATGTATGTTCATTAGATTGTACTCATCTTTCCACTCCATGTATGTTCATTAGATTGTACTCATCTTTCCACTCCATATATGTTCATTAGATTGTACCCATCTTTCCACTCCATGTATGTTCATTAGATTGTACTCATCTTTTCACTCCATGTATGTTCATTAGATTGTACTCATCTTTCCACTCCATGTATGTTCATTAGATTGTACTCATCTTTCCACTCCATGTATGTTCATTAGATTGTACTCATCTTTCCACTCCATGTATGTTCATTAGATTGTACTCATCTTTCCACTCCATATATGTTCATTAGATTGTACCAATCTTTTCATTCCTTAAATGTTCATTACATTGTACCCTTCTATTTATTCCTTGTATGTTCATTAGATTGTACCCATCCTTCTTTGCATTTGATATTCATTAAATTGTCCCAATCCTTATATTTGTTTTATATAATTATATGAGGATGCTAAAGTTAATGTAATTATTTGCAATATTTTAGTGAAAAATTCAAACAAATTTAACATGATTAAATATTATTGGCACTTTATTGTAATTGTATAGATTATTATAATTTTTAAGAAACATAATTTACAGAAAATAAATGAAACCAATTTAAACGGGTAGCAATAAAACAAACATTTTTTTTTTAAAATCTGCAGTAAAGTATATTCCAAAATTACATTGAAACTAATACTTCATCCTTTGTCTTCAATACCATATATTTAGCTGTTACTGAAAAATATAACATAATCCAGTTTAAACAATTTGAGCTCATTTCATGAACATTAGTTTTGTTGCATTATGGTCCATATAATATGGTCCATATAATTCCAAGCATAACAAGCTGAAAACAGAGACACCAAATCTGCTATATAATTAGACAAAACAAGCTGAAAACAGAGACATCAAATCTGCTATATAATTAGACAAATTCTTAGGATGAATTTCCACATTCTTTGAGACTTTGAATGACAGAATCTAAAGAGGTTAGATTTACACCAAAAATGTGGCATCGTAAAGGTGCCTCAACAGAAATACTCTTATTATGAGTCTGATTTGAAAGAGAATGTGAAATTCATTGGAAATGTAGCCATAACACAAAAATATCTAGTTACATAAAGTTAAAAGTGTGCTTAGACTTGAGTGTAAACACATTTTTTCACAAGATAATAGTGCACAAAAAATTTACATAGTTAACTGTAAACATATTTTTTGATGTGAGTAATAGTAAACATATTTTTATGTGAGTAATGATAAACATATTTTGCTATAAGCAATGGTAAAAATATTTTGAGATAAACAATGGTAAATATATTTTACCATGATTAATAATAGTAAACATAATTTTAAGACAAAAAAGGAAGCCATGAAATAACCAGCACCAACTCTCCCAGGAGATTCTAAATAAGTGAATATTCCAATTATTAGTGAATATTCCAATTATTAGTGAATATTCCAATGATTAGTGAATATTTCAATTATTAGTGTATATTCCGATTATTAAAGACATAATTAGTTGAAAGTGTATCAACAGCAATAATAAAATAAGCTCATTACTTATTTGCCTTGAGTTTCAATTGTGTTCTTTCATCTGACAAAATTGAGTTCTCTTTAACTGCACAAAGCGCTTAACAAAAAATTCAAATTCAGTGTCACCATGTTTAACACCAGGTGTTTTTTTTTTATAATAAACTTTTTTTTTCAAAGTTTTATTTTAAAAAATGGATATTTACCATATAATTTTATAGAAAAATATAAGTAAATGTATATGAAATATGAAAATTATTTGCAACTTGACTGGGGATTTTCATTAACCATGTATACAATGTCATTATGACAAATGTTAGTACTTGAAGTTGTTAAGAATGTGGCTTACTATTGCCATCCATAGCAAATAAAGCGATACAGCCTTTAAGCTAATTTGGCCAGCTCACTTTGGCTAGGAAAATACCAATAGGTGCCTTTCACGTTCTTTGACAATCGCATGATATCATCACTGTGACCATCACCCCCAGCGCCTACCATTCTATCCAGCATGAATTCAAAGTTGTATGGGTCAGCTGCATAGCCAATGAAAAAAAGTCCAGCTTCTTTTCCAACTGTTCCAAATGGCATAGATTGTCTGACAATTTCAACTGGCTTGGGCTGTTCAAAACCATTTCCTATAGATTGATATAAAAAACCGTTAGGCTTTGAAAAGAAAATATTTGATCATGCATAATAGTGTAGTTATGTTAATTTTAATTCATAATTAAAAGTTTAAATTGCATGTTCTGAAATTCTATGAGCTAAATTGGTAATGTAATTAGAATTACAAATATCCTACCTCCAGTCATTCTTGCAACATGGGATGTGATTGATTTCTTTGAAATTTCTGTACTATCTCCTCTTTCTCTTCCAACCCATGCTTCCATGGTTTTAGCTGTGATAAAAAAATAATAACTTTAACCTTGATACGTCGATACGAATATAATTTTTTTTTAATCAAATATCGGTATTAAAAGTTAGGTTTTCAATAATTATTCAAGTTTAAAACCATTTTGGTAAAGGATTTGTTTTTAAATATTTACCAAACTTTTATTATCTGAATAAAATTATCAATCCAGAGATTTATCAATATAATATAAAATATAATCCCAAATAATAGCATAGCAGGTATATATATATGTATGGCTTTAGAGTTGTGTTCAATAGGAGAACAAAATAACATTTCCAGCAGTTAGCTCTAATTGGGATTATTATAATCGCGTTACTTGAATGCTTGTTTTTTTTAAGTAACTTTAGTAGATGAGAAGTTTAAGAAATACTGCCACCATCGTTTGGCAGGTTCTTACTATTAAATTAAAATTGGCAAAAAAAAAGATTGTCTCTAAATAGCTTATTGGTTAGGATTTATGAAATATTGGTCAGAAAACAATTGTATCTGGAGAAAGTGACTTAAAAATTATATATTTATTTTACAAATATTACAATACTTACGCTTTTCATTATTTATGACATTAAAATCATGGATCCATTTCTGTGTGATCTATAGAAAAAATTAATTAATAGCATTTATATGACCTTAACATTAATAATTCTACAGATTTCAAATAGAAACATGCTTTACAATAACTACATAATTTTTCAATTATACATAAGTTTTGCTGAATGATCAACTTATCGTGTAAAATTTCTGAAAAAATTTGGAGAAGGTAGCACTCCATTATAACAAAACGAGAGCTATTTTGTCAATCTGAATTGGCCTTTTTGTCAAATAAATCCATGGAGTTTGTACATTTCACCTTAAGGGAATACATGATAAAAATAATGAATCACAGATATATTTGAATAACAAAACAGAAAATCAAATCTGGGCGCATACAACTTAAATGCCAACACTTACCACATAGCTGCCTCCAGTTTCTTTCTCCACAGCAACTTGCTGTCTTCCTTCATCATCAGCTCTGTTTTCAGTACCTAAACATTAAAAGGTTAATGTATTCATTTTGTCATCAGACATATATATTTTAAGTTTACATTGTGAAAATTATCAGATATACTTTAAAATTTTATTATGAAAACCTCTTATTCTACAGTGCAACAATTGGAAGCATACTTAATTTCAATATAATCTGATGGTGTGGGAATTCATCGTCTGATATTAAACACTGAAAAAACAGACTAATCAAGAAACCTAGGAACATAACACAAACTAAACATCCTTCACTTGAAGAACTATTTGAAGAAAGATGTTATTGTAAAACTAAACACATTTTCGATGATACATCCCACCCTCTTCATCACAGATACTTAGGATTGGCCCGTTTGGGACGAATTCTTTCTCTCAGGGCCATAACTGAAAGATATAAAAATTCTTTTGTTCCCCAATCTGTGTGAATTTACCAGCGTACTCCCCCTAAAGTCACAAATCTTAATGAGAACTAATAAGTTCCTGATATAGCTAAGAGAGTTCACTGAATGGCTGTTTTTTTCACTAGTGAAATAATTTAATGTAGATGTCTTGTGTTCAAATTGTTTTAGTTATGTGCTGAAAATGTACAATGCAATCAAAAAACATTTCCATTTGTTTTGATCAATAAAAGAATCTTATCTTATCTTAATGCCTAATAGAGCTTATTTTATTAAAAAACACTCTTAACCCTTTTATTACCGCTGGCTGCTGACTCAGCACTAAAAACTTTTAAAATAAACAAAATTAAAAATATTAAAATTCCAGTATTTTTCATTCTCTATCCGATTCGCTTATTAACTTCTCTATGGATTAACAAATAAAGAAATATATAGTATCGAAATATGACGTCGACATGATGTCCTTGGTATTTCAGAAAAGTTCTTGCCTCTTTGTTATGACGACAATGTGATTACAATCCTTGGTAATTTTAAAATGGGTGATCGTGACGTCATGTCAACGTCATCGGTAGCAAAAGGATTAAAGTCAAATAGAGCTTAAGGTTGTTTCTTGTTTTTTTCACTCCTTTTAATATTAAAGTGATAGTCACTTAGTCTGGCTGAACCAATGCTGAATACCTAGTGTTTGAATAGATTTCATTTCAGCCAGAGTTACTTCATTGTTTTTTTTAAAGTATTAATTGATAAATTTGATCCTATGGACTCATTTAACATGCTCCAAATCATTAGGCTATGTAACATTACTTGGGTAATTAGGCTAAGTAACAAACTCTGGGTCATACAGCTGAAATAAATGTGGGTATTACTAAATGTTAGCCTAACCATCAATAAATCCAGACAGATCTCTGCCATTCTGATAGACAAAACTGTAAATGTCCTCAAAGCTTTCTACACTGTCTTTAGGAAGACTTTTAATGAACAGTTGACAGAGTTCAAACAGTTTGCTTATTTGGTTGGACTTGGCATGAATAAAAACATCACCCCCTGAAAAAGAAACAAATTTATGACATTCAAATATTAAATGTACAATCATTTACTGCTATACAAAATTGATATGATTGGTTGTGAATAAAAAAGGTAAACAGAAATATTATTAAACACAAAATGTCAAACTTTTGAATATTATTAATTATTATTATTCCAGTGGTCTTATATAGTGCGGTACCCCAGCTAGTGCTGGCTCACCACGGTTCACATAAAATATTGACAAAAATAAAAATGACATTAATATATATACATTTATTTAATTAAAAAACACCTTTAAAAAAAAAAAAATCCCCCCCCCCCCCCCAACTCTTTACATGTCAAGTCACAGACAGCACCCAGCAGCATCGTTTATTGGCCAGTAAAATTCGAAGCTATGTGTCTTGAGTGCAGTTTTGAAGGCCTGGCTGGTCAGTATAGTGGGGATGTGTAATGGGAGACAATTCCATTGACTGGAGGTGCAGAAGGAGAAAGATTGTTCATTATATGTTTTAGTATGTGTCTTGGGAACAGAAAGAATACCAGTGTCTGCAGAAAGTGAAGCTGTCCAAGGGGTGAATAGACAGAAAGAAGTTCGGTTAGATAGGAAGGGCAGGATCAGAGAAAAAGTTGTGACAGAGAGCAGACAGTTTGTAATCAATGCATGCTTGTAAAGTGAGCCAATGAAGTGATTGAATATTAGGCTACCTGAACTAGGCATTTCTCCTAGGCTGCCTTTCCTATAAGGGTAGACATAACTTTTTCTAGTCTTGCCTGAAACCTTAAAGAAGACGAATAAAATTTGGTTTAAAACTATGACTTTCAATAAAAATAAACAAGCAAATTATCATTTTTAATTACACAAAGAAATGATTGATTATTACATTAAAAAATATCTAAAACTTCTTTTCTCTCTAAAATATGTAGTTATACCCACTAGTAATTTCAACAGTCTTTTTAAGAAGCAAAACCATAGGGGATCAGAAACACTAGTGGTTTACTTTAAGTTACTATAGATGATAGGGGTTTAAACATTCCCCTATTATTATATATTAAGTTTTTAACATATCTTGTGCCACTACTTATTTAAGTTTTTAAAGCATGTTATGTAGAAATAATAGGGTTTGTTTACCTGTGCATAAAAGTTGGGACCAAATCCTACTCCTGCCAAAACTTCATCATCTTCATCCTTCAAAGCTGGATCAACAACAGCATCAACTAGTTTTTGAAGCTTTGCTGCAACTTTGGCAACTTCTCTAGGACTAGCTGTGGGTTTGACATGGATCCATAAATAGAGAGCATGATCTTTACCAGGGGACCAAACCTATGTTGAATTTTGAAGATGTTGATTACAATGTTGACCGATTGATAGAAATGTGATATAAAATTCTGTTCTCAGACATTTATGACCATTAATCTTATATTTATGTTTATAAGTTTAAGTAAAAAGGGGAAAAATAACCACTCATCTGTATTAAAAAGAACAAAAATGTACACATTCAATACATATTTCATAATAATTTACATAAAGCCACATTACTTATGGTGTACAGCTTACAGATGGTTGACTTGCTGGTGGAGCAGCTGCTGAAAGCGTGGGAGGAGTAAAAATCGCCTGCACAGTTTTAGACAAATCTTTTCCAGCACTGTTGGTCTTAGATTTGTAAAGGCCATAACCAGCAATGCTGACTCCTAATGCTGACCCAACCAAGAGAGCACCTCTGCTTTTGATGGAAGATGATTTTGTGCTCAGTTGCCTAGAAACAGCTGGGTCCAAATTAAATATTGATTAATTATACATTATGGCATATAGATTTTATTTTATTGGTGAAGTACTTGGAAATCAAAGAAAGCTAATTCAAATTTACACTTGCACTGCCTTATTCTTTAGTACTTACACTACTTATTAGAAAGTTCAAGTAACCGAAGTAGGTAACTGCCCAGAATGTTTCAAGTAAAATTATATAAATATTTTTAAAAATAAGAAGGTAAGAGATGTTTGATAATTTGTACCTCATTTTTTTAATATCTTAAAACATTTAAAAGAAGTTACACAAAATTGCAAATGATTCACAAAAAGCAATTTTGTATAACTTCTTAAATGTTCATCACCCAGATCAATGCAACTGCAATATAAAACAAGAAAATAGCAAACATGAAACTTTTCTAGGCAGAATTCTCTAATTACTTTTTCCAAATATGAGTTATTTTTAAGGTGACAACAAATTTGGAGAAAAAAACTTGTTCAACAGTAGGCAGTTTGGTAACTAAAGCCCCTGCCCCTACAATCACTATGCCAGCTAATCCTATTTTTCTAGTGATGCAGAGGCTACATAACCATTGGGTCAAATTTATAAATAAACTAAAAATTAGAAGTGTGTCACATTTTAAATTCAGTATGAACAAACCATTGAAAGAACATGATGGTGGCCTAAAAATTTACATAGTGGACTAACCCAGTCATTTTAAACGTGTGTTTAAGTGTCTGAGGAAAAAATTTAAGATGTTGGTGTGAACATTACATGGCTGCTTTTAATAAATCTGTCAACAAAAAAGTATTGCATTAAGTTGTTTTTTTTTTTAGTTTTTTGCTTTTAATGTTTTGGTAGGTTCATGACCGTTTTGTATTCCGCTAATCTTTCTCTGTTTCATTCCCAGTATTTTAAACACCATTCAGGATTCAGAAGACAGTTTCTTTTTGTGCCCTTTACGCAAGAATTGAAAACTATACTTCATCCCTGTAGGGTTTTGTTGAGAATCAATGCATTTAATATTAATCTATAAATAAGATGTAAGTGTGTCATTATTTTTCATTGTCATTATCAAAAGAAAATCAGATTTTAACAAATTGTTGGCAATTCCTCAAGTTGAGAGAAGGAATGTAATAAAATATTTAAAATGTTAGCTAAAAGCAAGCAGGCAGAGTAACACACTGCAAGTGTACAGAAGTGTGCATATGTATGGAAGACTGCATTTATGCAGGAGACTGCATTTATATAGGAGACTGCATATATGCTAGACGGAGACTTTATGTAGGCCCTACTGACAGGTCCATCAATTGTCAATATAATTAGAGTAAATAAAAACTCATTCTCATAGACTATTTATACTATTTAGCATTATTGGGCTACACTTATTAAGTCTAAGTCTTATATTGAATTGTCAGTGAGACTCTGGTTATTTAAACTTAGACTTATTTACAAACTAGTGTTACACAGTGATTCAACTTAATGATTTTAACTGTATTAATTGATTAATAATTTAGCCAGAGCCATGACAAAGAAAAGCCACTATTCAATATATTATAATATATTAAATAATTAATTTAGTAATATAGCAAACTAAAAGCTGTCTAGGGCGGACCAGTAAAAATTAAGACTATTTTGCGCCCCTTGTCTTTGTGGAGAACATGGGATTGGGATTTTATAATTTAATTCACTTTTAAAGTTTCAAGTCCGGTCCCGTCTAAAGACGATTTGGTCGCTGCCACCATCATGTTTACACCCTAGGCGAGTGCCCCCCCCCCCCCAGCCCAACCCTTTTTTTTTTTTTACACACCCTCCCTGATTTTAGCCCTGAAGACAGTTGAAACCTGAGCCTGCACTGAAATAATTTATTTTATTTTGCAGGGCACTAACTACTACACTATCACATTTCACAAACAAGTCTAGTGACAAGTGAGTTTGCTTGGCTTAGGCCTAAAATAAAATATTGAGTTCTAAATTCTAAAGCCTAGTCAAGCCTAGTCATTGTGAGTAACTGTTAGCGTTTCTGTTTACATACTTTACAATTTACTTTGGTAGCCTTTACTTTACTTTACTTTCAGTACTCAGTAACCACTTTCACTTTCACTTTATATTATTTACTACCTTGGCCATTGCTCAGTAAAAAAGATCTGGACGCCGCTCTGAAGATTCTTATCGACGCCATTTTCTTAACACTACAATACTTGAATACTGCCAAGTCAGTTCGCTAAGTTTTTAGATATAATAATAGTTGTAACTAACAAAAGCAAGCTGTTGTTTGCTGGACGTGCAAATTTAAAAGTAAAATGCCACGGTCAAGGGGGTTCAAAGTTCATATAAGTCACGTAATAAATCTATTTTTGATTATTTCTACTTCCGGCACAAATAATATTTTTAGACACCCTTTAGCTAAGAAAACAGCTGTTAACATTCGTAACAAATAAACATTATAAGTAGGTCACTGATTTAACAACGTAGTATCAACAGAATTTGATAAAAGCGCATCATTCGAAGGGTACGCATTTAATTGTCTTAATTTCTTATTAGCCATTTAAGTATCAATTTCATCTCACTAAATTCACTTGAATTTGAAGTCTTAAAAGTCGCACTCAGCTGAGTGAGCAGGCAGCAGGCGTAGGATACCGACACTTACTGTACTAAAAAGATTACCGTGTACGTAGGCCTACTAATACTATCTCTGATGATTAATTTACAGTCTCTAAGTCAAAGAATTAAGAGTCAAAAAGTAAGACTAATTTTATTACAGCACGGCAAGTTTTAATTTACTTACTATTTTATTATGTAAGTGTATGCAGTGACTGAGTGAGTATGGCCTGTATGGTGAGACTAAAATAATCCAGTATATATATTATATAATATAGTATAGAGTTAGTTTTTTTTAGTAGGCCTTAGCCTATTAGCAAATATTAACTACTAACTAATACTAATACTAATTATTATTTTAGATTATAAAGTATAGGCCTAATTAATTAGTAATTAGGCCTATAACCTAAGTTGACCTAAGTCAGTCAGGACAAATTTTGTCACTAATTAATTACTAATAATGTAATTAAATAATATAAATTTACTTTATAGCTACACTACATTACAGTTTAAGGATAGTTTTTCAATGCATACTTATATGAAAGCAAACTAAATCAAGAATTATTAAAGAATTAAGAAAACATGGTATGGTCCAGGATACCTATACTATGCTAAATATTAAAGTTAAGTAATAAAAGTTGAATCACAACTAAAATAAAAGATGTAATCATGCTACTTTGTCAGTGTGCCAATCTTGACTTTCTGAGAAAATAGTTTATTTTTTAACTTCAGTCCTGGCCTCAGATCTCCAGTTTAACAGTTGATTGACAATTGGCCATAACCACTGGCCACTATTAGTCAAAATGGGAGGCTAAGAATATTAGTGAAAATGTGAGGCTATAACTATAATGTCTTGAATAAGGGACAATCAATAAATTATTTTTGAAGATTTTTAATTGGTTGTCACAATTTTCTGATGAGGGTGTCTAATTTTATAGCAATCTTTGTGATTATGAAATGGGGTGTGTGTAAATATCTCCAAAAATAGCATGTCATTTATGGATATCTGAAATATCTCCTCATTGCAGTTTATTAAAAAAAAAAAAAAAAAATATTTTTTTGAGGACAGTGAATTGCAATTGGGAGTAGAAATCTTGAACACCAATATCAATATATTAAGCCTAAGCTTTAATAAAGAGTGTTTCTGGATCTCTATTAGCTCCCTTTTTAAGTTTCTCCATGCTTGCAATAAGAGACTGTGGGCAATACTGGATTTGGGATGGATGAGTAGTTTTGCGCAGCAGAGCGCACAGCAACAGAGTCTTAAACAATTCCCAAGGTGAAAACAAGGGTGTGTTTTACACTGCTTTCCAAGAGAGGGAAAAGTAATGAGTCTGCTTAACTCCAGCATAGCTGGCACAACTGAGACTGGTGAAAACTTAAGTGCCAGCAGAAGAGCTTGGTAACTCAGAGGCAGATGAATAGACTACAACAGGGACCCAAACTGTCAGCATTGCACACTGGCCCCAGAAAACAGTGGAACACCTGTTTAATTTATGCTCCCAAACTAGACTTGGGAGGCTAGGGCAGCAGATATTATATATGGGTGAGCTAAGCAGATGGAGCTTGATGCCATTGTGTAAGCCAAGTGCCCAGGACAGTAAACAGTAATTTTTCCCCAGCCACTAAAAAACCCACAGACAGTAAATAAATTAAACTGTTGCATGGAATTTTTGTAATTTTTCTGGATCTGCCACTAGCTACTAGAACTGTTCCAGGATATTGTTAACTCCACTCTTTGTTGTATTAAATTGTGTTTTTTCGAATGTTTAAAAGGCTCTGAGCCATTCAATATTGAGTACAGAAACAGGCTACTACCTCCCTGGCTTTGCTATTAAAATAAAATATTATGAGCATGTCAAGGATAGTAAATAACATACCAAAAATGTATAATTCAGAAAGTTGTTAAAATTAGTTATGAGATGCATTTATTTATATCTGTTACAATAGATGAAAGCTTTTGCTACTTCATTTGTTTATTTTTTTTTTAAATTTTCAGAAACATTTTTTTCTAATTTTTTACCTTGGTCTTTCTTTAGTGTTAAAGAGTGTTACTTTAAAAAAAAAAATGTGTAAATATCATTCAGCTTAACATGTGTCATGTGAAAAGCATGTTTAGCTATGTATTTAAGAAATATAAGAAAAGTTTAAAATAAAAGTGGTGTTTATTTACTAAATGCTTCCAGCAGAGAAAGCATAACACTTGATCAAGTACTTAAGCTACTGTTTGAACCAATTCAGCTACATTATTTGCTTCATGTTCAAATATTGAGCAAAATGTTTAATCACTTTTGACTTTTTGCCAATGTTTGCTCTTAACAAACATGTTGGGCCTTTTACTGCTGCACTAGTGAAATCTAATTCTTTCACCACATTTAATTAAACATGGCCTGCTAAGTCAAGCCTAGTCAAGGTATTGAATTTTTTTTTGTAGTCATCACCACAACCCAACCCTATATATGCCTGGCTTGATGAAACTAGTGAAATTCTTAGTTTAGATTTTCTTATGTAGTTTTTGTGGCTCTTGATTTTCACAATTTAAAGGTTATTTATCTTTCTTTTAATTTGTGTGTGCAGATTTAATAAATGTGTAAACTTTATGACAATAAAAATGATATTTCATGTGTTGCAGTTGGCTTCAAATTAAAAACACCTCCTATGTCAGCGCTTCTATTGTGTCTGAACCAAGATAAGATAATATTCTTTTATTTATAAACAAAAAATGGAAATGTGTTTTGATTTCATTGTACATATTCATTTTCACCACAGGTATAAATATTCTTAACCAGACAATATTTTTTTGAAAAAAACAATAATTTAAACACAAGAAATTTAATGTATTTCTCATTCTCAAGTGCAAAAGTCAGCCATCATATACCATAAAACCTCACTCCCATAGTGACAATATTGACTTTAAGAGTGATTGTTTGATTTCGTAACAGGAGGGGTAGCCCTCTGGTTAATTCTAACAGATTGAGGTACAAATGAATTTTACATCTTTCACTAGCTTTCAGTCCTTTATTTGAGAAAAAGAATTGGCCCTGATTGAGCTGGTCTTAGGTATCTGTTATGAAGAGGGTGGGATTTATACTCAAAATTTTTGTTAACTTTCACAATTTATGCATTTTATTTCAAATAGTTCTTCAAGCGAAGGTAGTTTAGTTTGTGTCACATTACTCACTGTCTTGATAAGTCTATATAATCTATTAAAAAGGAAATGAAAATGATTGTTAGTTTAGCATTAGTCATATGTCTTGATATCAGTGTGCAGAAAAGAAAAATAATTTCATAAAGCATTGCAAAAATATTATCAGTTCAGAAGAATGTCAAATATCAAAAATATGGCTTCATATCCAACTTTTTTCTTAACTTTTTCATAAATATTAGACTAATACTTTTTTTTTTTTTTTTTTTTTAAAGATGCTAAAGTTTAAATAAATTCAGGTAGCTAGAAATTACAAGAAATAGTTTTTTTTTAAAATGGACTTGAGCCCCATAAAAGTAAACTTTCCCCAAGAAAAATACAAACTTTGAATTTTTTTTTTTTTTTTTTTTTTAAAAAAACAAAAGTTTAAATAAATTCAGGTAGCTAGAAATTACAAGAAATAGTTTTTTTTTAAAATGGACTTGAGCCTCATAAAAGTAAACTTTCCCCAAGAAAAATACAAACTTTGACTATCACTTGCATATCAATTCTAGTATAGCCAGTTGTATTTGTATTTGTTTTTTTATTCATAAGATAAAATGAAAAAGTGAGTCTTATGGGTAAAATATAAGAACATGCAACTCTTAGTTAGTTGTGTTTAAACCATGGTTAGATGGAACTCAAATTTAATTAATTAATTTATCTTACCTCATGAAAGCTGTAAGGTTGGATATTTGCCTTTTTTTTCAGAATTAGGTGTTATTTTAGGTGTTAAGATGTCCACAGGAGAGCCCACCGATTCTGTAGCAATGGCTAATGGTCACTCAAGCAACACTACTCTCAAGGTCTTTAAGAGGGATCCCCAACATAGGTACAATATATCTACATTGAAATTATGCCACTTAGAATATGCATGTTCACTCATAATAAATATCTTAATTATTTGTCTCCTAAATGCTTTATTGCTGAACATCAATATTTATTAGGTTAGATTAGAATTGTCCCAGTAAAAAGTTACATTAAAGAAAATAACTTTTAACTTTTTTTTTTTTTTCAGAATTTTTGTTAACCGTGGTCTTCATCTAGACAAAATTAAGTTTTATGGATTTGATATGGACTATACACTAGCAGGTGATTAGGAAGAACATTTAAAAACTGGAAAAGGTTTAATTTTTAGTTTTTTTATTATGTTGTATGGAAATAATTTTCAGTTTGCTTATAATTACATCTAAACTTAATTCTGTATCATAAATTGAGAAAAAAGTTCCTTAAATATTGCATTGAACAATCAACTTAAAGTGAAACATGGTAGTTTATATTACATGTATTTTGTTGTGTATAAGATGGTAGATTATTTTACTGGTTTATAGCTGTGTTTAAGTAACAGAAGTTAAAAAATCAGTCATAGAATATAACTATTTATGCATTATTTACTCTTTTTTTTTATGTGCATAGGTTTTTAAAGAAAATAAACACTTCATGAATTATATGTAATTATAGAATCTAAACGTATCTAATTACAGTGTACAAATCCCCTGTGTATGAAGCTATGGGTTTCAATTTCTTAAAAGAGAGGCTGGTGCAGATTGGTTACCCAGAAGAGATTAAACGATTTGAGTATGATCCATCCTTTCCTGTCAGGTGAATACCTAGCACATGTAGCTTATTTTTTCTTGCATGTAACGCTTGATTTGAGCTCAAAGGAAGCCTTGAAAAAGGATTCTATGAGTTTATTTGCTACATTAGCACCTTTTTTCATTATTACAGTTGGACAGTTGTGAGCACAGTGTCCCGGGCCACTGAGGTGGTTTCACTCTGATCTCGGAGATACTTGTGTTTAATACCGTCTCGCGCTCTTGCAGGGCAGGTGAAATTTATAGTGACTATTAAATGAGCATACGACTGTTGTAACTGCATATAATTAATCTAATTGAGATTAATATTTGTTGGATTTTATGAACCAAATATTCCAATTAAACTCCGAAACTTTTTCTGTTAAGAAAAATAACTTGTCTTTAATATCTGCTTATAACAAAATATTAGAAATTGTTGGTGTTCTGGAGTTTAGTAATTTTTTATTTTTTTTTACATTATTAAATGTTTTTATTTATTTCATATAAATTTTCAAGATATTTTCATGAATAAATATTTTTTTAAATAGTCTTTGAATTAGAATTTTGATGCATTACCAGATGTAGGTTTTCAAACCAAGTAAATTAAATGGATGGGGAAAAAAGTGAACAAATTTTTGTAACTCAATTTTGTACAAAGCTGTTTCTAAAGTAATGACACATAGAGAGCAGGACCAAAAGGTTAAAGAATTTTTTTTTATTTTGTTTCAGAGGTCTTTGGTTTGACAAAACTTATGGAAATCTACTTAAAGTTGACTCTCATGGAAACATTCTAGTATGTGTACATGGGTTTCAGTACCTCAAACCGTAAGTATTTTCAAATATTTTAGATATTTTTAAGGTACTTTGCCTCAAAAAAAAAAAATTATTTTGAATTACTTGATTGTCATTATCTTTTTATTTCGGTTTTTAATAGATAATTAATAATACAAATTATTACACCTATTCATTAGGCATGAAGTATCAGAGATATACCCAAACAAGTATGTGCAATTGGATGACAATCGCCTCTATGTCCTTAACACTCTCTTCAACATCCCAGGTATTTAGAAAAATAGAAATTGGAAATTTATCATTTCCAGTAAGGAAAAGTTAGTTGTTATAAAAGTTGTTTAAATAAAAAGTCTTAGTATTTGTCCAGGATTTTCAGCTTTCCAAATAAACAAGTGTGTGTTGCTCATTATGGCTATATTTATTTTTGACCTAAATTTGGTCAGTTAATGTTATAAGCTGAATACATATGGCTTTCTCTTTCTTATAGAAACCTACATGCTGGCTTGTGTAATAAACTTCTTTGCAAACAACAAAGATTATACAAAGTAAGTCGAAACATATTTGATGTTCTTTTTATTATTCCATCAAAGTAAAGGATTACATTGAGCTTTGCTTTGATATTTTTTCATCAGAATGGCAACTGAAACAAGATGGTAATGTTTCCTCAGATCTCTAATATATTCACTCACAACACATTATGTATTCTCCTGAATTGGCTGATTGTGATGACACAGCCAGTAGGAAACATGTCCTCTCAAGTCTCTCCTTACCTGTAGAATAAAATCTCTTTTTATGAACACTAAAAAAGTAAAAAATGCCAAGCTGAAGTTGGATGAGCTGTCGTATATTGTGCAAAAATTAATACAACATAAAAGTCATCTTATTGTGCCAAAAAAAGATATAGCCATTGCTAAAGCTGGAAATGGAGAGCTAAAAATTATGTACAGCAACATAGAGAGTTTGAAGAAGTTTATTTTTGTTTAAAGCCAAATTAAACCGAAGTAATTGCTGCAACACTTATAAGCAGAAGATATTTGTGTTGTTTTTTATACAAGATGACTTAAAACTTATGATGGCATATATGTGAACAGCAAAATATGTAACATTGTAGGATAGGGAAAATTGTAATGACTTTAATTTTGTACCATATTCATACATGTGCTGATAGAGTTAGAAAAAATTTTTTTTAAACAATCATCTGTTTATTGATAATTTTCTTCTCATTTTTATTTAATACAGAACCAGAACTGGTGTTACCTATGGTAATGTCCATATGTCTTACAAATCAATATTTCAAGATGTCCGTGCAGCTGTGGACTGGTTGCATAATCATGTGAGTTGCTGGAAGTTTTTTTGCAAATCTGTAGTTCCAATTTTGTAATTTGATTATCATCTAGTCATAAAATTTATGTTTCTGTCTTTGCCACTAAAGTTGATATTTCAGAATATTTAAATTATCTACTTACACACTTTTTAATTTCTCAAGTAATGTCAAGGTCAATTTCAATTACAAAAATCACAACCAGGGTTATCTCTCTTTTATGTCATGGGCCTCTTGTAGATAATATATGTAATATAAATCCCTGATAGACATAGATCTCTTGTATATAACATATTTCATATGATTCACTTGTAATTGTTATGTTTTTTCCTTTCAGAGATTTAATTTTTTTATCACATGCAAATGAATTATGATACTAATGACACTATCTTTTGTTGAAAGGGAGACTTAAAAACTTGCACCATGAACAACCTGGACAAATATGTTCATAAGGATGAGAAGTTACCAATACTCTTGGACAGGTCAGTTGAAGCTGAACAAACTAATGCCTTAAATGTACATGCATTGTATGACTCTTGCCAATATTGTTAGGATCAACTATCATGTTGCTGTTTCCCTTTCTGATGGGATGGAATATCATTACTATTTAAAAGTGTAGATTTCTTTTGAAACAGCATAATATTGTTGTGAAATAAGTATAATTTTTTTCTTTTACGCCTTCTCTCCATTTCACCGGGAAGTCTTTATATCATGTAAACAAATGTTTCTAATTTTGTTCAGAATCCGTCAAGTAGGAGCCAAGACGGTTCTTATAACTAACAGTGGCTATGAGTATTCCGATGTGAGTGTACAAACATTTATATGGCTTATGACAGTGTGAAATAAGACATCAAATGCCATGATCTACATGACAAGGTCCTACACTAATTTCTTCTAAATAATAGCAGTTAAAACAAAAAAATGTGTCTGGTTTATAAGGTGCACAACTTAACATTTGTCTTTATGTTGACCTAATATGCATATCAGTCATTATGTTGACCAAATATACACATCAGTCTTTACATTGACATAATGTCTACATCGGTCTTTATGTTGACCTAATATACATTTCAGTCATTATGTTGACCTAATATACATATCAGTCTTTACCATGACCTAATATCTATATTGATCTTTTTGTTGACTTAATATCTACATGGGTCTTTATATTGACCTGATGTCTCAATCAGTCATTATGTCGAACTAATATTTTCATCATTCTTTATATGGACCTAATATCTACATCAGTCTTTATATTGATCTAATATCCACATTGGTTTTTATGTTGAACTAATATCTAATTGCTCAAATAATTTGAATCAATCTTTGTCTTAATAACACTTCATTAATTATTTTTGGTCAGGAAAGATCAATGGTTTTATACATTTTTATGAAAACTAATGGTTTTAATCCCAACAAGTGGCAAGCTCATTTATCAAAGACTAAAACAACTTATGGTTTTAATCCCAAGTGGCATGTTAATTTATCAAAGTAACAAAGCAATTTATGAATTATGACATTAATATTTTTAATTATATTATGCAGAAAATCATGGCATATCTGTTGGACTTCCCTAAGAAGGTGAGAAAACTTCCAATCAGTGTTATGTTCTTTGTTGTTGAGGTTTTTTTGAGTATTTTAGGTTTATTGAAGAGAATATTTACATAAAAACTGATATTGCAATGTTAGTGTTTGTGTTACCTACTCATGGTGTAACCCCTCTTTAACAGTACCATCCTGACTAGGACCCCTCTTGAATCTCTAACATTACCATCCTGACTAGGACCCCTCTTAAATCTCTGTACCATCCTGACTAGGCCCTATAAAATCTCTAACAGTACCATACCGACTAGGCCCTCTTAAATATCTTACAGTACCATCCTGACTAGAACCCCTCTTAAATCTCTGTACCATCCTGACTAGGCCCTATAAAATCTCAAACAGTACCATCCTTACTAGGCCCTCTTAAATATCTTACAGTACCATTCTGAGAAGAACCCATCTTAAATCTCTTGCAGTACAATCTAGAATAGGAGCTGTGATATCATTGGAAGAATAAACCCCGGCAAAATTTTGATCAACCCTATTTGTTGTTAAGAAATGTGCCAACCACTCAATGGTACACAATAAAGCAGACCATACAGAATCCTTAATTTTAGTGTTAAGAAATGTGCCAACCACTCAATGGTACACAATAAAGCAGACCATACAGAATCCTTAATTGTAGTGTTAAGAAATGTGCCGACCACTCAGCGGTACACAATTTACCAGACCATACAGAATCCTTATTTGTAGTGTTAATAAAATTTACTTTGGTGTCACCAAATCCCTTACAACCAGTTAGTGACACCCAACTAGTAACACCTAACTAGTGACACCAGTTAGTGATACGCAACTAGTGACACTCAACAAGTGGCACCCAGCTAGTAACACCCAACTAGTGACACTCAGCTAGTGACACTTAACTCGTGACACCACTGATGATAAAGTGTAACTCAAAATGTATGTACCTTAGTTTAGAGTAATTTTACTTTCTAATCTTTCATAAGCATGCCAATCGCCATTGGACAACATACTGGGACTGTGTTGTTGTTGATGCCATGAAACCTTTGTTCTTTGAAGATGGAACCATTTTAAGAAGAGTTAATACAGTGAGTTCATTTATTTCTTTAAAATCTTTCAGTAATTTTTATTAAAATTTGAAGGGACTTAATGTAGACAATAGCAGTAGCAAATTCTCCTTATATTAATTTTTTTTAATATTTACTATACAGATACCATTTAATTTTCTGTGCTAAGTTGGTGCTTCAGTTGATTTTAATTGAACATATTAAACCAATTACAAAATCATTTGCCACCTTTGGCACTAAAAGATTTTTTAATACATTAGTAGTCCATTTCAACTCTTTTGTTTAACTTAAGAAGTAGCTTTATTGGCCTGTAGTTTCCTGCATTGCTACAATATTAAAATATATAATAAAAATGACAACTTCTTTAATTTCATTTCAGAAAACTGGTGCACTGAGCCTTGGTCATCATTTGGGACCTATTAAAAGTGGAGAGATCTATTCTGGAGGTTTTGATGCTTTTCATATATTAATTGTTGCTATTGTATTGTATCTTTATGACAAAGAGGAAGTTTAGTTCTCTCTTCACTATGCAGTAATCTTTAACCAATCTGAACATGATTGTTACACAGTTAGAAACAAACAACAAAATACAATAAGGACAAATTTAACTTCCACTCAATCCCTCTCATTACATACCCACTTATCCAGGCCAAATCCCCATTCTCTCACAGCCCTTCCCCAGGCCAGGGTTCAGATCCTTTAGGAGAGTTTTACAATGGTATAATTTACAAGCAAACATGAAACATTTTGCTTCGTCGTGTTGCCCACATATTCGGATTTTTAATTATATATTTTTGTACATATTGAACTCATACTAAATCTTGTACACTTCCAGGATCGTGTGAGGTCATTTCCAGGCTATTAGGGGCCAAGGGCAGTGATGTCCTCTATGTGGGTGACCACATTTTTGGTGATATTCTCAAATCCAAGAAAATCCGGGGATGGCGCACGTTTCTCATCATCCCTGAACTGACCACTGAGCTGCAAGTGTGGACAGAAAAAAAACAGCTATTTGATAACCTAACGAAAATTGAGAGCGCCCTGTCAGCTGTATATAGGTGAGACTTTTGTGTGTGTGTATTTGTAAAGCTACTAGCTTATAGAATCAAAGGGTGTAACATAAGAACTGAGGTTTTACACACTTACGGTGCTATTCTTCTTGATTAAGAGAATTCTTTCAAAGAAATTTTCTTGTCAAAAATAAGGATTTCGTTATTATTTTTAAAGGGCCGCAATAAACCGTTTAAAATGGAGGAGGAACTAAGTAAGACAGTAAATGTCAAGATTTGGTTTGATTAAATAAAAACTGTAAACCCATTGTGGAAGTTGAAATAATTAGTGTAAACACTTCTCAATAATATTAATAATATTATAATATATTTTATTCTCGGGTGCATAATGTTTATGTTGAATTACTTACTACATTTCCCAGACATTTAGATAGCAGCGCATTGGATAGACCTGACACAACGCAGATAAATCATAGTCTTCGAGTAAGTGTTAATGGAGTTCATATTTCTGTCCAATTTGATTTGAAATGGGATGTTGTAAATGATACGAATTTTATTATTTTCTTAAATAAACTTGGAAGTACTTGTATTTGTAGCATTTGATATATTGTATTCTTGTATATATTAGTTAGCCTTATATTTTATTTATATTTCAGACTGTCATTCATGAATTAGACATGTCTTATGGCATGCTGGGAAGTCTTTTTAGAAGTGGTATGTTATATTTTTATTTTCATTTGTCAATATTAAAGTACAACCAAAATTTTTGATTGCGTGTACAAAGACTTGATTAATGTGTCACAATATGGCTGATTTCTAATATCTTTTATCTGATCAAGGATCTAGGCAAACATTTTTTGCTTCCCAAGTGCGTCGATATGCTGACATTTATGCTGCATCCATACTCAACTTACTTCACTACCCATTTTGCTATATGTTCAGAGCTCCATCTATGCTGGTAAGTTGTGTGTATTGATTTGAATTAAGTATATGATGTGCAAAAACATATTGGATCAATAAAAGTTAAGTTGGTATAGGTTAAAAGTCACAGTCAGTCAAATACACAATCAAATACACAATCAAATACACAATCAAATACACAATCAAATACACAATCAAATTTTACACAACTGCATACAACAAAGATTCTTCATTGTAACTGATTAAAATTACAGTTAACACCATATTTCTCACAGATGCCACATTTACTCACTATTAAATGACATTTAACACTGTGTACCTCCCAGATGCCACATGTGACTAACAGAATAGACCTTGTTTTTCCCAGATGCCCCATGAAGCCACAGTTGACCACTACTCTTGCCATGAACCAGAACCTCAGGCAATAGTCTACCGCAGTCGGTCCTCGTCAGAGGCTAGTTTTGACATCCCTGTCACCAAACGTTCAAGGGAAGCTGTAGGACTGCAGCATGCTTGGGCTGAACCTCCTCGCAAAGTCGTTCATATTCACGATGATGCAGACTCAGATGAGGATTGCTCGGAAAGCCCCATAAGTGTGAACAGCAACATTACCAATAGTCCAGGCAACGAAGAAAAAGAGCAATCAACGAATGATTTAGTGAATGATTAAAATATTTGGTGACCTGTCTCTGATAGTTTCAATTTATAATTAGTAAGCCATCCCTTATCCCACTTTGTGGTACTTCATGATGAAAGTAGGTTATTCAGGAACCAAACAAATCAGCTTTAAAAGCAACATGATTCAACATAATATAATCAATGCTATGTTGTTTTAAATTAAGGTATCAACTAAAACTATAAATAATCCTCCCATAAACAAAATATTAATGGAAATGTTTGTGCATGTATTTAGTTTACACCCTATTTAACTTACACCATATTTAGTTTGATGTTCCCAGAAATATAAAAATAAACTCTTACATCCAAAGTGAGGAAAAGTTTATTTAATACAATAGCTGCTTATAAATTGCATTTATAACTGTTGTGTGCAGAAATATCTGTCATATATATTTTTTTTCTTTAATTACCCATCAATAAAAAAAAATAATAATGCGCCCTCTTTTAAAACTTGGAACGAGTTTTGTTTTAAAGCTGGCCAAAAGTCTTGTTTTAGAGCTTGCAAAGAGTTATCAAATCACATATCTTAATATATTGCTCGCTGGCATTTTTTTGCAAGGTAAGAATCATTTTTCACTTTTATCATCTTACTATCTGTATCAGTATCTGATTGCTTTGTTATCCCTACCCTCCACTTTTATCATTGTAAGCTTATCTCTAATAAATACTTAATATTAAGATATTTTTAGCGCAAACTTTAAGAGATTTTTAGCGCAAATTTTAAGATATTTTTAGCTCACTGATAAGGTTTAACTTAAAGTGGGCAAAAATTTGTATCTTTGTTGAAGCTAATAACTACCTCTGACATCCTGATTAATCCTTATTTTTAATATTAAATAAAATACAAGATATTTGTCTGCTGAATTTTCTCAGCAAATAATCCCATATTTAATTGTGTTTTGTTATATGATGTAACCAGCCATTGTAGAGGATATTTTAAAGATTTTAAACCTATCATCAATTAAGACTTTGTGCATCCATCACAGTGGCATTCGACCTGACTCCTGCAATAAAATTTGTCTATGGCAAAATTGTGTTGCTTTTGTCATTACATGCATTTAAAACATTTTGTCACAATTGCATTTTGTTTTGATAGTAAAAATTAAAGCTTTTAATGTCTTGGTAATTCTGCATTTCTTAAATCACATGTTGAAGTTTGTTTAATATTGTTATTTTTGCAAGGGAACATTTATTTAATGTTAAGTAATTTTTTTTTAAATGTGGAAATGTTACTTGAAGTTGGACATGGTAATTTAATTTTTTTTTTTTTTCTGGCATTTTGTAGTTTTCCTCACCTTTCTTTACTTGTGTTTTTTCAACTCACATTTTTTCATTTACTTTTTTGAGAGTGAATAAAGAAAATGTTTAGTTTAAGAACTATAACACTTTTTCAGTGAAGCAGTTGAATATTGCAGGATGATCTGATGATGACGTTTTTAAAATTATTAAGTTTTAATAAAATGCAAAAAAGACGTGAAAAGAACCCCACAGAATTATTTTTTGTAAACCGGGTAGAATTTTAACATTTAATTATTTTATTGTTTTCAAATTTACACAAAAATTTAAAGAGCGTAAATGGGTCATACATGTGCTTGTGACAAAACCAAAAAAAATTAACAATTAAATGTCTTTAAAAGTTGGATTAGACATCTATTTTAGATTAATATATTTTTTATATTTTTAAAACTAATGTCATTACTCTTAAGAAGTAATATTTTTATTATATTTGTTTGCTTCTGTAAATTTTATTTACATCAGAAATAAAATTAAGATAATAATAATGACCTAATGCATATTACAGCAAACAGTGGGAGTAAGGACACTTCATCTCTTAAATGTCAATCCAAAAAAAACAGCTTTTCTTTTAAAAAAATATTTTATGTCATATTGCAAAGAATAAATTATACTATATTTCTCAAAATCATTATGTCATCATAATGCTTGATGAAAATAAACTTTCAACTGACTTAGAGTAACTAGACAACAATTGCAAAGTGGTTTACATTCTATTGCCTCACTGAACTAATTCAGTTCTCATATTTGATTTTGTTCAATAACATGGTATGAATTGAAGCTTAATGTAATGATCAAGTATTGACTGAACATCAGTACTCCATATATATAAGAGACTGGCTAAGATTTTCATATTGTGGGTTGGCAGAAGTGGGAAGTACAAAGAGTATGTTTTGAGGATGGGCATTAAAATAGAACAGCATCATTATTTAAAACTTTGTACATTTTTTTTTTCTTTTGTAACCAAGCTGGCCACCCTTACTTTTGAACCATGCTAAGTTACCATGTTCCACTCATATTAAATGAATGATGATTCCCATTTAATTTTATAACCATTACGATTTTTTTCTGTGCTTTAGTTGGATAAAAACTTTAGCTTCTTTTCTAGAATAAAAGTAATGATGGCTTTTGCGTTTAACTTGTACCAAAGAAATGACTTACACTGCTGAATTTTTCAAATGTGAATCCGATTTTAGAACTTTATTTTCTAATTTGTTTAAAATCTCTGAAAGATTTCCACAACCCCACAAAATACAAATATGATTTTTTTTTAGATTGCGTTACACAGTTTACTGGAGCTAGTAGTTTTTCAACCAAATGTTTTTTCTTTCAAAATTCCAGGATTACCTTTTATTAGTCGAAGTTACTTGTCTTCTAACAGTTTCTCTGTCAATTTTGTTTAAACATTCAGTGATTATCTTCCTTCTTGCTCATTGATATAAAAAGTATTAATTGTTAAAGCTTGTTAATCATTTCAGCATTTAAAACTTTCATAGAACCTTTGCATTTGCTCATCAAATAAAATTAAATATAGATTAAATAAAGTGTGTCACAAAAATACTAAACAGGGTGTATTAATATGTGAACAAAAAAATGGTATTTTAACTAACATAGTATTATTTACAAAACTTTACTCCAATGTTTGTGTACCAGAAGCTAATCGTCATCCATTCAGTTTAAAAAAAAATAAAAAAATCACTTAATCTTATCAATGGGGTAATTAACACAACTTTACTAAAACAATTATACACTAAAGAGCAGGGTCTATTTAATAGACCAATATTGTCTTGTTAATGTCACAGAAATATTCAGCTAATTAATCCATTGAGTGTATTAATAACAATTGCTTTTTTAAAAAAAATTGTATATGTAGATATAATCAGAGCTTATAGGCCTAGTGAGAGAGAGGTGCAGATGAAGCAATTTTTAGGGACATAAGGTTTTGGTTAGTAATTAAACTACAACTGTACTAGAAGGTAATTCTACCTCTTAAAGTTCATTGATATTAATGAAGGAAGAAAGAAAAAGTGAGATTATAAAAATGTATTTCTTTCCTAAAATAACTGGAATGCTTGTTTGTTGTTAATTTTGATTTTTAATTTCCTGATTCATTTATAAAAATGAACACTGCTTTTTAAATCATAGTATTCAATTTTGTCTTTAGCTGGATGCAATATTTAATTTCAGTTTGGAAAGACACTTAATAGACCTTAGAGTTTTTCATTTGAGTGATTCATTTGATACAAAACAAAAAATAGACTAACCTTCATGAAATAAATCCTGTACCCTCCACATAACCACAAGATATTCTTACCTGATTTGAAAATATTTGATTCTTTTATTCAATTGATTGATGACAGAATTGTTAACGTTAACAAAATAATTTCCGCAAAAAAAGCATATTTATAATTATAAACCATATGTTAACAAGCATATGTAACCTGAAATGTGCAATTTAAACCAATTTGTGTATTTTTTCTTGTGTTTTATTTCCATTATTAATCACATAACCACTATTACAGACATAATAGGACATTTTAATCCGATTGCAAAATATTGAATTTGATGTTGTATACGCTTAAACAAAAAGCAGGGAAGAATTTTATTCAACTCCTTTTGTAACAGATAAAATGAAACCTGGTTTTTAAAAAAAATAAAGCTTTTTTTTCTACTGTTTTCAAATGATATTTAGGTGGAAATGAACCTAATTTTATCAATACTATTTTATTTTGGTGAATTTTTTTAATAGAAAATTTAAGCAGTAACTTTTTTTTCTTCTGCAATCATCTATTTTTTGCAAAATCTTGTACGCAAATTTTGGAATCCAGACCGGTGGTTTCAATATTCCTTGTTTTTCTTAGGTTGTTTCCTATCTTTTATACATTTTTGTTGACGGTATTTATTATCTTTATTTTTCAGTTGAAAATATCCCTTATCGACATAGACCTCTAAATGTAAAACATATTTGTTTCCTAATTTCATTTGCTATGGTCATTGTTTGTTTTCATTTTGCATGGGTTTTCCTATTATTATTCAACTTACAGAGAAACAACTGTCTCCATAATTTATCTTTAGTTTTGTCCTAATGTAAAGAGAATCATTGCTTATAAATAGAAAAAAGCCTTGAAAATAAAAAAAGTCCTTTTTTAAAAAAAAATGAACACACGGTAATGAAACTGAACATGGTATAAATAAAAATTTTTGTCCAATAAACTGAAATTATATACAAAAAATAGGTGCAATTTTATATTTTCCATCCATGAAATGTTCTGCGTTCATTTCTCATGCACCAAGTAACAAAATTTTGCATGTATGACTTTAAATTTTGTTTTGGCAGTGGCTAAATGTTTAACCCCTTATTTACATTATATTATATAGTTATGTTGGAAATATGATGATTTATTGAGATTCTGCAAAGGTATATGAGGTTATTTATTGTCATTTGTTGTCTTGACATGAGGTTATTTATTGTCATTTGTTGTCTTGACATGAGGTTATTTATTGTCATTTGTTGTCTTGACATGAGGTTATTTATTGTTATTTGTTGTCTTGACTATCGTTCAACCTAATATCCTTTAATGGATGGCAGAAAATTGATTAATTTTTACTTCATATCAAGGTGAGGCATATGCTTATTATTTAACTGTATTTTTTTTTTTTAGCATTTACTAATGATTTATCAGGGTCAATGGTTTTTTTTTTTTTTTTTAATTTTTCATTATTGAAAAAATTTTTTATTTTTTTTTTTTTTTTTTTTTTTTTTTTTTTTTTTTTTTTTATTGTTTTTTCTGGGTCAATGTTTTTTTTTTTTTTTTTAAATTTGCAATATTGAAAACATTTTTTGAAATGAATTCAATCAACTTGAGCACTGCAATAACTGTATTAGCCAGGTATACATTGAAATAAACACCTTTGTAACAAGAAACTGTTTGAGCTTTCTTTTCCCTAGTGAAAGTATATACTAAGAAAATTATAACACACATTTCACCCTTAACCTGATGAAAACAAAACACACATTTCAAATTCCTCAAGAATATAATTACTTTTTGCACAGAGAAATTTAATTTCTTGCTCACAATATCAAACTGTTCAGTTTATTTCTTCAAAATGCTGCATTATAATACAAATACATATAACTTTATAAATCAATAAAATCCTGTACAAGGAACTGACCATATGAAATAATGTCATTCATTCACACCAGACAGCGGCGAAGAGAAGACATTAACTGCACTTATTGGGAGGTGTTGTTTTGTTTTAAATACATAACTTTTTACATTTTAACAAAGACATTCATTAAATCAGGCAATTTAAAATTGACACAAAGTATATTGAAAAATAAAAAGCTGCCAAAATTATGAAAACTTTAAAACAAGGTTTAATATTATCCAAGAGATTTCTCTAAAAAAAAAACAACATTAAGCTGGAAGAACTAATACATGGCTTTAAACAAGTGATAATAGGTCCATAAATTCATATAATATAATTTTAAAAACATTGTACACCAATTTTTTTTTTCCTTTACATTCATGTAAGTTACAAGTAATTATGACAAAGTATTTATTTACAAAAAACAATATTAAAACCTTACACATCTTTAAAGTTTAGAAAGGTTGTTAAGTTCAAAAAGAAAAACATTAAAAGTATTAAGTTGAGTGATATGACGACCTCTCTGTGGTGCTGGGTCCTGGCCTCATTCGCTGGATGCTAACCCAGAACCATGACCCCAGGTCTTCCAGCACGACCATGGGGGGGGGGGGGGGGGCGCGCAGGTGCTAGTAACAAACATTTTAAACAAGAAATTTCCAAGCAATAAATAATGAGGTGAATAAAAATCCCACACCTAAGCATTGCACAGAATATCACTCTTCAACTCATGGAATGCCACAGGGTTGACCAATCATCATTGTGCCAAGTCTTCTATTGATTACTAGTAAAACTATTATCTTACGACTTAAGAAATTGTAATACCAAATAAAATGTTTTCTGTATAAACTGAGCAGATTTTATGCTAAAGCAGCGGTTCTCAACATGTGGGTCGCGACCCCTTTAGAGGTAGCACGACCCTTTCCCAGGGTTTGCCTCAGACCATCTGAAAACATGACATATGCTCTACAATTATGAAGTGGCAACAAAAATAATTTTGTAGCTGGGGGTCGCCACAACAACAGGAACTGTGTTAAAGGGTCGCTGCATTAGAAATGTTGAGAACCATTGTGCTAAAGTTTCAAGCTATGCAGCAGAAAACAAAATCATCTTGCTTATTTTTGCCGCTTTTTGGGTAAATATTTACCCAATTACAAAGCGAAACAAATAATCATAAATGCAAGCTTTCGTGTAGGAAGAGAAAAATGTCATGAACAACTTTAGTTGCGTTTTTACTCAACCGAAAGGAAAATTATCACAAGTACTTTTTGTGTCCTGTACATTTTTTTTACTATTTAAGTAACTAATATTTTTACCAAAAAAATTAATTTCAGTATGACCACTTGATGAACTAAACACTATATTCAAATTGGAAGATTAAAAATCGGATATCACTTTTTACATGCAGAGACCAAGTATAACCAATGGAAATTTTGAGAATACAATTTGGAAACAATGATAGATAAAACAAAATAATTAGTACAGTCCAGCTTGTAACATGCAGTCAACTGTTCCAGTCAACTGTTATTTTCCAGATTCTTAATAATTACTTTTCAAAAAATCATATTTAAAGAAGACTAAAGGCAAGATGAACAAGTTTTGAATTTGTTACCTCTGAAAATGAGTAGATTTATTCTTTGAATTCTGCAACTCAACTGCAGTGATCAAAGAATTAACAATGGTTTTGTTTTCACAAATCTGGATTCTTCTGTGGTCCAAATTGATAAACTATACAGTATTTAGAATACAATAAATGCAGAATTTGGGTTATGTCTTTTTAAAACAAAAAAAAACCCTTGGAAAGAAAAAAAATGCTCCCAACCTTTTGACGTAAAAGGCTTACTGTGGAAAGCATTTATTATAAAATGATCATTCATTATTAATAATTAATACTATGAGTGTATTATCAAGAAGAGGGGAGGCTTGTTCTCAAATGATCAAGTGGCTCTCATTTAGGGACCTTTGCTTTAGAAAATGTGAGACCAATTATCAAATGTTGCCATGTCTATTGTAAATCTATGAAAATAAAATGAACAATGTTAACTTAGATCAAAGCTCTCAAACAGCTCAGCTTAGAACTCAAACATCATGCAGACTACTGTACTACATTAGATAACCTTTCAGTATGGTGATACTAAACATTTTGTGAAAACTATTATTTTTAAAACTGGTTGTGATTTGTACATATAAAACTATGGTATCATTTCTTCATTTGTATTTGTCAATGGCCCACTCTGATGCTTAGGGTGTTTATGAAATTTAAGTTATATAACAATCAAATTTAGTTAGGTTTTTTTTCATTTCAATGATAATGTCTTAACTTATGTATATTTTTATGACATTGTTTAAAATTGTTTAAAATTAGTTGCTTTTTTTTTAATGATCAAGTAAATCCATTTATACCATCCTGTGCAAGTATTATTTCTCATTAATAGACTGCAAGATATCTCCTTATCAATATAATCTTTTTTTTTTTTAAGTTCCTTATTTTAGAATTTCCATTGAAAGAAACAAATCCAGATGAATTCAATGAAAATTATGGAACAGTTTGCCTCAATCTTTGTGGGAAAATGAAAATGATACAAAAATCATTTTAAAACAAAAAAGTCTTTTTCCTTTAAATAGATTTTAGGACATCATGCTAAAATAGCATGGATACAAGCACTATAAAAGTATTCAGTCAATCCATCAATCAAAATATGCAGCAAAATTGATTTGTAGTGCACCAGCCATACAGCTGAGATACAAAAAGCTGAGCATCTGCTATATTATTTATGAGACATAGTGAAATTCAAGACATGATCATGAGCAACTAAAAGCATCAACAGAACCGGTGAATAAAAAAGGTTGCAGTGATAGATATAACAATTAAAATAATATCATTCTTTTTTAAAACACTGCCATTTAGATGGCCTCAGTAAAGAATTATGTCTAACCTAAAATATTACAGCCAAAAATAACCGATGCCTATTTTAGTAATTACAAAAATTAAAAGAGAATTTTGCTGCACTGTCTGCATATTTTTCTTTTCAATAAGTTATTGCAAAAAATTCTATAAATTTTTTCCCTATTTCTAGATATAACAATAAAATATGATTAATTTTCATCCACTTATCAAATTCTTCTATTAACCATCTACTACTAAATTCTTCTATTAACCATCTACTTCCATCAAAGCCAACTGTTGTTCTCCATTATTCCCATACCCACCTGCCTACTACACCAGACAGCGGCATGTCACGCATGATGCTCATTCGGGTAATCTTTTTTTAAATTTAAATCTGTATTTTTGTATCTTCTTCTGTTAAAAAGGCAAAGTTCAAAGTACAGCATGGCTTTTCAAAATCTTGCACGACAACATAAGTTTACTACACTTGCAAGTTAAGGTGTTACACTATCCAACAGATCAATGTAGAATTGATTGAAATTAATGAAGAAAGTCATATTGATGATCTTATAGCTAAAATTATATCTGAAATAATCAATACTGATACATCAGTAGATGATACAACGGGCGAGCAACAGTGACCATGGTGAAGCCAGGTGAACTTGTGACAATTCACTGATAATTAACTTCAGATATTCTAGATATGACCAAATTTCTTCTTCTTCTTCTTAATATTAAGGGACCACGATCAATGTATTGATCATTCTGGCTCCTATGTATGTAGAGATATTTGCAATGTTTCTGTTACTGGTATTGCAAGGGCTACTCAGCGTGGGTATCAGGAACTAGGTTTTTTAAGGCCTGAATCAATAGACAAATGTTTCAAGTGTTGTTGGCTTTTGGAAGCTTGTTCCAGTCCTCCTTGGCAGGAATGAGCAGTTCCTGTACTGTGTTCTTACTGTTATGAGCCGGAACTGCTTCCATGGCCTCATCACTGTCATTCATTTTATATTTAATACAATTTTTGAAAACACTTTACATTTTAAAAGGGAGTTATGTCCCTTAGGCAGGTAAGTTTTAACATAAAAAGTAGATTAGGCAGTATGGGTCTTGACTTATTTATTAACTTTTTCTTTTATAATTATTACTTTATGTCATTTTAAAATGAAAAAGTATTCATAATTAGTTATTTCCGGTGTATTAATTTCACAAGTTCAACAGTTCAACAATCTGTAATTTTGGAGTAACATTTAATTCAAAGAGTTAACAAGATACTTTCTTACAATAACTTAAATGAATTAAAACAAGAAGTAAAATTTAAAATTTCTCTGATGAATTGTGATCCTATATTGCTGAGTGAACTGAATGAATAAATAATGTCAAAAAAGTTTATCAAAGTAAGCAAAAACATTTACACTTCAAAAGTAGATCTGTTTCGTCTCTCCTGTTGTCATTTCAACTGGACAATATGGACATTTGAATCTGGAAAAATGTATAATAAAGAAACATTGATTTCCCATACCCATGTTAGTCGACATGTTTCAAACCTTTCCCCAATCCATGAACAGACCTGGCTTAGCAAGGGCAATTTTGCCAGTATCACATAAAATAAAATGATCAGTTTACATTCCTCAATTTACCCTGTCTATTTGCTCCATTAACACACAAAAATATTGATGTCTACATTTCTAAACTGGTAAAACGTTGATAATCTGTACTATGATTGACTACCTGCTCCTATCAAAAGTCTTTATCTGAGACTTAATAAAAGTACACTAACTTATATTAAAGTCCAACGATTCATTAAATTAAATCTAATAAAAATATACCTGTTACTGCTCCCCACAACTAATTTATGCAAAGCATCTTTTGATATGACATGACCACATGTAAGTCTCATTGGTGGGTTTTGTTCTGTACTCTGCTGACGGAGAATGGGACAGGCAAAAATAGAATGGAACCTATAATCCTGGCCCAAGTCAATCTCAACCTAAAAGTAAAAAGAAAGAAAATTTGTATGGAAACAGTTATTACATAAAATAGTTTAAATATAATAGTTTCACTTATCTGAAAGCCTTAAAATATTATTCTTATATACAAATATCCTTTAATATACTGAAAATCAACACAATACAAGTGACTTGACTCAGGATCTGTAGCATTTTATCTCCCCATAAATTTAAATATAGTCCAGGGTCTGTAAACAAAATTCCCACTAACTAGATGGCCCCAAAATCTAGGGGTGTGCCGGAATCCGGTCCGGAATCCGGTTCCGCCGGATTTTGCACTATCCGGTGAAATCCGGTTCCGCTGGATTTACATGTATCCGGAACAACCGGATTCCGGAATCCGGAATATACCGGATTTCGGAATTTGCCAGATTTTGTGACTCACCGGATCATAATCTGAAATAAAAGTAATTCTCTTTCCCGAATTCCACACGATCACGATACATTAATCGATTGTTTCGAGCGTTGAGCTTGTTTAACTCTCAAAAGACAGGAGATTTAAAAATCGGTCATATATGGCGGGTGAAAAAAACGACCCCTAAAATATATATAAAAATAATATTAAAAGGCGAAAATAAAGATTTACTATTTTGAAATGTTAAATTTCTATTTGGCAAGAAAGAAAAATCGTTTATTTTACTAGTTCTTGAAGAAATCTGGTAGCAAATTGTCCATTCCTAAATTTTCCTTTTCGCCATTTACTCTTATTTTGCCACAATTCCGGTTCACTGTTACTACACTCTAAAACATTGCTATGGAGTCTGATTCTGATTATAAGCTTGAAATGGACAACTATTCTTACTTAGAGGAATATTTTTGATGAAGATAGCACTTCAGATGTGTCTAGTACCAAGAATTCTGTAAATTATCATCATAATAATAGCATCCAAGGTTTGTTTACTTTTTTCATTCATACTCAACTCACGCATACTGTGATACTTCTAAGCACTATTATTAGCCCTAACATTAGTTTGATTCAAGTTCCTGTAGTATAAAATTCTTAAATAGATTAAATTGTTTATTTGTTTGAAACTAATTTGTAGTTATACAATTATTTTAATATTATTACGTTTCAGTTAGCAAAATGTAAACAATGGTTCTCAAGGCCAAGGCTATTATTATTACACTGTAACAATCAGCTGTGTTCCCTTTTCAATGAAAAGTTGAAGTAAAAGTAATTTAGGCAGATTGTTTAATATTTTGAATTCTTTTTATTTATATTGTAATTTTTTTATTTTAGCTAAACTAATTTTTTAAATATATTTTGACAGCATTTATGCTATGAAGGGCAGATGTCAAACATAGTCAATACAATGGGTTATGATGACAAAAGACTGTGGGACTCTTTGCTGCATTTAGACCAGAGGTAAAAAGCACTCTTGCTTCCTGATGTTATAACAAGAGAGGATATAAGGAGATTTTAAAAGCAAATTGACAATTTCAACCTTTACTTTACTACAGATTTGGTTGTTATTAGTAAGCCTTGTGCGCAGAACAATGGACCGCAGAACTTTTGTGTTTTCAAAAATTGGTACCATTATAACATCATTGAAGGAGAGTTTTATCTACTAAGTGGATTCATTATGAATGCAGGACTTATCAAGCTCTTAATTTTACAAGAAATGTCCGGGAAATCCTTTTATTATGGACAATGAGCAAGGCCATTAGTACTAAGGACATATTCAAGGCTATATTGAGTTTCCTAAAAGTTTCTGATACTGCAAATAAAGGAAACATGCTGTGCAAAATTGGGAGACACTTCTGTATCTCAATGCAAAATACAATCAACTGTATCAGCATCAAGAAAATGTAGCAATTAATGAACAATTTAGGGAACAATTGACATATTTGATGATGAACCTGATACTGTAAAGCCCGAAATCTTTACATCGTGCGCCGCAACATGACAATAACAACAAATGTAATTGTGGGTTACCAAAACAGGGTAAAATGGTCAGAACATATGTCACAGGCTTTCTTTTTGATACATTTGTATGTTTTAATAAATAAAGAAATTGTTTTCAAGAATTTTTATGCATGGTCTTGGCGAAGGATTATATCCCTTGATCGGTATCTCAGGGATGCATAAAAACATTTTATTTATTAAAATGTGCCTTTTTTTTTTTAAACTTTTCTTCTAAAATAATACTTACTAATAATCCTCTAAATTAAAATATGATGCAGTATATGTTTTCCTTTGAAAAAAAAAATTATTATTATTTTTGAAAATAATTTTGACTTTTTGCGCAATATTTCCTTGAATGATCTGTTGCCTACAAATAGTCATAACTTTTTTATTTATGAGTCTATTCTTTTGAAATTTGAATATGTTTTATAATATTGAACACATTCTAATAAAAATATAATTTTATTGATTTAATTGGAAACACTTTTTTTTTTGCTTCTTTGTAAAACTGTGATGTTATGTTTTTGTCGACTTAAAAAAATATTTTTTTTGCCTAAAAATAATAAAACATCAAATTTAGCAAGGATATTTTGAACAAACACCAAGTATCAATTAAAGAGCATCCAATTACCTTTAAAATGATATATAATACTTGGAGGTAGCTACAAAAATACAGTCATGAGATACTTTGAAGAATAAGATATATTCAAGGTCATTAAAATCTGGAAAAATCTACAGTCTTTTGAGAGTTAATGTTTAATATTCCGTACATACCAGAGGCTAGAGTCAGCACCGCTAATAGTGGCCAATAGTGTAGGGACTTTGATAAGAAAATTTAAACTTTTTGTAAAAATAAACCAATGGCATAGTTGAAAAGATGTAATTTTTTAAAGAATTATAACACCAAAATCATATATTTAGCTGTTGTAGTTTTAAAGTTATGAATTTTTAAAGTACGACTTGGTTTGTCATTTTTTAACATGGACTGCATCTCCACATTCTGTGATCTCATTCCGCCAATCCCGCCATGCGCAATGACTATATAGTTTATATAAGGCAACGCATTCCCTGCCTTATCACTAAAATACTGTTTAGACTTAGTTTAAACTTTCAACTTTGGCACATGAATAATTAATTAAAGCTTTCCCTGACCAATGGTTTAATAGTTTTTGCACACGGCAAACTCTTATGAATGAAACTCTGAGGTAGTACTACGATACAGTTATGCAAGTGGCTGTGAATGGTTGCCAATGACAACGTGTTGCACACGGTAAATTCTGATCATTTATAATATGGATTCTACCGGGTTGTTAAAGCTCAAATTAAAACATTCCAGTTTAAATGTCTTTAAATGCATTCTGAAACACAAGTTATCAATTATTTTGATGTAAATAGTGATAATATATTAATATTTCCTAAGTATCGTCAACTTCCGCCATTAAAAAGGGGGGGTGTCCAACCCAATGGCGAAATTAGGTTGAGCGAGCTGCATGACCTGCTGCGAACACGTAGAAACATGGCGTCTCTCGTAAGACACTTATCCAAATGGAACGGAACTCAAATATATATCGAAAGTACTAATTTAATAATAAATAGACACACACATCGGAAAATTAAAAACTCGGATTTTTTGGCGCCGATTGCGAATTCCCATACACAAAAAGTAGTAGTCCACCTTGACTTACCGAAGTATCTACCAATAGTACCAAAATCCGGAATCCGGGAGAAACCTGAATCCGGATTATTCCGGAATCCGGATTATTCCGGAATCCGGATTATTCCGGAATCCAGATCCGGCAGATTTCGCATAAGAAAATCCGGATCCGGTTGGAAAAAACGGATCCGGCACCCCCCTACCAAAATCATCATAAATAGTCACACACTCAGTGCAATTGATCAGTTCGCATAATTGGGGACCAATATCTCTAACCATGAAGCAGTGTCAAAGGACATAGACTACCAACTGGTGAAATCAAACAGTTCCTTTGGAGTCCTACAAAAATGTGTGTGGCAAAATGGCTTGCTTTGCCATTCCACTAGAGTACTGTTCTACAGGACAATAATTATTACCATACTTCTCTATAGGCACTTCAGTTCCGAGACCTGGGTGATATACCAGCCTTTCATAAAGATGAACATTTTCACCAAAGATGGCAGCAGGCTATCATGGGCATAAAATGCCAAGGTTACATTTCAAACAATAAGCTTTTAGTAGAAACCAGAATGGAGAACATCCAGTCCATGTTATTTACAAGACAGTTATGTTAGGTAGATAATCTTATTTGTGTGGTAGACGATAACATCCAAAAAGCTGTCTTCTATAGCTAGCTGTGCAAAGGGAGACAAAATACAAGAGCTCCTAGAAAGCATAACTTTGACTATCTCAAGCATCAGAAGAAGGCAACTGATGGCCTTTGATAGGGACATTGGAACTGCTGACCTCTGAAAGGGACATAGAAAATGCTAACCTATGATAAAAGTGTGGGGGACTGCTGACCCCTGATAGGGAAATGAGAACTGCTGGCCTCAGTTGAAGAAGAAAAATTTAACAAAGTAATAGTAGTCTCAGCAAGAGGAAGCTAAGATGCAGCCCTGATGACGACAGAAGGCTACTGAACACCAACCAGTGTGTAATGCTTTGGTGGACCAAAGGCTACTGAATCTGCATAGCCATCTCCAGGCATGCAAAGACTGCCACCCCCCCCCCCCCACCATTCAAAAACCCCCCATAAAATTCAATTTATTTGACTTTGGCAATTTTTTGCCCCCCCCCCCCCAATCATCTTAGGAAATGAAGTTACTCATTCCCTACATACTAGAACTTGAAAAAAGTCTATGATTCTGGTAAATTTACTGTTCAAGTATAGTTTAATTTGAGACATGACTTTATGTTTAAAAGTACAATGAAAAAATATTACTGGTAGTTCTTCTTTGCTGCTCCATACTCCTGCAACTTGTCTTGACTGCATGACTTGTCGTATTGATAGCAATGGTGGCAATGCCTTACAACCTGCATTGATTCTGGGGTTTTAAAAAAATTAATAAACCATAAATTACCATTTATTGTCATAAGAAAACATGATGACGATGTATTGTCATAAAATAACAAGATAAAATAACAAGATGTAAGCAGAGAAAAAAAACAAAAAGCAAACTTGAACAAAACTCACCCAACACTGAGAGGACTTTCTACTGACAGACCAAGAAGTCCACAAGCATCTCGAGTGAATATGTCACAAATTTCTGCCCAACTGGAGTCTTCAAACAAAAATGAATATGTTGAATTTGCAATCCCTTCATTGAGGTACAGAAGAGATCCCATGAGAAGCTGCATATCTTAAATCAAAGAATAGAAATATATCAATCATACACACCAAATATAATGCCAAGATAACATAAGATCAGATAAGATTCTTTTTCTAATCAAATTAAATGGGAATGTGCTCTGATTACATTGTATATATTCATTTACAGCATATCAAATAAAAAGAAAAGCAGATTTAGATATGAATTCTAAACCTGGACAGTTTTAACTGTTAAAAAAAGTAATCAAAATATTAATCAGCTTAGTAAATTATTTTGAAGAAAGAATACATGTGCAAAATATTTTTTTAAAGGGGGGTGTGTTAAGGTGGTGGTGGTGGGGGAGAGATGTGCAGTTTCATAGGATTCTCAAAGAATTGAAAATTCACTGTTTTCTGTCGTCTTATTGTGATTTGAAATAGTAAGATTTAAGACACATACAATGCATAAAAAAACAAATTTGCAGGGATGAATATATCCCACAAATATCCCAATAGAGAATATTGTCTTAAAATTGTTTTAACTCTTTCCATGCGGATCCATGATATATCATCCATAACAAAGGTTGCATTTCTGTAGTTTATTTCGCTGCCTATGGCTATCAATCCTACTTTTTTATGTTTTATGAACCATAATTATTCCTACTTCCTGCCTGTTAGTAAGTAGGTTTTGTTTACATTTGTTTTTTCAATAATTGCACCTTTTTTTTTTTTCGATTTGTGTTGAAACTGTTATAAACAAAACTATGGCCATGCCTACTCCAAGCACATCAGCTGTTGCTAGACCAGGTAGGTCGTTAAGTTTTCAAACAAAAGAGCTTTTATTGCAAATTATTGATGCTGAAACATCAAACAATAACCATGAATCATTTAAATCTGATTCCAGTGATAATTTTCAGCTTTCGGTAAATGCCAAATGGAGTAGAACGGTGATAATAATAGTGGTGACAGTCTGCATTTTGGTTAAAAAAAAATTAAAACATTTTTAAAAATATAAAATTACCACAGACCCTAGAAAATGGATTACAAAGACACCAAGATCAACTTTCTAGCTCAAGTGGTTCAAGCAAAAGAAATGAATTTTTTTAGTAAAGATCCCAAACTTCTTTTGTACTATAGTGACAGTGAGGATCAGATAATACTGCTCCTGTTCCTGTTAAGAGAAGTTGGAAATTAGGCAGAAAAGATGCAGGAAGAATAGAAAAGCTCACAACCCAGAAACACTCATTCCCTTAGTGCCCACCCTATCAAAGCGAGGGAAAAAGCGCATCAACAGTGCAGAAAACATCTCAGTGAAAATAAGCTCCTGGTTGTCTGTGATGGGCATGATTGACAGTGTGTATAATGTTCAGTGCACAAAATAACCAAATGCAGCTGCTATGTGTGCATCGGATGCACTGGAAGGCCTCATCTGTATGTTAAGGAGTGCTTCATAAAGAACTACACAGAAAGAAATTTGTACTAAAGTAAAATATTTTGTAAATAATGTGTTTGACATTTGTGTATATATACATATGCAAAGAAAATGTTTTCTTTGGTTGACAATAATGTTACAAAAATATTTTTAAAATGTAAAATGCATTCTTATCAAAAATAGATATACTTTCTGATTATTAAAGGAAAATAGGATACCAGCTACACAGACCATATAATAGTCTGTTAACGTCAGATTTGGCGCACATTTAAAAAAAAAATTTTGGTCTCATATTTTACCAGTAAAATTTAAACTATTATTATCTCATCTTTAAATACTATTATTCCTGTATTATTCCTGTTTAAATTCCTGTAATTTGATATGAAATATAGCTATCTTGCTAAAAAAAAGTTATTCAAAATGCATTAATTGATAAGAGCACCCTAAAATATTTCCATTTGCAGAAAACCGTTTGGGCACAAATGTGGAAAACCCCCTGGCATGGAAAGAGTTAAGAAAGCAAGAACTCCTAAATAAAAATAAATCATAAAAACCTTTCATGTGCATATCTGCAAAAGGTGCCAATTTCCGAGCATACTGAAGAACTTCTCTTTGCTTAATTGATCCATATTTTATAAGTTCAATGAATCTTAAGCGATGCAGCTTGAATTCCAATGGAGAATTTCTTTTATTAAGCTCGTCTCTGTTTATTTCAGCCCATCTAGAAACAAAAAGGTTTTTTATGTATACATTCTAAGTCAAATTTTACAGAGTGCATTTCATTATAATCCCCTCTTCAAATATACAGTTTATTTCAGTTCCAATTAATTCATCTATAATGTATTGCAAACACCACAACATAAATTTTCAGCAGGTCTCAAACCTACCAACAGATCGCCAACTGTACCTCCCCCCATCACCTCCCCATAGAGGCGGACAGAAGAATTATTGCAATTTTAAACATTCAAATTAGATAATCAACATAGGACAAACATGTTCAGTGAAATAATTTTAAAAACTTACTCTAAAGCTGGCTCTAAATTGTGTTGCCTTAATGCTTCAAGTATCCTATGCAGCTCTAAAAAAGGCTCTTTCCTTTCCTGTGATAATCCCAAGTTTGCATCCTTGAGAAAAATAGAAGCAAGGGTTTGAAAGTGGCTAAAACAAAATATCAGATTAAATTTGCAATATGCATGTAAATTGGAAAAAAATAATCGTAATACAGTTTTTTGTAACAAACAAAATTTGTCAAGGATTTATTTCAAGTAAACAGGTTAGACAGATTATTTCATTGAAACGATAAAACATATTTACAGACATCTCACTGTTGTGTTGAAAATGACTTTAAATAATTAAAAACAAATATTTTATATTGTTTAAGCCAATTTTTTCCTTAAATAATAATAATATGAGGTCTTATATAGCGCGGTACCCCAGCCAAGGACTGGGCTCACCGCGCTGTACATAAAAATTTTATCAAAGAAACATAATCATGACATTAAAATAAAATACATTTATGAAATAAAGAACAGCAATGTATATTCACCCACCCCACCACATAAATTTTACAAGGCAAACCATGGACGGCAGCAAGCAAGATCATTTATCGGTCAGGAGGGGAATCAGTCAGGGTAGTATAATTTAAAAAGATATGTTTTGAGTGCAGTTTTGAAGGCCTGGTTGGTTGGTATATTGCGTATGTGTAGTGGGAAAGAATTCCATTGTTGGGGGGGCGCAGAAAGAGAAAGATCGTTCCCCATATGTTTTAGTGTGTGTCTTGGGAACGGACAGAATACACGTGTCTGCAGAGGAGCGAAGCTGTCGAAGGGGTGAATAGACAGAAAGAAGTTCGGTTAGATAGGAAGGGCAGGAATCCAAGAAAAAGTTGTAACAGAGAACAGACAACTTGTAGTCAATGTGTGCCTGTATAGGTAGCCGATGGAGGGGCATGGAGTAGTGGAGTGACGTGATCACGTTTTTTTGCCTTTAAAACTAGCCTAGCAGCTGAGTTTTGAACTTTCTGCAGTTTTTCTATGCAGTGTTTTGGTGAACCTGACAGAAGAGACTTGCAGTCAAGATCGAGAGAGAGCAAGAGCACAGACTAGAGTTTTTGTAGCGCTAACTGTGAGGTAGTGGCATATGGAGCTGATCTGACGGATAGTGGTGTATGCTGAACGACAAATGTGAGATATGTGTTTATCGAGAGACAATAGAAATAGAATGAAAATGTAAGTAATGAATATTTAATATTTACCACATTTAAAGATTCTGCTATATCAAGCAACCCCTGCCTAAGGAAATGCTCACAGATGACCTCATTAAGCAGACGCTGTCGACTTTCTCCATCAAAGGCACCTTCAGTTATAATAGCAGAAAAATCTGATGTGAAATTCTGCAGAAAAAAAAATAATTTTAAATCGTTAAAAAATCTATTGCAAAAAAAATTATATAGAAAGCTGCAAAACTAATTGTTCGAAGATTAATATTCCCAAATAGAGGTCGTCATTAATGTTTGTATCAGTACAAAATCCAACTGAGATATACTAAAGTGTTGCAATATATTGGGTACAAATGCCAAACAATGTTAGGTAATTCCTACAAGTAGTTCATAGCACCTTTTAATTTTCCAAATAGATACTTACAAACTATAATGTCAACTAAAAATTAATATTTTTTGGCACTTGGACCTTATGATAATATTTATATATTATCAAAGACAAATTGATATTTAAAAAACCCAGCTTACCCTGTCAATAGTCTTGCCAAGCTTTGATACTGAGCCATGAAGATCTTTATGAAAGGTACTGACACTATTTGTTACCGTTCTGGCACGTTCAATAAAGGCAGCAATGGCTATTCTGGCGCCTTCTGATACCAACTCATCAGGAGGTCCTAAAATTGCACAAGATATTTATAAGAAAGTTTATCGTTTAAAATCCAGTCTTAACATTCTTTCTCAGAGTCAGGCCAAATAAAAAATGGTACATGTATTTCTAATATCTTTATTACTAACATGAGAAAATAGCCATAATACAAACATTCTTGACATTTGATCTAAACTCTCTGCATACCCTCCACCAGCGGCCTAGCTAGGTTTAGTGCTGAACTAGGGCAGGGATTTTGCAGACTGCCTTCCATAAAAATACTCTGCAGTTGATTGAAAATGCTGCTTTCCATATTAAATAAAAATTGCCTTTAACCCCTCCTATGCCGCTGACTTCCCAAATTATAAAAAATGTGTTCCTTTGAATCTACGTCATTGCAGCAAATTGAATTCACATGTAACTAATACCAATTACTGCCATGATTAATCTAGAAAATCCATAGAACGCTGCATTTATATTACATTGGTATGTTCGGTTTACTGCATCATGAAACACATTGCTATAATTGTTTTACTGCAAAGGCCACAATAAATGTAGCGCCAGTTTCATATAATCATTTATCAACTAGTAATCCCTTTTAAAATATTAAAGAAAGAAATTAGAGAAGTTGAAATATAAGAGAAACAGAGTAGGGGAAATGCAACCTGGATAAATGTTAACCATGATCTTTACCACTTAACAAAAGTAGTCTAAACTAATGTATACAAATCCAATAACATATTTAAAAGCTTTCTGTTAGAAAAAATATATATGCTATAAAGTAGGTTATAAGCTTTTCAAGAGTTAAAACACATGTATTAGGCTAATTTTATTAGGACTTTGATGGTGTTGGAAAAAAACAGAGATTTTGCACGAGCCAGCCCCAGGGAAAACTTACAATACAAAGAACCTAAAATATAAACTAAAAGTAAAAGCGGCAGAAAAAATTCACTATAAATTTGGAGAGATGTTGCCACATGGCCGCCATCTTGGTTGACATGACCATTTAATTGTGTCACTCTAAAACTAAACGTATCCCTAAACCTAACCTGAACCCTAAATGTATCCCTAAACCTAACCTGAACCCTAAATGTATCCCTAAACATAACCTGAACCCTTAATGTATCCCTCAACCTAACCTGAACCCTAATTCACTGCAACTATAATAAACACGCAAATGATGCAAACGACGTCATGGCGACATCTCTCCAAATTAGCCAAATTCACATATTTAGGCAGCACCCTTTCCAGGTCAGCAACAATAGATAATGAGATGAATAACCAAATTTTCAAAACATATGTTACATTTGGAACGCTCTGCAGGAGTGTTTGGAAGCAAAGGGGTCTCAGTCTTTTCACTAAGCTGAGTATATAGGCTAATAGGGCAATTGTATTAGCATTATCATTAACATCTCTCCTATCCTATACCTGGCGAGCTTTGGACAGTGAATAGCAGACAGCTTCTAGGCATAACATGGCAGTATACAGTCCCCAATACAGAGGTCCTACAATGGGCTGATTGTATCAACATCCACACACTCCTACAAAAAGGACAAGCCAGATGGGCAGGGCATATCACAAGAATACCAGACAGCAGACTTCCCAAACGACTAAATTACTAATGTTTGGTGAACTCTCCTGTGGGAAACGCTCCGTTGGTGGGCAGAAAAAATACTTCAAGGACTGTCTAAAAGCTTCACTTAAATCAATGGACATTGTCCAAAGAAATCTCATGGCAAAAAAAAAAAAGCATAATTGGCCCAAATCCTACTAGTACTAGTACTAGTACTAGAGACTAGGACTCACTAGACTAGGATCCAAAATTGCCCAAATGTGTCCCCCACATGAGGGAACAACAGTCAACAATGAAAATTCATTGCATTAAATTATTGTAATGCATTGATTTGTTAAAGATTATTTTAAAAATAAATTATAAATGGTTATGTCACGTCATAACTTATAATTTAATATTTAAAATTAATAATTAATTAATAATTATTTTTTTATTAACCAATTTACTACAATCACTAAACAAATTAGGACTAAGGCTAAATATTTAAATACTCACTTTCAAGAAGCTCACTAATAAAAGACTTAAGTGAATGGACAAATTCATCAAGTGTTTGTTGTCCTCGCTCATTAGCTGAAGCATATTTTTCAAATAACTTCTCCAATTCTTTATCAACAGCTAAACAAGCGTCCATCTTAAAAATCAAGAGTTTTATTTTTTCCAAGAGAAGAATTACACTTTTTTCAAGTTAAGCATGTCAAAAAATATTTTTTTTAAAGTATATTTTATAAAATAAATATTTGTTAAGTATATTGTAGTTAGAAATTTAAAATAATTATAATAATAATTTTCACTGTTACATAAAATGATACTTGTATAGTTGAATTGCAAAACGTGGCATAATTTAAATATTAAGTTATTAAGCCGCGAAAGTGAGGCGAATGCTGTCTTGGCCAATATTGAAGAAACAAAACTTCTTAAGTTTAGTTAAATTCTCAACAATATTATTATCGTTACGCTTTTCAGTAACTTCCTATATTCTAACATTCAGTTTCTACTTGATATAAATTATAATATTGCAATCTTAATTGACTTACCTAATATTTTATATATATACGTATGTTAGATGTCAATTTTCTAATTTTTTTGCCCTGGGCCCTGGGTCATGAATCATAACAAACAGTAATGGTTTAATGGTGTGTGGCATTGAACTTTGCTCTTTGACCCCCAGGCCTTGTGCTGTCTAACACTATTAACAGTAACAGCTGAGATGCTTCTTGGGGTCTGATAGGTACGGTAGTGTGATAAGATCGGACTGGGTTAAATATTTTGGTGAAGTGTGTAATTGCAAGCTGAAAATGTCTGACAAAAATTTAACAGCTATACTCTATGAAAAAGATGATTTGCGCTTGGTAAGTGTTATTTCATGAAGTTTTAAGTTTAAATATTTGGCTATGGCTATAGACTATAGTGACTATAGACTATAGGCTCTTATTATTATCCTGTTAATGCCTATTAACTTTATTAACTATTATATAAATAATTATTCAGGGGTTCAGGGCCAAGCCACAAGGCCAAGATACAAATACAAGAAACGATGCACCTGGGGCGAACCCTGAACTTATAACTGATGACTGTGATTTATAATGTGATGAATGCCAACCCTCAATTATATCAATAATAATGCTAAGTCTAGTTTAACTCTAGAAAATAGTTAGTACGGTAATATTAAGATTGAAAACAGTCAAGAGTAAAACTCCACTACAGTGTAACACAGAGTCGTCTTGTGATGTGTGACCCTGGCGCACTGGCGGACCTGCAACAGCTGTAAGGGGCCTCAATATAATATAAGTATAAGTATAAGGCTATAAGGCAAGGGGTCGAAAGGTAAAGCTATTATTATAATGTGCAAAAAAAAACTAAACTATCAACTTTGATTGATTGCAGTGGGTATGAAATTGAAAAGTCGCAGGGAGCCTTCATTAGTCTGGTGAAGGCTCTGTACCTAAACTCAACACAGTAACAGTGTGTAAGTGTACACTGAACAGACTAACTTAAATTCTTAAAGTAAAGTAACTAAGACTAAGCCCAGTGGCCGGGGGGGGGGGGGGGGGGGGAAAAAAAAAAAAATATTTGCTGCCCTAATGAGAAGTTTTAAGTATAAAACTGAAATTTAAAAAATGATTGCTGATTGCTCTTTTTGAGTTATGGGTTTAAAAATACCGGTAACTAAAAACTTGATATCCTACTTAAACAACAACAAAAAAGAGGATGCTGGGTGGCCAAATGGTCAAAACTGAGCCAATCCAAAGATTGTGCTTGCTGTTAGTTTAGGAGTTATTGAGTTTAAAAACTTGATAACCTACTTCAGTGGTCAGCCACCTATGGGTTTTGACTCCGAAAAAAATGGTTCTTGACAAGAAATTTGGCTCTCAAAAAAATGTTAAGAATTGTCCTGCTGCTGGTTTTTGGTTCATTTGGCTGACCACTGGCTTTCTTAAAATACAAATGGCTGGGTGGCCAAATGGTCAAAACTGAGTCAATCCAAAGCTTGTGCACCCTGGGGTCATTATCCTATGTAGAGAGGGAGACCCAAATATCACCAGCCTTAGACAGTAGTAAAATTATGTTATTAACTTTATTATGTTATGACTTTAACTATCAAATGCAGCAGTTCTCAACCTTTGGGATCGAACGACTCTTTCACAGGGGTCGCCTGAGACTATCGGGAAAACACATATATCTCTACTCTACAGTTATCAAGTAGCAACGAACATAATTTTATTGTTGGGGTCGCGACAACATGAGGAACTGTATTCAAGGGTCGCAGCATTAGGAAGGTTAAGAACCACTGACCTAATGCATGCACCTAAATTTTTTAAGATTTGATTTTTTTTTAATTGTTTCTGGCTTCTTTTGTACCATCCCAGTAGTTTGTTAAAACATAGTTCAAAATTGAGACATCAATTTAGTAGAAACTATGTTTATATTTCTGATGGTGTGTGCATAAAAATTAACGTGTTTAAAAAATGTGTGACACAATTAGAAGAGTAGCCCTCATTTTACTTGATTTCATGAATTTGGATAGTCTAAGATAATTTATCTTTTACTTAGTTGATTGTAGTCCATTTCTCAACCCTAACCTTTAGATAAGGTGTCTTTTCAACAAGAGATAAAAAATGGAGTGGGTTTTTTTCTTTAGATACAAATTTTAATGATTTATTATATTAGGGGTTAAACATTGTGATGTCAAAAAGTGTAATGCAAGAGTAGAAAGTTACTTGGGATCTCACTGTTAAAAATGTATACAGTGGTTCCTCATCAATACAAAAATTAGGTTCCAGAACCTCCTGCTTTAGGCGAAAACCTGCAGTGTAGCAACATAATTATTTAATTATTTATATATATATTTTACGGCTTTATAAACCCTCCCCACACTCCTATAAACCTTTCCCCACACTCTTGTAAACAATTTCTACACTCTTAGACCTACTTAATTTTAACAACCTTATAAAATTCTATAAGGGTACTCACCAGTGATTATAATAAAAATTGAATTATATATAAAGAAGAAGATGATGACGAATTAGATGTGCAGTTACCGGTACTGCTCTTCTGAAGGTGGCACTTCATCAGGTGGTGCAATATCTTTGCCTTAATCCAAGGGTCGGGAACCTAATGGCTTGCGAGCCAGATGTGGCTCTATTGATGGCTGCATCAGGCTCGCAGACAAATGTTCGATTGTAAAAAAAAGTCACATTAATGGTAAGAAATACTCATTATTGATTAGCAACAGCATAACAATGTTATTAAAAAGAATTCAGAGACATAACTATTGCATTTTTAGTGTTGAAATTACACAAAATGCACACATTTACTTGAATTTTTAGTTTTAAACATAATGTATGGCCCTAACAGAAATACTTTTCAAAATATGTGGTGTCCATGGCTCTCTCAGACAAAAAGGTTCCCAACCCCTGCCCTAATCCATAACTTCTGTTTTCTCTAAAGGCGTGGCATAACTGGTGTCTTCTTCTAAGCGAGGAACATAGTAATGGGGAGTTGCTGGTGCTGCTTTTTCTTCCGGGCGAGATGGCTTTTATAAACCGTCATACCACCCTCAATTGTATTAAAGAACTGCAGCTATTGACACCTCAAGGGATCCCATTTATAGCGAAAATCTGCTATACAAAATTATATTTAAACAAGTACAAAATCTTCAATACAGTGAGGCCATGAATAGTGAACCGCGATATGGCAAGGCACAAGAGTAGAAAATTCTTTTCAGAATATTGTAGCATTGAAGTTGCAGTCAGCAAATTTCAAATAACACTAAATGATTTATTGTTGACAAGGAGCAATTTCTTTTTAATAGTCACATTCTGACTCCAAAAATTTAGTCAAATGTGTTAAACAAATTTTTAAGGAGAGAAAATACTGTCATCATCAATGAAATTGGTAAAATTCTTCTTTAAAAAGTATTTGGTTTTCATGGTTTTAATAACCACATATCAGAAAAAACCTAATCTCTCCCTCCCTTAAAGATAGATGAGAGGGACTCCGCTTGATATTCTTATATAAAGTGGTCTTGGGACTGGTGCCGGCCATCCCTGCACGCACGTACCTCACCCCACAGAAGCTGGGTCAATTGATCAGAGCGAAATGCTCACTGAAGACTGACTTCACCACTGACAACCCCTTAAACAATTACACCCGAAACATAAGAAAATGCTTCACTGTGCCTCAGTGCAACACAGTTCAGTATAAACAATCTTTCTTCCCACGCACAATAATAGCTTGGAACCACCTGGACAATGCCGCGTGTGAACTCAACATCGGTCAAAAGCTTTAAGACTGCCCTGGCATCTGCTAGGAGCTGTTAGACTAGCAACACCATTCCCCCAACCATTGCACAGATGCCAGTATATGGATGCAGCAACGAACGCAACCAGAGAACCAGAAAATGAACATTAATTATTTTTTAATTTTGAAGAAACCCAATACTGTTACAACTGTTAGTTACAATGTCGTATGTGAAAATCAACATCTTAAAAAATCTTTTAACCCATATTTTTTTAATTCATATAATTAATTATGGTGTTTAGGAGTTTATAGGTAGGCTATATCTTTTCAGAATTGGTTATAGCCGTTCAGACCAGACCACAATTTCAATTTTTTTTTTTTTTTTTTTTAAACATGAGATTAATTTTTCATCTGGACCCTCCAGATGATGAATTTCATTTTTTAAAGTGATTTTTGTTTACTCTTTCTTTTTTGCAGGAAGATTTACCAGTCCCTGAGCCTGGCCAAGGAGGTAAGTTACTTTTTATTTTAAGTTTATAGGTAGGCTATATCTTTTCAGAATTTGTTATAGCCGTTCAGACCAGACCACAATTTCAATTTTTTTTTTTTTTTTTTAAACATGAGATTAATTTATCATCTGGACCCTCCAGATGATGAATTTCATTTTTTAAAGTGATTTTTGTTTACTCTTACTTTGTTGCAGGAAGATTTACCAGTCCCTGAGCCTGGCCAAGGAGGTAAGTTACATTTTATGTTATCTTCCTTGATAAATCTTTTTGATTTGTTTTTATTACATATACTCCTTTTCTTTTATGTATGTAAAGTTTTGAATTACTATACTCTGTACCTTACAAAAATTGTTTCAATTTAAAAAGGTAAATTATCAGAAACTGTATTTTTACTTGAGTAATATCCCGTTTCAGAGGTGTTGCTTGAAATGAAGGAAGTAGGAATATGTGGTTCTGATGTTCACTATTGGACGCATGGGCGTATTGGTGATTTTGTAGTTAAAGCACCCATGATACTGGGGCATGAAGCAAGTGCTGTGGTCTCTAAGCTTGGCCCTGGTGTTACCAATCTCAAAGAAGGTTATCCAGACGTATTATGTATTTTACTTTTTTTAAAGAGATAAGCATTCAAAGATATATTTTTCAAAATACATAGAAATGGCAAGGATAAAGCTTTTTATTCTAAGAAGATAATTATGTATGCCTTGTCTCACTGTTCACATTTCTACTTTACAGAAAAAGTAATTTAAACATGCTGATAGTTTTATCTCCACCTAATAAATCCTTACTAGGTGACAGAGTTGCAATTGAACCAGGTGTACCTTGCAGATTATGTAACTATTGCAAGTCTGGTAGATATAACTTGTGCCTTGACATGAAGTTTTGTGCTACTCCACCATACCATGGAAATTTAGCACGCTACTATGTTCATGCGGCTGACTTTTGCTTCAAGTAGGAAACTTTTTACATACATTTTATTTGATACTATGTTTATTTACTTTAAATGCTTGTTTATAGTGAAAACAAGAACCAGTCATTTGCTTTTTTTTTTTGTCTATAGTAAGAATTACTGTCTATATCAAACTAAATAATTTTACATGAAATATTTTGGCATCTGTAGACTTCCTGACCATGTGTCCTTTGAAGAGGGTGCACTTTTGGAACCTTTATCTGTTGGTGTGCATGCAACTAACAGAGCTGGGGTTGGTTTGGGTAACACAGTATTGGTGTGTGGAGCAGGTTTGTAAAAATGTTGTTTATTTTAAAATTAGACGAATGAAATTATTTGTGCTCATATAATTATTTATTGCCCTATTTTACTATTTGAATACCGGTACACCAAATTAACTCATTTTTTTTCTTCAATTTTTATTAAAATTTAATGTGTTACATTATTTAAAACATAGCAAATTGTTTTTTAAATTTTTTTTTAAATTGGTAATTTACATTTGCTTTAGTATTCTTTGTGTCAATAAATAAGGCTGTTGAATTTTCTTTTTATTTAAACTATTAAGGTCCCATCGGCCTGGTGAATATTCTGACTGCTAAAGCTAAAGGAGCTTCTCTCATATGTGTCACAGGTACCTTCAAGTAATTTTTGGCTTGACTTATGACATGTAAAAGAATGATCATATTTGAGATTTGACCAAGCTAAGTAGAGATAAGATCATGTATATATTTCCTTTACACCCCAACCTCCTTTATATCCCAGTTAGAGAATACAATTTTTGATGCTTAATATTTTTTCGGATTAGCATGATATTGTACATTAACAACGCACATTGCGTTCAACCGCTGTTTTCAAAAGCACAGACCAATGCACTGTGCGTTGTTTCAATATCAAGTTTGTTTCTTTGTTATTTCTTGGTTAAACGTTTTAAGAGCTATTTTTAAATAAGACTTTTACATAGAAGAGTGGTACTTCATTGTTTTATGGTGATTTTTTTGTCATTTGAAGCATTATTTTAATGATTTTCTTCTCTTTTTTTTCTACTGTTGCTAAGGCTGCTCTAGACCCTAGTAGTTGAGTAAGTTTCCTAGACGATTAACAGCTCAAAAAGCTTTGGAATTGTTTTACCGTATGCTATTTCTTTTGATAGTGAACATGATTTATATTTAGATTAATCATGTGATTTTGATAGAAGTAGTTTTAGAGAATTTGAGTTATAGAAGTGAAGATCATGTGTGCGTACATCATATGGTTTGGTCGAAAATGGTTTAGCATACATTGTTTTCACATTTTATGGTTCTTTTCTGTAACCTATTTTATTTAAACTGAAGAAATAAGTTTACAAACATATAGTCCTTTCAATTATCTTTCATTTGATACCAATTTTGGTCTTATAAACCAAAGAATAATATTTTAAATATTCTTTAATAAACCCAACCTCTCACTCTTTTTCGCTCTTCTAAAAAAATGTACAAATTTTTAGATTAAAAAATTCCACAGTGAAAGAGTTAAGAGATGTACCTAGTCTTATTTCCATGAAAATCTCTCATTTTAATAATTTATCTCACTTTCTCAACATTCCCTTATGCTACTCTTTTCAATAGGATGCATCCTACAAAATTTGATTATCAAATGTGTTAATTAAATATATTTTTTTTAAACTAGATATCGATGAATCCAGATTGAAAGTGGCTAAAGAAATTGGAGCTGACTTTGCCATTAAAGTGACAAGTGGTGATCCTCAAGTTGTTGCACAAGCCATAGAAGAAGCTGTTGGGGATAAAGTGGACATCACAATTGAATGTAGTGGTGCTGCCAAAAGTATTCAAACAGCAGTTTATGTAAGACCCTTTGTTAAATATTCAAAGTCATCTGTTAAGTTGTGATCTGCTATTAATTAATAAATTGTTTTTAAAACACAACTGTCATTTAGAAATTACAATTCAAATTTTTATGGCAGGCCACCAAATCTGGAGGTGTTGTTGTACTTGTTGGCCTTGGTCAAGACTTGGTGGAAGTTCCTGTGGTCAATGCTGGCGTGAGAGAAGTGGACATACGGGGCATTTTTAGATATGTCAATTGGTAAGTTATGCAACTTCAGAAACCAAATAACTCTAGATGAATTCTTGTTAAATTGAATAAACTTGATGTCAGGGGCATCATTATTCGGTTATCTTTTCATTTCAAATGTAAATATTTCAAAAATAAAACTCTCTTTGAATTAATTTACAGTTACCCAACAGCTTTAGCTATGGTTGCATCAGGAAGAGTCAACGTTAAGCCTCTAATAACTCACCGTTTTAAATTGGAGGAGGCTGTTAAAGCATTTGAAGCTGCCAAAAGGGGAGAAGGGATTAAAGTCATGATCAGCTGTGGACGCAAATGAGCTGGATCTCTGCAGGAAGACACTACAAGAGTTAAAGAGGCAAACAAACAATATTAATTAATATGGCAGCTCTAAGTTAGATAAAATCACCTACACATGTATCTTGGAAAAAAGAAGTTTTTAAATGTTCATTTAAGAAGACATTTTCATATTTCATAGCCCCAGAAGATCTGCTGTACGCACCACATAATTGTATAATTGTAAAATCTGCTTTCATGAACCAATTTATACAAAAGTTGCAATTTGATTTTTAAACAATGTGAGAGACTCAAAGCTTTATGAAATTATGACTGTTTTTCATGTTAAACTGGGCCTCTTGTGGTTTTACATAGTCATTGTTTTTTTGTGTGTTTTTTTTGTTGTTTTTTTTTTTTAAATTTGGGTGAGTCATTATTTTTAACTACTAGTTTTAATAAGTTAGTTATGTTTTAAAACTTATTTCCAAAATTCTCAAGTTATTACTTAATTACTACAGTGTGATTTAATGTTTATATTGAAATGTTACAATTATTCATTTTCTAAATTCTGATACTTACAAACCAAATAGTATTATGTTTATAGTTGTCTGTACAAAAATATTACCTGGGTAGAATGCCTTTTGTATTCAACCAACAGTATCATATTTTTTCCTTTTGAAGCCTTACTAAAATATTGTAAATTGCTAACTGCAATTTTTGTCCCTCTTTAACATTTTCCCTTGCAGACATTCCTGTTACAACTTAGAAAATAATTATTATGTTTTATATTTTGCATTTATATGTTTACATTGGAAACTCTTTACTGATCCTTGCATGTAAGTTTATCAGATCTAATTTTATGTCAATTTGATTTAAATAAAATTCATACTTCCATATACTCAGAATTTTTTTTTAAAGTTATCCAGATCCACATTTTCAATGTCATCTCAGACTTTCATGCAAGGTCATGAGGTAATCTCCTATTCTATAACATTTCTACAATATAAAACAATACAATTTATATTTGGATTTTGTTTTTATTTTGCAAGGTGTAGTGTGTGAAAAATTACAGTTTAAAAGCAAACACTATCATTATTTGTGGTGTTCCAAGGACTTGTTTTACCAAGCCAAAGTTGGGGGGAGGGGTCTCAATAATACCCTCCTTATAAAATTGTTAAATAATTCAAAATGCATCTATGCATTTTGGCGCTTACCTGAATGGAGTTTTGAATCATTCTACATTTAACTGCAACAAAAGAATTGCAATTGGAAATCTATATCCATTTGGATTGAGATAGGTTTGTCAGTGTTGGGTGATATTGGTTTGTATTGAGATAGGTTTGTCAGTAGGGGCTGAAATCGGTTTGGGCTGAGATATGTTTGTCATTTTCTGGTAACATTTGTTTTTATTGAGATAGGTTTGTCAGTTTTATTTGACAGTTATGGGTTAAGATAGGTTTTTCAGTCTTAGGTGACATTGGTTTGGATTGAGATAGGTTTGTCAGTAGGGGCTGAAATTGGTTTGGACTGATACATGTATGTCAGTTCTGGGTGACTTTGGTTTTGTTTGAGATAGGTTTGACAGTTTTGGGTTACAGTTATATATAAAGATAGGTGTGTCAGTTTAAAGTGACACTGGTGTGGATTTAGATAGTTTAGTCAGGTTTAGGTTGTCATTGTTTTGGATTGAGTTATGTTTGTTAGCTAAATGCCTTCAGCATAAACCCTACTCAATGGGTGCAGACAGCCCAGGATAGAGCCAGGTGGAGAGCTGCTGTCAAGAAAGGGGCTAAATCCCATGAAGCTAATAGAATAACCACAGCTGAGACACGCAGGCTTGTCCAAAAGAGCAACATTAGGTCACCGTCTGAAGCAACTATTCCATGCCCACGATGTCATAGTTTATTCCGAGCAAGGATCGGTCTAGCATGCCACCTACGAGCTCACCGTAATCCCAACCTCCCCCTAACCGGATGACTCGATGGTCCTAGTCGACTTTGATGGGCGAACAACATATATTTCTCCATCTCTCTCTATCATTCTGTCCGTCTCTCTCTATCTCTATATATCAGTCTCTATACATTTGTATTAGACATTTATGACATAGAACTATGACTTAAAGAAAGTAAAAAAATATAATTAAGAGTAAGATTCTACTATATCTCTTTCTCCCTCTCACTTGCTCATTCTAGTGTCACCCAAAACTGACAAACATATCTCAATCAAAACCAATGTCACCCAAAACTAACAAACCTATCTCAATCAAAACCAAATTCACCGGAAACTAACAAACATATCTCAATCCAAACCAATGTAACCCAAAACTGACAAACCTATTTCAATTAACACCAATGTCACCCGAAACTGACAAACATAACTCAAACCAAAACAATGTCACCTAAACCTGACTAACCTATCTAAATCTAATCCAATGTCATTTAAAACTGACACATCTATCTTAATCCAAACCAATGTTATCAAAAACTGAAAAACCTTACTCAATCAAACCTATGCCACCAAACAGTGACAAACCTATCTCAATCCAAACCAATGTCATCCAAAACTGACAAACCTATCTTAATCCAAAATTTTTAAATAAAACTGACAAACCTATCTCAATCCAAACTAATGTCACCAAAACTGTCAACCAAAACTGAAAAACCATTCTCAGTCCAAACCAATTTCAGCCCCTACTGACAAACCTATCTCAATTCAAACCAATGTAACTGGAAACTGACAAACATATCTCAATCAAAACCAATGTCGCCCAAACTGTCATCCAAAACTGACAAACCTATCTCAATCAAAACCATTGTAACCCAAAACTGACAAATATATCTCAATCCAAACTAATGTCACCCAAAACTGACAAACCTATCTTAATCTACAACTGTATTCCTAAACTGTCAAACCTATCTCAATCAAAGCTGTTTTCAATGAAATGATAGCTGATTTAAAAGAGATGGAAGAATCAGGTTTTAAAATTCATAATAGTCAAATTGTTAAAGGTTCTGTCGTTGCTATTGTAGGGGATAATCTAGGATCCCATTGCATAGGTTTTACTGAAAACTTTAGCACATCATCTCATTTTTGTAGATATTGTTTAGTTGACCATGTTACTTTTGAAAGAGATCCTCTTAGTTTAGGTTCTGTATGAGACAAAATGTCTTATGTTAGAGATGTTCAACAAGTGTCAGAAGGGCTTACTGATATTTCAAATGGTATAAAATTCAATTAAATTTTTAATAACTTGAACCACTTCCATGTTTGTCAGCCAGGACTTCCCCCTTGTCTTGGACATGATTTATTTGAAGGTGTGGTGTCCTATGATCTGACTATTTTTATTCATCATTTTGTAAGCACTTTGAAGTTGTTCACTTATGATGAGATAAATAAATGTATTTCAAAGTTTGCATGTTTTGGAAGTGATGCTTTTAATAAGCCTTGTGCCTTAAAAAAGGTGGAGAAAAACTTTGTGGTAGTGCATCACAAAACTGGTGCTTTTTGCGCCTTTTGCCATTTTATGTTTGTAGGAAAATACCAGTTCTTCAAAGGGATGTTTGGATGTTATGTCTGCAATTAAGAGAGATAGTTGAATATGTAACTGCACCCAAAATTTCTGCAGATCAGATAGGACACTTTGGATCAATGTATTAATTGAAGATTATCTGTGTCAAAGCAAAAGATTGTTTCCTAACAAGAAGTTTAAACCAAAGCATCATTATTTGCTTCATTATCCTTCCCTCATTTTACAGTTTGGACCTTTGATTCGTCTTTGGTCGATGAGATTTGAATCAAAACATTCATATTTTAAGAAATGTGCCAGACAGCTTGGTAATTTCAAAAATTTGCCCTCAACGTTTGCAAATCGTCACCAACTTTTGCAAGCTTACTATGATGCTGGTTCTCTTTTTCCACCCACTATTGCAGTGGAGGGCAGTTTTGATTTTTTTTCCTTACTACTTATAATGAAAAAATTCAGCCAAGCGTGAGGGCTGTTTTGAGTGAAAATTCATTTAGTGCTTCTTATTCACTCAGTTTTTTAGGTACACATTATAAGCGAGGCTTGATTCTTGTTTTAAATGAGATAGATGGTGAATTATGCTTTGGAAAGATAGATATTATTCTTGTTCATGATAATGTTTCAATTTATTTTATTTTAGAAAAGTGTAATACTTCATTTGACTTTAATCTAGGTTTGCATCAGTTGTTTGTTGATGAAGAGCAAAATGTTGTTTGTTATGCCATAAGCAGCCTTATTGATTATTACCCCCTACCACTTTATAAAATTGGTGAGAGCTTTTATGTTCCATTACACCACCGGCCATTTTCATCAAATGACAAGTAAAATACTTTTATATTTTATAACGTGTATATATGTGTAAATATATTTATATTTTTTGTGTAGAACAATGGATTTATCTGTTATTGAGCATAAAATATCTGCAGTCCTGCCAACACTATCGAAGAAAACTGTTACAGTCATTGTCGCCATAGTCAAAGAATGTGGTGGTGAATGTGTGGGGGACTTACAATTTATTAGAGAGGATGACCTCCAAACAGTTTTAAAACCAATCCAGATTCGAAAACTGTTATCATCACTGAAAATGGAAGGTAAGGCGATAGAGTTTTTGTCTAGCTGTTGCTTCAGTTGGTTTATAATTTTGTTTCATCAGTTTAAGGTATTACATTTGGAAATTAGTGGAATGACTATATGTCCTTTAATCTATATTAGTACCATGGTCTTGGGGTCTTGGTGATATGAAATTTCAGCTATTTTTGACATTGTAAATTTTTTTACATAACATTTTTTCTTACAAATAAATTTTCCTTTCAATTCACAGGGGATGGTTCAAACATCACTGTTGTTTTGGCTGAAACTGAGGAAACTGTAACAAATAATGTAACAACAGTCCCTGCTGCCCAAGAAGCATTTACTGTATACAATTGGCTTGGACACGTTTGATCTTTCTTTTGACAAAATGCCTGCAACTGTGAAAAAGTGCCTGTCAGCAAAAGAAAGAGTACCTCCCCAAGCAAGGAGAGAATTCGTAAGAATTATTACCGATGCAATGTTGGAACATTGTGTAAATCCAAAGTGGGAGTACTGCAGGTGAATTGCACGGAAAATTGTTGCAGCCATACAATGAGCCTGGGAGACATTATAGACGGTGAATTAATGGGATGACGATATACATCCCTACTTAACAGCCTTAAACACAGAATTGACAATGTCAACTGGTGCAAGCCACAGAGGCGGCTTTGGGCACCAAAACGGGCTCTTCAGCCCTCAGCAAGCTTACATGCTAAAGAGATGGGCCAAAAAGATTCATCTAGTGCCCATTGGACACATGATTTGGAGGTCAAGATGAGAGATTTTTTTAACAGTAAAGGTTTAAAAATTGAACCTTGGATTGTAACTGCAATGGGAGATACCTTTGAACATCAGAGACAAATTGTAAAGAGTAGTGTAACTGGCTTTGACCTTACGTCAAGGTATCCATTTTTATGTACTTCTTTTTTTTTCCTCCGTCATTTTGAGGAGTTAACATCTTCAAGACTCCAGGACCAAGCACATATTTTTATAGCTAAATTTGAAAGACTCCTAAAATTCTTCAATTCCACCAGTACATCTAAAGGGAAAATGGGGAGCTTTTGGTGGAAACTTTTACACCTAAACATATGCCATACCGTCTTTATGATGGAAAGTGTAAGCAAATTTGAACTAATAGTTTAATAGTAATATGTTGATTCATTGAAGTTATTATTGCTTTGAACAGCATCCAATTTCCATTTACCAAGCTTTTTTTTCCTGGAACTTATACAATCTTATACATATTGACTTAGTTGAGTCTTCTTATATACATGAATGTTTTATACTTTCAAGTATCTCATGCTTGCTCTCTGATAATATGTAGATGTATTTGGTTTAATTTTTGACAACTTGATCATATCATTTCACCTTTTTTATTGAATCCTTTATACTGTGTTTAACTTAACTTTGCATTTAATTTTATTTGATTTATTTCACATCTTTTTCTTAAAGCCTGGCCACACTGTGCAAGATATTGAGGCAAAATCTCTTCCGCCCACACCTCGTCTGATTTTAAGAGGTATGTTCAGTATTTTACAAAGTTTTTTTTTCTTTTTGATTAATTAAGGAACAAATGCTATTATACAATTTTGATGCGTGAAATAGACATGCAATTTTTTAAAATTTGTATTATTTAAGTTCTCCTTTGTCATGTGTGCATGATGTGTATGTGTACCAGTAAGCTGTTAACAACACTATTTTTTGTTCTATTTGTAGGCAACAGTCTCATGGAAGTTGAGGGCTGGATGCTTTCCATTGAAGGCAAAGTGGTCATCCATGCAGACACCCAGGATCAGGATTTTTTAAAGACTATTGGTTGCCTCTTCACAGCCTAATACGTATTTAACCTGAAGTATGAAACTGGAGCTATGTCAACTTTAAGAGTTTTTGCAAAGGTTTGAATTTTCTTGATATTAATATTTTGCATATGCTAGTTTTTTTTTTATTAATTCTACCAATTTAAAGCTATCATTTAAGGTTTTGTGAAACTGTAGATGTTTCAGCTTTTCTCTGACACATACTTTGGTTACCGGAAATTTGATCAAATCTTTTTTCAGTTCACGCGTTACCACACTATACTATTTCGTAAAACAAAATATTGTTTTCAAAAAGAGATTTGGAGAAAAATTTATCGTGTGAACTGAAAAAAAGATGCAATTTTCCGTTGACGAAATTTCTTTTGATAAAATTTTAGGATACGCATACTTATTAAACATATTATGCAGATCATGGGTGACCTCTACTTAAATATTAAAGTTTCAACTTATCTGTATGGGTTAAGACCCCCACCCCTTTGTTGCAGATGTCTGAATCAAGCATTATCAATGTGAAAGTTCAGGCTGTAGTATGTTTGTTGATACATAGAGTGATCTATTTTGAATGGAGGTGCTGATGATGGATGATGGAGAGTGGTATTGTTAGAATGTGGACCTACTGGTACATTTATGCTCTAATTTGGCTGATATTCTGCATTTTATAAAGTCTTAAACATTACATACCAGTACTAGTGAATTTTTTATTTTCATATTGGTACAGTACATTCAATATTCATGGTTATATGTCTTATATTTGTTTACCAATTGTTCTATCAGGTGCATCTACAAGATAAATGATGATGGCAACAGTGTCCCCAAAAAGGGAAAGAGAACAGGCAAGACGGAAGTCCTCAGCAGGAGAGTCGTGACACTTATTAAGGATTTGTCGGATTTTGAATGGACCCATTAAATTTTTTACATTGTCATAAATCCCCCACTTTTGTTATATTATTGTAATCTGCTTGTAATCGTATTGACTGTTTTATCATACATGAATAATTGAGGGGTTCAGTATACCCATTTTGATTAAAATCACCTGATATCAATGGATGGGGGGGGGGGGGTTGACTCTAATAATATCCTGTACCTTTTTTTTTTTTTTTAATACATGAATAATTGAGGGGTTCAGTATACCCATTTTGATTAAAATCACCTGATATCAATGGATGGGGGGGGGGGGTTGACTCTATATATATACTGTACCTTTTTTTTTCTTTTTCAAATAACGATAAATTATTGTTTGTTACCGTTAACGGTAACCTGTATAGTAACAGCTTTTTATCGCTAAATTACATTAAGCTGATAGTGATAAGTTATCGCTTAGTTCAAGAATTTACAGTAAGTTACTGGCAGCTTGTACATGATAAATTAACGCTTTTTGGGGGGGGGGGGGGGTATTTTAAGACAGATTTTTTAGAGTGAGTCTGAACCGAAATCTTCCACTAATAACACTTAACAAGTTCATACTAAACACAAAGAAATAAATTGGCATATTTTCTTCTACTTACAGAGCGTTCCAAATAGTTCCAATGGGCCGCACTGAACAATGACACACTTCAGGGATGCTGACTCCCTACTTAGTGTGCGCCCTTTTATAAAGCCTTGCGCGGACATACGAGAGAGCCCCTACGTCACACCGAGACCAAGAAGTTCTAGTTCTAGGTTTTGCCTTCTGGCCGATTTCCTGGAGTAAAATGACTAACTCTGGGGACTACACCCAAGTCATAATTAAAATCCCTGACCAAATCTCTAACGACTTACATGTGTCCTGTGACGTTTTGTCTCAGCGATCTAAGATGCTATCTTATATTTCTGTGAGTTACATAGTTCTTGAGAGATTTAAAATAGAAGGGGTGGGGACCACTATTGATGAAGGTGAAAACTCCTTTAATAACTAAATGAGAAAGTAACCGCTAAAGTACCAAGTGAGAGGGAATAAACTCCCCTTTCCGACTAAATGTCATTTATAGCTTAGGTTCCCGAGAAATAAATTATTGAACTTACAACTGAAGCACACATAGTGGTTTCCCATATTTAAAAAGTCCCTTAAAACCCATCTGTTTAGGTCCGCCTATGACCTGTGATGCACCCTCCTTGCCCTGCCTCATTTTCTGTTTCGGGTTGATCCTGAAGTATAGGCCAAAACGTGTCAAAGTGTCCTCGTTTTATAGCCATTTTAATTGTTTCTATAGTATAGTAGTTACTATCCTAGTGTCTCATTTTTATTTTACTTAGTTTACATGTTTTTAATAATTGTAAAGTGCTTAGAGCTTTATGGTAAGCGCTATATAAAAATGCCTAAATAAATAGATAAATATCCTACGCGATGGAAAGGAGGCCCATTCCCCTCTTGCTAACCCCGAGGTCAAATTCCACATCGCGAGTTGGGCGCCAAACATGGTTTTCGTATTAATAGCGGTTGTTTCGAAATAACTGGGCACACACTGCCACATATACATGAAAAATTGCAATAGGTTGTACTGATACCTATCCTGCTCCATACACGACAAATTGCCATATAGGTTGCACTGATTCCATCCCTTGGTCTATACATGACACAATGCCATATAGGTTGCACTGGCTCTTGCCAGTTTAATCTCGTCATAGATGGTTGCGCTTTGGGGCAAGGTAAGAGAAGCTTTTTACTACTTGAATCCTTTTGCCATATATTTCAACATTCGTATCTACATTAGACTTTCGAAGAGTTGGCTGGTATAGGACCTCAATCTTAATGGCGAGACCAAAGTTTGTGCAGGCGTGGCATATCCAGCGTTTAGGGCACAATAGTCGGCAATACAGGAAGTCCCTGATGATGTCTGTCAAGATCTTGGATTTGGCATGTAGCCCCTTGAGGCTTAATAGCTTAACATCAGTTATGTATCTGCAGGCCCGTTCTTAGGCAGACTACGCATCCGCGTAGGGCCCCGAACGTGAGGGGGCCCCCGTAGGGCCGTTTAACACCTAAGGGAAATAGCAATAATGCACACACAAATTATTGATAGCCGGGGGCGATCTCCTTCCTCAAAATAAGGAAATAAATGCCACCAGAGCCATTCTTAGGCATCTAGGCAACCGCTAGGGCCCCACTACCAGCTGCATGTCCATATATTTCAGAAGTACACATTTTCTCTAGTGGCGGAATTATCAATATGGTTAGAGGTTACACGCGAGGAAAGAGGAAACATTGATGAAGGCAGAATGGACGTGCCGCAGTGGTGGGTGGTGTTTTCTCCTCAGCTCGAGGGAGCTCCACCCCCGGACCCTCTTCCGGGGCCCCAACCTACGCTCCATGCTTAGGGCCCCAAACTCCTAAGAACGGCTCTGGTATCTGAGACCGATTCCAGCGTCTCACTCTCTGAAGGCATCGGGCAGCATGGCGGAAAACATGAGGCTGAAAAATATTGAAGCCAGGACACAACATCGTCTGACGCCATTTGTCACAGGGAGAGGTTAAGACAGCGACGAGGCCATGACAGGCAATTCAGGCTCATACCAGCAAGAAGCTAGTATAGGAGCTGCTCATTCCTGCCCAAGACAATCAGGGACTGGAACAATCTTTCAAAAGGAACGGTTGAGGCGACAACACTAGACACATTTGTGTCTATTGCCTCAAGCCTTCAAACCCCTAGTGCATAATTTCCTCATCAACACCAGTAACAGAAACATTGCAAATCCCATCTACATGCATAGGAGCCAAAATGATCAATAAATTGATCGTGGGCCCTTAAGATATAGAAGAAGAAGAAAGAAGAAGATTTGCTACCATTTTCCCGAGACCCAGCCTGCATATCATCATGACATTGCCGTACCATTGATATGAACTTTCTAGGGCATCCACATTTGGCCATGATCTTCGCCTTCGCATCCGAAGAACGAACCATAGAACTGATTTTTAAAAAAAAAAACACGAAAATGAAACAAATTGTGAAATTCATATTTTCAGGCATGCTATTGGCATGCACCGGTATGATTATGACAAAATGAGCCACAGGCATTCATCACCAACGTTTTAACGCTGCGCCTACGCCTACGCCAATTAACCACATAAGTGGACCATTATAAATGGGGCAAAAATTAAACTTATTAACGTTCTTTTAAACAGAGTTTAGAAAAGACTTAAACTAATCACTTCCGGAAACAACAAAGCGTGTTTCTCGCATAAGTTTGACTATTTTTCTTCTTGTCGACGTAAAATAATTACCTATGTTTTCTTTCATATAATATATAGTCTATACACAAAGGTATTTCGTTTAAATAGCTCTTTGTTGCAATTATAATGATTCTGGTTAAGGTAATCCCTTATTTTAGCGCGATTAATTATTTCTAGTGAAATAAATTAATAAAGTTAAAACCTCATACTAATACTAGTCATACTCACGGATAAGTAATAATTAGGTTCAAATTTGGGACACCTGCCACTTTTTTACCGAATTTCACGAATGTATCCTTAAATCGATCCCTATGCCTAACCTGAACCCTAAATCGATCCCTATGCCTAACCTGAACCCTAAATCGATCCCTAAACCTAACCTAAACCCTAATAATAATAAACTGCAACTATAATAAAGACACAAGAGACAGTGGCAGTCGTCCTCGGTTTTAGCCAATAATTATAATATAACACCACTACACTGTCTCTAAAATTTTAATTTGACTCATCATAAATCCAAATCTGTCAACGGTAAATTAATAGAAAACTGCCATCTTGGTTGACACAACCAGTTAATTTTGTCACTAATGATCCCTAAATTGATCCCTCCTATGACTATGCCTAACCTGAACCCTAATTTCTAATTCACTGCAACTATAAATTACATGCAAATGACGTCACGGGGTGAAAACTAAGAATCAGCCGAGTCAACTTAAGACTTAATGTGTCATCTAAATGATATAGTCCCTCCCATTAGGGGGCAGAATTCTTGGCCAAGTGAAGATTTTTTTGTGGTTTTTTAAAATCTAGTGGTAGTACTCTTGACCAGAACCAGGAGGTACTAACTCTTGCCAAGACACTAAGCCGTCTAAGCTAAGGCATTCTTCTTCATTCCTATCTATTGTTACGGTACGAGAAGGTCACATGCACCAGCATGTCTCTGGTTTACACCTCATAACATAACATAATCCCTGATCTGCTCATTACGAGGATACACATGGACATGACACGTCAATTGTACAATTTTTATTTTCAGGATTAATGCAGCATACGCTAAATTAGGCCCGTATGTTGTTGCTTTCGTGCCATGGCGCCCATGCTTTAATTTCAATACTATTTGAGCATTTCAGCTAGCCCCTATTATTATTTCATAGTGTTTTTATCTAAATCTAAATAAATAGTTCCCATTATTTAGTTTAGGCAACCAGTTACCAGGCTATTACTACTATTGTATTAAGGAACCTACTGTGTAGGCTACTAGTACTTACTACACATACTGTACTGTAGGCCTATAGAATGACATTTACCAGGAGCATGTTGTCTCATATTTTTTAGCCCAAGACTGCATTATTTTCCTTTTATTATTTAATAATTAAGTTTAAATCAAACTTTTTTTTATATTTTTGCATCCAAAGGCATAATGGGTAAAAAAGGATTATCAGATAAAGTTCGCAATAAACAGAAAAATAAAGCCAAACAGCCACCTAACCCTTTTGAGGTGAAAATAAATAAAGTAAAACACTCAGTTGTAAATAAGAAGCTACAGAAATGGGAAAAAGGTTTACCAGGAGTGTCTCGATCAAAAGCAATAAAAAAGGTATTTCTATACTTTTATTTTACTCATGTCATTCTTTAACAAGTTTAACACTTTAAATTTAAACCAATGTTTTATTTGATTAAATATTCTATTTTAGTCTATTTATATATGACTTTGATATTACTGCCGGGCTAATTTATGGGCACCAGAGAAGTTTGGTTAATGTTAAAAATGTGATTTAACAATCCAGTGCAGATCAGTTGAGTTATTATTAGTGGTGGTTTTATATAGCACGTCGCTGTACATACAATTAAAAAAAACATAATCATGAACTTAAAATTTAACATACATTAATTAAATAAAACAAAATGTATGTATATTCACGCAACACATTCAAGAACTATATTCATGTCAAGCCATGGACGGCTACCCAGTAGCATCGTTTATCGGTCAGAGGGGAGAATCAGTCAGGATAGTAGAGTTTAAAGAGATGTGTTTTGAATTACTGGAAGTGTAATACTTTTGTAAATCATTTTCTGTTTTAGAAAATTTATGAAGTTGTTTTCTGCAATAACATTTAAAAATTTGTGTTTTTTTTTAATGCAGAGAAAAGACACAATTCTCAAAGAGCTCTACCATTTAAAAAAGTCAAATACTTTGCATGATAAACGTATTGGAGAAAGTGACTCAGCTCTCACTGCAGATGAAAAGATGGTGCAGAGATTTGCCTTGGAGAAAAAGGTCAATATGAAATAATGTATATGTTTATAAAATCAATAATTATCCAGTTGTGTGTGTGCTTATTTACCATATATACCTTAGCACAGTATACTAAAATAAATAGGTGGTCAATTTTAAAACATTACTCTGGAACTGAAACAAAACCTGCACCAAACATACTTTCAGTCATAGCAAGGGGATTAATATTTGAAGTTAAATACGTTGACAAATATTATCAACAGCTTTAACATGTGCAGTTTACTTTACTTGTATCATTACAAATTTTTGAAAAAATGCTTTTTGTATAAACCGGTACTGGTAAATAGAAAACTAGAAAACCCATGAACTATAACTGTAATATTTCATAACAGTTTGAAAAATAAAATGTTAATTTAATGTTTCTTTTAATAGTATAAATACTGATATATGTTTTAGTAATTTCTAAAGATTTTCTAACAGGATTTAACCATGGTAGATGTTTATTAAAAAGTAACTTGAAAAATATTTTATTTAAATCTCTGCTGTGCTGTGTTTTAAATATAATAGAATAAAAATGTTGAGTTGAAAGCAAAGTTTAAAATATCCTCATGAAATCAAATGAGTTCCATGCATAACAATAAAATATACATAGCAGTAACAAAAAAACGATAAAATATTTATTTGTTGAAGGCTTTTGTTTAAAATAGTAACTTCTAATAACCATTCAATATCTTTAACTTGTAGAAACAAATGCGCAAAAGTGATTTTAACTTGAATGAAGAAGAGGAGGTATTGACTCACTATGGGCAGTCACTTGGTGAGAATCTTCAAGACACCATTGGTAGTGAGGATGAAGATGATAATGATGGTGGGAAATTTAAGACTGGTAAGTTATTTATTATTAAAAATATATTTTTTATTTGCCATATTCATTTCTTTATTCTCTTTAATTTTAAATTGTTGAAAAATTGAAATGGCACCCATTTCTGAGAATTGATAAAACAGTCCAAATTATTTTGTTTTCCCTGGAAAACATGTAATGAAAAACATGGTTATGGAAAATGTGCAAAACGATTGCTAAAAACTGATATATTTATTTGTCACTTTCAGGTGATCTTCAGTTTGGAGGATTTTCTAAAGATGGAGAAGTGTCATGGAAAGATAAAATGAAAGAAGTTATAGCCGATTCAAAAAAACAAAAGGTTTGTTACAAATTATAGTTAACCAATATGCCAATTTTCATTTGAAAATTTAATTTTAAAACCTTTCTAATATATTGTTAACATGTAGATTTAAAACAAGAAGATGAAGAATTAACAATGTGTGTGCACATTTCCCTTGATATTGAACATATTTTTTAAATGTGTTATTTCAGTATGAAAGACAAGCAGAGAAAGAGAAGACTCTTGAGACAACCAATGAGCTAGACAAAAGTTGGAAAAGTATTGTTACAAATTTAAATCCAGTGGTAAGGTATACATTCATTGTGTAGTCAAAGTAATTAATAACCATATCTCAGTATTTTTGCCAAATGTTTTTTATCTTTTTCTATAATTTTTTAATTATAAGTTATATGCAAGCCGCCCAATATTTATATAAAAAAAGCTATGTGGTATTTTATGAACATTGTTCAGTATATACTGTTTCATTTTCTTTCATGCAGAGAGATAAACTAACCAACCAAAGGAAAGCCAGTAACTTTATGCAACTGTTTCACAATTTGGTAATGGACCAAAAATCTTCAGGTGTAAGTATTCCCCATTTGATGCATATCTTTGTTGTTTAAGTTAATGGTGACTTCTCTGCAAAATCATATCTCAGAAATTAAACTTTCTAATATGTATTCTTTAATCAATATTTAAAATCTCTTTTTGGTTTTTTAATTATAATAGTTTTTGATATATTATACCTGTGGATGGCTGTTGTCAGACATGACATTATCCAGTGTAATGTTTAGCGTCACCCTGGTGGAGATATTTGAAGGGTCTTAATTTAATTTATTTTTCAGGCATCTGACAAGTTGAAGACAGAAGAAGAAAAGGCAAAAGAAGAAGCTGAAAAGCTGCTGAAACTGGAGGTATGCATTATTACATTTCCTGTTTTGTAAAAAAAGATAATTAAACCAAAATATTTTACTCCCAATCTATCCACTTAAATTATAATTGTCGTTATTTCTATGAATAAATCCTAATCGAATCTCTCTGTCATACTTTGTTTGTTCTTTATAGTCTCAACGCATAGCAAGAATGAATGCTGGTTCCAAGTCTTCAGTAACCACTCACAAATCTGCTGATGACCTTTCTGATGGGTGAGATGTGTTGAAAGTTGTAAAAAATATATTATGTGATTTTTAAAAATCAGCCTTGTGATAACCAATGTTTTACGTTATGCACAATTCAGCTTTATGTAAGGATTTACAGTTGTGTCTCTAAGAAGTTTTAGAAAAGAAAATTTACAAGTAAAAAAATTAATTGTTTTCTGGAAGAAAAAAAATGTATCTGGCAGCTGACATTTTAAGGTAATTTGAACATGATTTCTTTAACTTCCTCTACAATCAAGTTGGTATTATTGTAAAAGTTTGATTTGAATTTAAAGGTTTACTGTTGAAAAGCCTCAGCGCATCATCTCATTTGGTCAAAATGGTGTTATGTTGGAAAATGATGAAGATGAGGAAAATGATGAAAATGTGACTGCACAAGAAAATGAGGATGAAGAAGAAGATGGGGATGATGATGATGAAGAGGATGAAGGTAGTGAAGGAAGCAGTGATGAGGAGGGTTCAGACAACTACTCTGACCTGGCATCTGATGATGGAAGTGGTGGTAGTGATGAGGAAACAGGTGATCAACCCAAACATGCTAAAAAGAGGCCAACTGATTCAGAACCCTTGAAGTCTATTCTAAAATCGGCAAAGGTTTGTGAGATTGGGGGATCATTTATAAAGTATTTAATGCCTCATTGAAATAAATGTTTTCACTAAATAAACCAAATAATATATGTTACCATTTTTTCCAGTCAACTACAATTATATTTATAGATGAAAAAATATATCATTTAGTCGATTTTATGATATTTAGGTAGGATTGCAAAATATTTGCAAGGCTGCTCCAATTCAGTGTTACCAAGATATATTTTTTTCTAGGTCACTGTAAATACTGGTGATAATAATTGCAAGGCAGAGCTCCCTTTCATATTTGCAGGTAAATTCAGTTTTCTTCTTAACCTACGAACTGCAGCATGCATCATTGTGTGGTGTGGAGCTTTTCAGAGCATTTTGAGTGCTATTTGAAATTGCATTAAATGACATAGGAATATTGATACAAAACCCCTATAAGTATATATTTTTAGAAAGGTAAATGGATGGGGATAAAGTTGACCATATTGCCCACCCCATACAAAAATTTCGCTCAGTGTCCTTGACCTTGGAGTTCTCAAGAAAAAATAATGGACAAAATGTCTTGCTTTCAAGTGCTCATAACATCATTCATTTTTAAAGATACACTTAAAACACTGCTCTAAATATTGTAGCCAATTCATTTATCTTTCAGAAAATGTATAGTTTGCTAAGGTTTTGATTGCAATTAAACATCTGAAAGCAATTTGAGTAATTTTAGGTCATTTATATAAGAAACTGGGGACCACTGCTAAAACAAAGTACAAAATACAAAATCTCGGGCAAAATAGTTTTTATTGACTTGTAAACATTTAAAAAGGAACTGTGGAACTGATTTGGATTGTTTTTTCGGCCGACCACAGTTTGGGGGTTAATGTGAAATAAAATTAAATTACTGCTAAATTTACAGATACATTTCATTTATTACTAGATTTAATTATTTGGTTTTGTAACTAACGATTCAAGACACTGAATCTTTTTCTATCCAAGAAAGTTAATTTGAATCTGTAACCATAAAAAAAACATTAAATTTTTCAGCTCCAGGCAGCTACGATGAGCTCAAATCTCTGCTTCACGGACATAGTGGGGAAGAACAAGCCATAATTATTTCCAGACTTAGAAAATGCCACCATCCCAGTCTTGCTGAGGGAAATAAAGAAAAATTAGAAGTAAATTGTTTACTGACATCATTAAGTCCGTTCTTGTTAATTTTTTTGTGAAATCATGATTCATTGAGTTATTGTTTTTTATTTCTGTGGAAAAAGAAAATTTAAATATAACGAAACTAAGGTTACAACCTTTACTTTTTTAAAAGAGGAATATATTTTTGATCTTCAATATACATTCGTTTAATTATTAAATAAACTTGTATTTTTTTTTAAATCAGAAAATTCATCTCTACCTGTTGGAATACTTTGGAGAGCTTCTGCAGCAACAAGTTGTGGACCGTCAACTAATCCACCATGTCACAGCTAGTCTTTGGGAGATGTCTCAGACTTTCCCGGCATCCACAGCTTCAGCCTTGCAAAAGTTAGTGACAGATAGGCAAAAAGAATTTACCATCAAAGCACAGAGCAGAGGGGGAAGGGGAACCTTTGTTAAACTGGATACTGTAAGTTGTTTTTTTGGTTTTAAATTTGACTTTTCTTTAAATTTTGAAATAAGAATTGCACAAGTATTAACTGTGGATGGCTTTGCTAATTTGAGTTGTAATAATTTTATCCAAGAGACTGAAATATTTGTAATTTATATCGATGCCAATAATTTAGAACTGTGTAAGATAAAACCTAGTATTTAAATACATTATATTTTTTTTACCTTTTCTTTTTTTTTCAATTTCCCCCTTTACTGCTTGTAAATCTTAATTGTTACTCAAACTTACTGAAACATTTTTGTATCATTCTCTCTTATAAGCTGATGTACCTGGTGCTAATTGAAAGTCTCTTCCCAACTTCTGACTTTAAACATTCTGTAACAACCCCAGCAATCCATTTCATCACTCAACAGCTAGCAGAGGTAAGATATTCATTTTGGCCTACAGATAATTTTTATTGTGTTGAGTGCTTTTCTATCTTGTGTTAAGGGTAGAATTAAACTGCATTGTGACCAGCTGTTGAACTTGACGTGATGTGTTCATGTACCCATGGCGATAGATGTCTTCTAGTTTGGGCTTAGTCTTTCACTTCATCCCACGAGACAGTATTTCTGATAGCAACAGCTACTAACCCCAACAGACACTAAACCGGTTTGTTACAAGATATGAGTTTATTTAACAACAATTCCTAAACTATGGTGGTTATATAATTTCAGATTAATAATCAGGTCGTTCCAGCCAAACACTAAGCAACGCATAAGTCAAAAATAGTTAATGTCGAACATCCGCCATCTATCCACAATAACAAAAACAAAACTAACCCGTCATTTCCCCTTACCCAAAGGCATCACAACAATCTCACACAATAGATACAGTGACACATGAAATCTCTAAACTAAACATCTTTTACATACCAAACATAACAACAGTGATTCTCATACCCTTGACACATTGTATATGACCAGATTATTTTTTTTTTTAAGCAGGAGAAAATATATTAACTCTGAAATGGGCATTTCTACAGCTGGTGCAGTCAGTATATACTTATCTGCACTTGGCGTGTTTTTGCAAATAACAGAACATTATAATTTTCATTTCATTGTAGTGCTCTGTAAGGAATGGTCAAGATGCTGTATCTGGTCTTTTTCTGTGTTCTTTGGCGCTGAAGGTATGTCATTAACATTTATTTCACAAATGTCAAAGAAAATGAATTTTAAAAGTTTTAGATTTATTTTATTGAAGGTTTCATACTAGAAATAGTTATTGGATATATATAAGAAGTTAGAACTTATCGAATGATGTGAAATTTTAAAAACGAATGAAATTAATATATTACTTTTTTTCTCTTCCCCTCCTTCTTTTATTTCTTTCAAGTATGTGTGCCTCTCCAAGCGGTACATACCAGAAGTTATAACATTCTTACATGGAATACTATACTTAGGAGCAGCCAAAAATAAAGGTTTGTGTCATACTTATAGATGCTAAATGGTTTCAAATTTTAGTAAAATAAAGTCATTCAATGTCTGTACAATTAACCTGTGGTCACATTTCTAGCAGAATCAACTGTATTATATTCTTGCTTCATCTTCTTAGATTTGAGAGTTTTTCCACCATTCAGAGAATCAGGAAAGGGCATTGACCTTCTAAAGGTACAACATGAATGGTAAGGATTTTTAAAAATGTAAAAGTTGCTCTAATGTTGATGATGTATTATTAATTGTACAAATATCAATGAGGACAAAGAAATATTAACTATGGTTTTTGAACTATTAACTAATAGACAAGTACCTGAACTATTTAATTTTAAAGTTTAAAATTAACTCACTAAAGTAATAGTTTTAAATTAGCTTCTCAAGAACAAATTATGATATTTTTATATTTTAATTTCTTGCTCATAACAGAAATGCTGTATTGACATTAGATATATTTTATATTTCATTGGATTCTCCCAGTAACCAAAATATACCCATTTTCAGTCCATCACTTTCGAAGGAGTGGTCTGTTTCTGAGATGCTCCACAGGGAAGATCTTGCCCTGGATAATGATGAATTTAGGTGACTGTTAGTTTGGTGCAAGTATTGTTTATTGTTTAAAAATTATAGTTGTCTAGTCCAGACCAAGCAATCTCATTTGTTCTGTTTTACAATACTCTCAAAGTAATAACTGGGTTTTTTTTTTAAGGATGAAAAGGATATTAGAAAGGAATAAAATGTTAGTACTTGTACTTTAAATGAAAATGTTGGTACTTGTACTGAAATGTTTAGTGATCTAAAGCTATGAGTAAGAGTTGTTATTTTAAACGTATTGCATTCAGAAAATCTAAATCTGGTGTCAAATTATTTTTTTCACCTATCTTTTTTTCCTGTTAAGAATGCTCTAATTAATTTTTTATAATCCATCTATATATTGTTTTTTTTTTTTTTAGGTGTCATGCAATCAGCACATGCCTTGACCTACTTGTGCAGTGCATGACAACCTGGGAAGATTTGCCTTGTCTCAGGTTTATTCTGAATCCTCTGAAGTTACCTCTGTCTCTACTGCCCAAACATTTATACCCAAAAGATGTACAGGTTTGCATTAATTTTTTGTATGTTCTCATGGAAAATACTGCATAAAATCTTTGGAAACATAATACACAATGTTGTACTTTGGTTTTTCTGAAGAAATCATCTCTATTTGTTGTCGCTGGCCTAAAAGTTTGAATAATCCTCACACATAGAAACTAAACATCTCTTCTACCCTTTTCTTAGTCTCATGTATCGAGGTTGAGAGTCAAGTAAATTTGAAGTCGGCAGTTTACGCTTTGTCTTTTATTACCCTTTCTACATCAATGTCTTTTATTACCCGGTACCCCTTTTCACATTGATGTCTTTTATTACCCTTTCTACATTGTTGTCTTTAATAACTTTTTCTACATTGATTGATTATAAGATAATGTACAGTTTAATTTTGTAAATAAGGACTTCAGTGCATTTTTGGTGTACAAGAATGCAAACACTGTGACCCTAGTTTTGTCATAATAATTAACAGATATGCTCAGCACTGAAACTTAGTGGAAATTAACCAAATAGTTGTGGGTATTTTTATGACTGGTTAAGGTCTATCAATGACTGGACTATTGTGTTATTTACCTAACATTTACTAAATGGTCAACTTCAAGTAAAATCAAAGAAGCTGATTTACTAGCTATCCTTGAGTGTAGGTCAGCATTACAATAAAGGAAATTGTATATACTAAGTGACAAATGTTCAAAAGAAAACTTAAGATTTTATTTCTCAAATGTTGGTTTCTTGTAGAGCAAGTGTGAATCATTGGTAAAGAAAATACAGGAAAGTGAAAGCAAAACCTTAAAGGTATTGCAGCCACCATCAACTAAACCAATACCACTGAAACTGTTTGAACCTGAAGTTGATGAATTGTAAGTGTAATCTTTAAACATTGGTAACTGAAATTTAATTAAAATTTATAAATATTATTAACGCAGTGATCCATTAATCACATTGTAGCATTACAGTTCAGCAATTTTATATTATTAAATAATAAAAGTTATACCAACATTTGCTTAATCATCTTTAGCTGGTCTGGAAAGAGGAAGAAAAAGGGACCAAATCGTGAAGAAAATGAACGGAAGAGACTAAGTCACAAATACAAGCGAGAAATGAAAGCAGCAGTCAGAGAAATCAAGCGAGATAATGAAGTTCTGGCCAGGCATCAACTGGACACTGTCTTACAAAAGTCAGTTCACATTTATACTCAAAATAGTACCATTATTTTTTTTATTTGTATGATTCTATTACATGTAATATTTAATCATTATCATATTTATTTATTTCTGATAAAGTAGGTGGATACTATTAACAAAAGTCTCGATTTTTATTACCTCAGGGATACTGAAAGGAAGAGGAAGACAAAGGAACTAATGAACAGTTTGGCAAATCAGGAGGGAGACTTTAAAGCCATTAAAAAGGCTAAAAAATAGTGTTGGCAAAAGTTAATCCAACTTATCAATAAAAGTTTATAAAATTATCAACATGAACTCATCTATTGTTTACATAAAGATATATTATCAGTGTTTAAAATTTTATAAACTCCAAGTAGTGAGAATTTGTACATAATCATATTATTTCCAAACAATCACAGTTGTTTAAAGATATATAAACTCTAGTGGTGAGAATTTGTTCAATCACAGTTCTGCACCTCCAAAAAAAAGATGTAAACAAAAATTAATTAAACAAATGAAATAGTAACACTGCCAAGTGTTCACAAATGCATGTTCAATATTTGACATAAATATTTGAAAAATATAATGTAGGTCAAGAAAATAATTTTACACCTTTAATTGTGTTAAAATGCTTTCATTGTCCTTCATTATGCAATTTAGTTACATATATCCACATTTTTTTTTTTTATTACAAAGTTATCAAGAGTTTGCAACAATACTTAAGTATGTATGGAACAATCACACAGTAATCACAATAACTATTACATGAAAATATTAAATACCTCTTGAGGAATTAAAATCTCTTTAAAAATTTAAATAATATCTGTGATGGAACTTGTATTTTTTTTTTTAAAAAGAATTTTTACATTTTGTTTAAAAACCATATCTCATTTATGATGATGATGTCAGCTATGTCTGTCACCAAAGCTAATTTTTTATTTTATATTTGAAACGTATAAATTTATTCCAAGTTCATGAAATAAAAATTGCAAAATTTACAACTAAGTTCAATAAATTATAAATAACTATTTTGGCACCAAAATATCAGAAATAAAAACAAAATTAAAGAGGTCATTACTTTCGCTCTTAACTCTTAGTACAGTCCACTTATGAGATGGGATCTGTCTGTGGCCATCAGAGTGTCTACCTAAATTTATTGATTATCATAATTCATTCCATCGGATGCATACCCATATGCAAATACCCCTAATCCAAACATAACTGTCATCATATAAATAAATAGATCCCTAACTAAATTATTAATTGCATATTTTGTGTTATGTGAGATAAAAGTTTCTTTAAGCATGGTACAATGAACCCAGTATCATAGGGTAAAAAACATTCCTACAAACTTTGGACTTCATTTGCCAATTACAATTATAGTTAAAATGATGCCACTAGAGGAATGAATCCTAGAAATAGAATCTAAATAGTCTCTAATGACCCAATCACTGATGAAACATTCTCTGTCATTTCTTTCATTCCCTTCATGACATTTTGGCAGCAACAACCATGAATTTAAAAAAATAAAATAAATAAAAGCAATCATACTGAAGTTCCTATGCTATCACAAATGAACATACAACTCATACACTGAACCTCAAGAAATTTAGAGTGTTAACTCCTCTAAAACCTGACACTGGGGTTGATAAAGTACAAAATTCAACGTATCCCGTAGTTATTGAGTAAAAATAGGTGAGGGTCTGGCCTCTTCACACAAGATGAACATATTTTTTTTTAAAAACATATGGCACTGCTCACAAACACAGAACAAATAAAACAACTCATTGTTTAACATGGCACTGTAAGAGTCTGAAATTCTGTCTAAATGACACCTTACACAGACATATTTATATCACCTTGCACACATATTTGTGTCACCTTACACACATATTTATGTCATTATAAAAACAATTTTATTAAAGATGTGTTGAGCTTTAATTGAGGTCTACTTTATTATAGTTATAGTTATTATGTTTCAGCATCAGTCATTTCCTGTAAATCATAAGCTGCAAAGAATCTTTTAAGAGATTTAATTTGGTTATGGGATAGTATCTTAATAACCTGTTCCTGATTATAATGATGATCATCACTATAAAATTGCACAATACTTATCATTTATTTCATAATCAATTTTTTATACGTAAGAATAATCATACATAAATTATTAATATTAAGAATAAAACTTCTATTTAACCAGCAAAAAAACAAAAGTTTTAAAAGTCTAAAGTAATAAAAAAAATTTATTGAATTTGTCACTTTGGAAATTCTCCTCTGATTGGACAATGTCTTAAACTAAGGAATATTAAATGAAAGCGCCAATCATTAGACCTTTAAATGAGTCCTGACGTTTGTTCACATTGCAGTAGAGTTAAGATAACATCTAATAACAGTTGTTACTTTGTATCATCAGTCAGGTAACTAGGTGGATCTATCTCACAGTGACAGCTAATAAGGGTTAATTAGTTTGTAGCATCAGACAGGTAATTAGGGGGATCTATCTCACAGTGACAGCTAATAAGGGTTAATTAGTTTGTAGCATCAGACAGGTAACTAGGTGGATCTATCTCACAGTGACATCTAATAATAAAAATTACTTTGTAGCATCAGACAGGTAACTAGGTGGATCTATCTCACAGTGACAGCTAATAATAGAAATTACTTTGTAGCATCAGACAGGTAATTAGGTGGATCTATCTCACAGTGACAGCTAATAATAGAAATTACTTTGTAGCATCAGACAGGTAATTAGGTGGATCTACCTCACTGCCTGCATGATGAACATACAATGAAGTAAACTTTGACTTAACATAACGCAATGCTCTACTGAATGAAGGATAACTTGAATGCTGATTGTTGTCCGGCACGTGTGTTGTTACGTCAGAAAAGAACATTTGTTTATGTAATTCACTTTGGTTGTTGTCTTTTGAATTGTTGTTTTCTTCATTAGCCTGGATCAGATTTTCCTCAGAACTGAAAGATGAATTTCTAGTTGTTAGTTCAGAATCATTCACAACTTCTTCTAATTGATTTTCTGTCTCAGCATGACCTTCTTTTAGCTGGAGATCTGCATCAGGATTACCTTCTTTTAGCTGGAGATCTGCATCAGGATTACCTTCTTTTAGCTGGAGATCTGCATCAGGATTACCTTCTTTTAGCTGGAGATCTGCATCAGGATTACCTTCTTTTAGCTGGAGATCTGCATCAGGATTACCTTCTTTTAGCTGGAGATCTGCATCAGGATTACCTTCTTTTAGCTGGAGATCTGCATCAGGATTACTTTCTTTTAGCTGGAGATCTGCATCAGGATTACCTTCTTTTAGCATGAGATATGCATCAGGATTACCTTCTTTTAGCAAGAGATATGCATCAGGATTACCTTCTTTTAGCTGAAGATCCTCATTAGCATTACCTTCTTTTAGCTGTAGATTTGCATCAGCATTACCTTCTTTTAGCTGTAGATTTGCATCAGGATTACCTTCTTTTAACTGGAGATCTGTATCAGCATTACCTTCTTTAAGCTGATGATCTGTATCAGCATGACCTTCTTTTAGCTGAAGATCTGTATCAGCATGGCCTTCTTTTAGCTGAAGATCTGTATCAGCATGACCTTCTTTTAGCTGAAGATCTGTATCAGCATGACCTTCTTTTAGCTGAAGATCTGTATCAGCATGACCTTCTTTTACCTGAAGATCTCCATCATCAGCTTTTAACTCGGTTAACCCTTGTACAAAAGACTCATCGCTGCTGTCTTGGAAACTATCTCTCGATCTAGCATTAAAATTTTCAGTGTCAGGGGTTTCATTGACAATGTTATTTTTGACTTCTGAATTGTTCTTTTGTTTGTCAGGTGGCTCAATGTAATTGAAATTATTTACTGGAGTAAAACCAAACCCTTTCACCTCAGTGTTAGGAGATTCTTCAGATGTCTCCAAACTGACTTCATTTGTTTCTTTATATGCTGCATTAGAATTAACAGTGATGGGGAACAATTTGTGATTCTGCAAATCTTCTTGACACTGAACTCCCTTAAAATTATGTGTGCGCTCATAGCAAGTACGAAGTATGTCGAAATGTTGAATATCTTCTTCTGTTTCCGGAATATTAGGTTCCCCTAATGAGTGACAATTTATCGGGGTCGAGTCATAGTTCCAATCATCAGAAGATGCAGCGACCATTACAGATGATTTATACATACTTGAATACTGAGCAAGTATTCCAGCTACAGTATTTTCTAGACTTGTCCCGGCTTCAGCATTTGGTAAATTTGAAACTTGGCTAGTGCTTTGAGCGCTCTGTGCAATTCTGCTTAGTTCTGGAGAAATAAGGTATGAATAAATTATAGACGGTATGCTTAATAACTAAATCCTAATTTTAATTTTCACAATCTTAAAATATTGATACAGAAAAACTGGAAGAATATTTAAAAAATTGCAAGTTATTTTAGGATGAGTTTATGATCTCCCCTTTATAAAGATATAGGGGAGATCATAAACTCATCCTCAAATTTAATACAATTATTATACGTTATAAGCATCCAAATATTAATTTATAAACATTGTTAACATTCATAAAAACCTAATTTGAGAAAAATTTCTCAATCCCACACTAATGAATATTACTCAAAAACTGATATTAACAGAGAGGACCCCCTAGTTCCTTTGAACATATAAATTTTCCAGTTTAATCAGCACAAAATAGGTCCTATTTATAGATCTATTATTCATCATTGAAATCCATTTTTCAGAATGGTTGTATTTCATTCTGCCTCATTGTTGCATTTTTCATAACTATATTTTTTAAAACTTCTAAAAATATTTTTAAAAGCTGAGTTAAAAATATGTTGGCCTATTATCTAATCTACAAAATAAAAGCATTCATTGTCTTGCCTACAAGACCGTTTAGTTTAGACAGTTTATGTAATGAACTTTCAATCTATTGAAAGCTTCTTACTCAATGACTACCACTGAAGAGAAATACTAATAACAAGACCATTGTGGACAGCAAAGAAGTTGGCCTAAAAATTTGTTCTCAAGACTTCAAGAGAGCAGCAATTAATTTATTATTAAACTAAATTTGTTTCTAATTTTGACAAATAAAATTAAATCATAGCACTATGTACAAATAGTCTACAATAACATTTTAATTATTAAAATCCTCATTTAAAAGAGTGTGAACTATTACAAAATAGAACTTCACCTTGTTTTATTCCTTGAGCAAGATCCAAACAACATTCATGTTTGTTACAAAATGCAATAAATTTGACTGGAAAGTCATCAATTTTTAACATTGCATCAAGGAGGTCACTGTTTGCATCAAATTCACCACGAGTACGAAGGATTGCTTTGATTTGATTCTGAAAATATGCAATTACATTGTGTACATTTTTCTTTAAT